ACCAGAATTTTTTATTCTCTATCATTTCTAAGAATTTAATTTTGCTACTACATGCCGTTTTTCAATTTCGTTTATTTCATTCTTCGTATTTTCGTCTATTCGCTATCTTATTCTCATATCTTTACTGTATCACACTTATTGCTTTCATTTCAATTAAATACACCATTCGTACCTTGTACACGTATTGCCGTGTTGGTGTCATACTAATTTTGTCACATTTTTTGTAGAACCAAATCTTAAATTTTTATACCACATAAAAAGTTTATTGCAGTTTTTATACGCTTTCGCAATTTCTATACTTGATTTTTTGCACGAGAAACTTAAGAAATAACGTGACGCACTTTATGACATTATAGCAGACTCTAGCACAGTATAAGGAGCTACTAGAGTTTGTGGGTCTTGATGTGTTATATGGGCTCAAAGTAGAAATAAATTTAATTAAAAAAGTAATAAGTATGTAAGTGTCAGTTTGGCATCTTTAGAACTTCCTTTTGAAGTCGTTTAAAAATATTTGTCATTCAAAATAAGGGAATCGCCAAGTATAGGCATCTCAGGTAGCAATACTTATCACTATACTGACGTATTAATTATATATATGTATATTTGTATTTTTTTACGTATTTATATATTTATAGGGTTTATGTTTTTTATGTAATTAATTACATAAAAAACATATATGTAGTTTATATTACATTTTGTATTTATCTTACAAATAAATTTATGCTAATAATTTTAAGTGTTTTTATTGCAATGCACACATCGTATGACTGCCTATTTTTATTAGAGATAAGCTCTTATTAGAAATAAACTCATATTTGTATATTAAAATTAAATGTTCATAATACTATGTTTGTGTACAATAAAGAATAAACAATTTTTTTTGTGTCTGAGTCATGACTAAGGTCATGATAGCAAAATTCATCCTATGCAACAATAGAAAATTTACGAATAGTGAACTTTCTAATAGTAAAATAATTTTTGGAATTAAAAAATTATGGAATAAAAAAATCATGAAATCGAAATACAAAATTGTTTTTATTTAAATTTTTAGATTAAAATATACCAATTTTATTTCTTTATTATGAAAACTAAACAACAAAGATTATTATTTCAATTATGACTTATACATACTGTTGTTTAATTCGCATGACGAGAATTGTGACAAATATGATCTTTCATAAAAAAGATTTAAATATATATGTTTTTCAAAAGAGGCACTGTGTATGCACAGTGTTAATTAATATAATTATTTCATTATAAACGTTGATTAATTTTTTATTTTATTTGTTTACGCCAGATTAACATCTATACAAATAAAAAATGTTCTAAACATATTAATAATTATGTAATATCAAACAGGTGCTAACACAATACTGGTGTGAACCTGTAATCACACAGTCACATCATCGTTCCTGGAAACGTCGGATTTCTTTTATGCAACTTAAAATTGATTACATGCCCACGACTAACTTGATGGAAAGTAACCATCGCCTACTGATACAAATATTAATCGACTAAAATACTGAATTTTAGGTTGGTAAAAAGCAATAGATATAGCAAAAGATAGATAGAATACAGTAACACTGGGTATCCTAGTACTGTTTCTGTCCTCTCCCAATGACTAAAAATTTATATTTTTTATAATATATTGAATTTTGTAAAGTGTAGAAATTAAATAGGGTAAACAGTTAATACTGATGTTAAGTCCAAAGCGATGTTTACTGCTATCGCCATTGTAATTGAAAATAAAAAAATGTATATGTATTATGGTCTATTATTATTATTATGACGGACCACCTCCTGCTTGACTCTCAATATAAGGTTTTCATTTGGCAGTACCAAATTCTATTTTATCTCCTTAATCTTTGTAATGTAGATACATATACTACGGTCAATTTAATACTTAGACTAATACTAATACTGAATAGGTAAGAATATTGCAAATATTCTTTTAAATAACTTTCACTTGACGTGATTTGAATGTTAAGCGATAGCGTTTTAGGTATTTTAACATTTTTCAGAACTGACGAGTTAGACGAGAGAATGCAAACCTTGTCCTGGCAATTATAAACACAACAAAAAAAAAGAAAAGCCGTTCTGAAGTGATACGCTTACATGTACTCGGTAATTGATTTTTATTTATACTGATATTAGGTATGGTTATGTTGCAACTGCTTAGGTTATTCGGATTATTCTATATACGAGTGAGCGGGGTCTTTCTATGTTCATCACATTATTGTCTTCATATTTTTATTTAATTAAACAAATGGCTTTCAAATCATATACAATTTTAAGTCATTTTCGCTAAGGCACTTGAAAGGTAGAAGAATACTATAATGAAATATGGTGTGCATATTTTAAACAATAATATGTACTTATTTTCATAGTAATGCGTAGTGGTTTGGTCTCGAAACAATACATTTACTTTTATGAACAAAGGAGCAACGTATTAGACATAATTTGGCACTTTGCCCCAACTTGATTACTGCTGCAAGTGAAAAAAGTTTTTTAGAATCCGCAAACTATCGAAATAGAAATCTTACAGTATAATAAGAACATATTTACAGGAAATCAATTTTGATTACAACCTGTGTAGATTTTTTTTTCATTTAATGTTATCATAAGAAGTCTAATAACATGTATTTATTAAAACTTATGAAATGAGTACATACTTAGTCTCGTCAAAATATAATTCCGAAATATTCTCTTATAACTTGCACTAAAGCCCAACATCGTGCATACCGTTAAGCCCAATATAGTTCAAGCGCTGTACACAAAGTTATGTACCGTGGGATAGTCGGTTCGACTTCCGTAACGGTGACTCATGTTGACTCATGTTAGTTTATATGATTAAAACGAATTTATAACCATTGTCAGATACAAAATCCTAGGTACACAATTAGATACTAAAATTGAAAAGAAAATAATGCAATACAATGATATTTCTATAAACATATCGCAATATATTGTATAAATATAATGTACTTTCATTTACCCGCGACTCGTTCCGCGCGACCGGCGTAATGTTCTTTGACCGGGATTAAATGTAGCTTATGGCCTTCTTTATGCCACTGGGTGTACCTAGTACAGGGAGAAAAACATTGTTAGTAATGAAGGCCCGTTGCTTTTTTTTAATAGATGATAATGGAATGATAATCCCGCCTGCGCTATTGGTATACACTGGCGGGGCACCAGTGAGAGATGATAGGTGAGGATGAAGCAGGTCAGTTAGCTCGCCGTGACGAATCTAACAATAAATCAATCACGATGGTTTCCAGGGGGAACCACGAGGAGGTCGATCTGACCTCCAATGGCAATGGGGTTACTAATCCCCATTACTAACAATCCCTTCTCCTCCTTAGGCTCATTGCTAGTAATATACCATGCCAGGTCGATCGCCTTGTTATTGCCGCCAGAAACTATCGTGGTAAATTCTTGAATTTGTCACGATAGGCCAACTGGCCTGACTTTATCCTCACCTATCATTATTACTATTATTGCATATTGGTGTTTCACCAATAGCGAAGTGGGATTACAATTCTATTATCATCTATAAAAAAAAGGCTTAGTACCTAGTGCTTTGATATACTAAATTTACCAAAAGCGCTAAGGGATAACAAAGAAATAAATAATTATTATACTTATACAACGTCTGGACCAAGTGGTTTACTATACTGTCTTAAAGCACCCCAATACTCATGAGTTCACGCAGGGCTGACACCAGAAATTACTGTGTTATTGTATATTATTAACTAATTTGCCAGCACCAAATAAATCACAGGGATAGTAATAAGCTCGCCAATTACTACCTCCACCACAAAGACTACAGTTGATTTAGGTCATTTCTCTTTATTAACTTTTTTTTTAATAACTTTTATTACTAACGGATACAACACAACCTGTTAAATCAATTCAATTTAGCTTAATATTTAAAAAGCTAAGCCACAATATAAGACTAGATCACGATGCAATGACAATTAATAACCAATGAACTGCAGAGAATCTATTGTAAAGTACTAATATTGTTGTAACTGTGACTACTATGCCTCTATTCATTAAGAAAAAATTCGTAACGAATTACGAGTACTTTACGCATAGCTGTAACCCGTGGCTTCTGGGGGGAAAGGGATTATTAGTAATGGAGACTGAAAATCCCATTGCTAGCAATATACCCAACCAGGTCGACCTCCTCGCGGTTCTCCCTGGAAATCATAAAAAAAACCCGTGGCTTCTCGCGAGTGAATCAGTAAGTATATAATTTATCCTATGTGCTATATTTGGATATAACCTACTGGTATATCAAATTTCATTCAAATCTGTTCAGTAGTTTTTGTGTGAAAGAATAATAATTATCCATACAACTATCCTTCCTTACAAACTTTCGCCTTTATTATATTAATAGCATTTACTTAGGCTACCTTACTATGCACGTAATAAAATAAACGTAGTTTAATTAATTAAATTATATTACTGACGAGTGTACCCAGTCGTATTAAACTCACGGTTTGTTAAATGCAAATAAAACACGTAGACACTGCTGTAATTAAAAGTAACTAATTAGCTATAGGCCTGCATAATATTATTAGGAGCCATGTGAAAGTTGAAACTATTTTCACTAAAAACTAAAGTTGCAATAAAGTTATAAATATACACAAGAATATTTTTATATTATTTCTTGTATAAATATACAACAAACACTGCTGTGAAATGTTATAAGTAAAATCTACGCTATATTAAAAGAAATAAGTAATCGATTAAATAATTATCTAATTGTTTCCATATTTTGTTACGATACTGTAATACAATTGTAAATCATCTACAAAAGATTTAATATTTTAATTAAAGATCTCTAACTGAAGTGATTTTATGATCCCGAAACGACAAAATAGAAACTTAATGCGGAGGTGAAAGTTACACTGTCCTAATGTAAATTTATTGTTTCGAATGTGGCAACATTATTTAGCTGTCACTGTCCGTATCTGACATTTATTTGCTTTTTTGTAATTTTTAGACTTGTGATGTGATTGACGTGATTTGTGTTTTCTTTAAAAAATATCAACAAATAATATTTTTAATTTACCAAATGTTTTATTTCTTATAAACTATAAAATTGATATGTCCTATAGTGCCTGTTCACAGTAAAAGGTGAGTGTCTAACTAGAAGGAATTATAATGTAAAAAATTGTAAAATTTGTATCTAATTTCAATTAATAGAGTTCCTATTTCGCGGATACAAGATAATTGTCTTTAATGAACGCTAAAAATGTTAGTTAATATATGTATCTGATTATTTTCATAATTGCTAATCGGCTGTCATAAAATCCTAAACTATTATTATTTTGGTTTTTTAAATATTTGTTACTATTTTTAAATACTTTACAATGATATAGATATATAAAGCACACAACTAAAAACACATCATATTATTTTAATATAGTGTTTATTACAAATATCTTCAACCATTTTTTATACATTGTCATTCTAGTCAAGTTAATAAAATATTTATTACTTATACTCTTTGGTATCATAAACCAAATAAATATGTATATTCTTTTCAGGCAAGTGATAATTACGGGACCATTATTGATAAAACATTTACATCATTGTAGATTTGGTCAGTGTATAACCGCCTCTACCTGTATCAACATCGTATAGTGAGAGATCTCAGAAAGGGAATGTGATTTAAATGTCATAAAACTTATTGATTATTATAGAATTATGTCTATTTATTTTATAATCATATCAGCCGTTAACTGTTTTCTGCTGAAAATAGGCCCTCTCCATATACGAAAAGTTTTGCCAATGTGGTAACTACGCTTGACATACAGATTGGCAACTATGGTTTACCTTTGGTAATCTTTAAAGAGGGACTCTGTTGCCCATCCCTCAACCATATCTATCTATATGCATGCATAATGGGAATTTTATGAAGATACTATAATGTGTACTTAGATGTAGTGCCATATATTCCCTGAATAAGACTTCCAGATGAAATTGAAACAATTATCAGAAACAAGAAACATAGTATATAAAGTTCCCTTTGTGCATGTATATATACATAGTTTAATAATAATATAGAACTTTTTGTTTGAAAATAATATTTGCACATCTTTTCACCAATTTTAGTTATTTAAAACATCATTGCATATTCGCTGAATTTTAATTATATTTAAAAAAATTATAAACTGTCTATACATATGTGAACAAGCTAATATATGAATATTTTGATTCAGTATATTTTTTACTAATAAAAATTTAATTTCAAATTCAATATTTGCAACACAAAATGTGTATGATTTTGTGTATTTATATATATTATAGTATTTATATATATTTGTATATTTAATTCCTTTTTAACTCCTATTTTTATTGTGAAAAAATTTTTAGTTCTCTGATAAAACATAATCATAAAGACTTATTTCACTTGGTGAACATTTATAATGCCCTCATATGGGGTGAAATTTATGTAAAATAATCTTACTATCTGAAATTATACTCACAAACAGAAAGATAGTTGTACATACACCCGAAAATACTTTCAGGTGTGTGCACAACTGTGTATAAATATTAACTTTATACTTAATCATTAAAATCAGTTACTGCATAAATAAATTGTTAATATTTTGAAGTAAGTGAGTGTACTCACAAAATTATCAAGTCATATGCAATTTCCTTTTGTTGTACAAATTCAAACTTTCGTTTCTTAATATACATAGGTATTTACATTCTAATGAAGAAATTTTCTGCAAAAGAAACAATTAATGCTAATTAAATGCTTATTTTAAACTTACACTAATATTATAAGGAGAAAAGAATAGATCTTTTGTATGTTTGTTTGTAATTGATAATAATTTTATCAATTACAAACAGACATACAAACAACTAAATTTAAAATTTCTCTATAATAATTATAAATCTATAAAAAAACTATATTATTAGCAAGTTACATGGGTGGTATTCCATTAAAAAAAACCATGCGAAGCCAGATGTCACCAGTGTAATATAACAGTATGGATTAAATCTAAACATTTATTCACATTATTGTACGTCTGCATATCTCTATATGTATTTAAAAAACGAACAGAGTTTCGTGCCTCCAGTCAAACTTTATAATTATTCTTCTCCATCCAAAGGTTGTCTGGAAGAGATCGCTCTTAGCGATAAGGCTGCCTTTCTTTTCTTAGTGTAATATTTTCTTGTAATTGTTTTGTACTTATAATAAGTTTACTATTGTAATATTATGGAGGAAACAATAAAGAGTATCTATTTAATTTACTGGGTACAGAGGAATAACACCTGAGTCCTCAGGAATGGCAATGCATGGGGGGGGGGGAGGTATCATGGGCGAAACAGTATACTCTGTTATGTCCATGGTACTGCTCATGTCTATTGGCGACAGTTACCACTTTTCATCAGGTGGGCCGTCAGCTTGTTTGCCATTCTAAGTTGTATAAAAAAAAAATCTAAACAGTTTTTAGAAATTACAAACTAATTACTTTATAATTTAAGACAACATTAGAGCACTATATACATCAGATCATACTGTATTACCCATCCGTAGTACTGCGCATGTGCTGCTATTCCTGATCTCTTAGGTATCATATTTATAGACAACAGTTATCACCATCCAAAAGTTGGTTGTGGTTGTAAAAAACTGTTCCATCAGCACAGCGTCCACAGTCATTACTCGCGCATAGCTTGCCCGTGAAAGTCTTGCTTAACAGGATTGATTAACTTCACAGTCATATTTCACTCTTCAAACCAGAATAATATCAATACATGGTAGAACTGATAGCTAGATAGAAGTACTCATGCAAACAAATTTATACAAAGTGCATCTGTCATAAATTTTACTGTTACTTGCAGAAGTTCGACATGGATGGAGCCGACACGGCGTCCTTGCGCGCCAACGCGGCGCAGTGGAGCCTGGCTGGAGACAAGCAGCTACTTGATGTCCTTCACAATATTCATGAAGTTAGTGTAAACTACTTTTAAAATATCTATATACTCGTAGTATGGAATTTTTTTTTAGTGAGCGATAATGAAATAATAACCCCACCCGCGCTATCGGTATACACCGGCGGGGCACCAGTGAAGGATGATAGGCAGGTCAGTTAGCCCATCGTAACGAATTCAACAAGAATTGTTCACGATGGTTTCCAGGGGGAACCACGAGGAGGTCGACCTGATAGAGCATATTGCTAGCAAGGGGGCTGTCAAACTCCATTGTTAACAATCCCCTTCCCCCCCGTAGTATAGAATTGGACTTCGAGAATTTGATGAATTGACTTTGAGTTCGAATTGTTACAATTTCATCCGGAAATCTTCAGGGTATGTATGGTACTTAGTTGTCGTCATTAAATTCTCATTGTTCAGTTACATGTTAAAGATTAGTATTTTGTATGGTCAGCATCGAAGGTCCATTAACATATTAAGATATATAAAATTCATATAATATGTATATATACATACCCTATTGTATGTATATAGTAATTTTTTTTCTTATACGATTTTCGATAAACGAAATAATTATGTACACAACAGTATTTACGTGTTTTGGAAAATAGTAACTTTTTATCTACTTTTTATGCTGATTGTACCATAAAACAAGTGTTGTTTATTAGTCTATTTATCATTATACTTAATGTCTGTAGTATGTTATTTTTTATTACTTGGCATATTTAGTAAACAATCTTGGGACATCTTTTTATTGAAATAATAGAGTAAAACCTAAACAAACAGCTAAAATAAAAAGATCTTTTTATTAATACAATTGTTTTTTTTTTTATGGGTGAACATGGTATGGTAACCCCGCCTCCTCTAACGGGATACGCTAGCGGGGTACCAGTGAAGGGTGATAGATGAGAATGAAAACAGGCCAGTTAACTCATCATTTGAATTCATCAGGAATTAACCATGATAGTTTCCAGGGGGAACAGGAGGTCGACCTGGTTGAGTATATTGCTAGCAATGGGATTTTTAGTCTCCATTAATAACAATCCCCCCCCCCCCCCCCCCAGTTTAAAGATATTATTATTTATAGAAAAAAAAATATATTTCCGTATTAACCCTCTCCATGTCTATTAATTTTTATTGTTCATTTTTCCTTGTGGTCAGATCAAGCTGACCTCTTTATTATCTGAGACCAATGTAAGCAGTGTAGATGTACATGGATATATATATTAAATGTAAACACCTATATTACTAATAAATAATTATCTGTTTATGTTTCATGTTTATCTAGGTATATTGTTTCAGTATATACAAATAAGAATGCATTTATTCGTAATCGATCGTACACCACAATATTAGTTATAGTATTACTCTATACAATATGGCTACTTCCGGGGAAGGTAAAAATTGTTAGCAACGAGAAGTTAGTCCTCTTTGCTAAGCAATATATACTCCATCAAGTCGACCCCCACGCGGTCTTTCCTAGAAACCATCGTTGTTAATTGTGAGTGAAATCATCACGATGGGTTAAAGATCTGATATCATTCTCATCTATCATTCCTCACTGGTGCCCCATTGTATACCGATAGCGAAGGCGTGATTACCATTCCATTTTCATCTCATTAAAAAAATATGTCTGCTCCCTGAAGAAAATGGTTCGAACCATTTTCTCCTCTCTCTGTTACTCGTAATATGACAATTAAAAAAATATTTGCATGTGTACAAATATCACTTATTTATGTAGCGATGACATGACAGCCATGAATCGTATCTTTTTAAGCGACTTTCAAAAGAAGAGGCTTTTCAAACCATTCACATTTTTTTTGTGGCTATACTGTACCATTACGTCGTCAGTTCGATTGTTTTTATAATTATTTCTAGAATAGATAGTTTTGTATTATGATAACACCTCAGTCGGAGGCTCGACGACTATAGTCCAATGAAAACTGAAGATAGTGTCCCAGGAGAACGTTTAGCTGCGGTCTGTGGTCCCAAGATCAAAATCCAGTCTTTTTTTTTGTAAAACCAAATCTTAAATTATTGCGAAGTAAAGATCGCAACCCTTCAGGATCGGCAACGCGCATCTAATGCCCCTGGTATTGCAGGCGTTCATAGTCTACGGTAACCGTTTACCATCAAGTGGTCCGTATGCTTGTTTGCCACCTCATTGGTATAAAGAAACATTCTTGTAGGCATACGATTTCACATTTTAATGTAAAAAAAAAAAACATTTTAATTTAACATATAACGATTAACGTTTTTAAATATTAAAAAAATATCGTTAGTGGTTTAGTTAGTTAGTTAGTAGATGCATAATTACGTACGAGTAGTACTTTACAGTCATAATCTATTAATAAATATTATGCTACATCATCTAATAAAGATAATTTTGTGGTTTTGTAATTGTGTCCATCAATCCATCCTGCTTTATGATAATAAATATTTATATACGAATATAGTTTAGTACAGTTTAAATTTCAATATAATATATTCAATATAAAACAAATTTAATACAATTAAATAAGAGCATTATAATATTTTATTGTTTGAGTGTAACAAGAACATGGACATGGAATAGGCTGTGATAATTTAACTATAATATTTAAGTGTTTGTAACGAAAGTATTCATAGTGGTATTATTTCGCTTTTTTTTTATTGAAAGTTTGAATAACTACTAATTTGCTTAAGGCTAAATTTTTATTTTATAAAATTAAATTTTTAATTAAAAACATTAGGTTAGGTAATTTTTAATGTTATTTATTTCGTGTTTTTCTTTCTTAGTTCCTCCGGACCACTTTGTAATAATATTTATATATAATTAATACCTACATATATTTTTATTTTATATTTAGAAGTTATATGCAAGTTCTTTGTTCGCAGTTAACAATTGCACATTGTTCGCAAAATAATCACATTAAAATAGTGCGAGTATACAAGAATAATTTTAAAGAACAAACCAACCATGTGCATTAATATTGTATTGTATTTAATAATAATAATAATAATAATAATAGCCTTTATTAACAATCTTACAATGTATTTATATAATTTAGTTATTTGTTTGACACCGGTACGTGAAGATTGTCTTGCTGTCCAGCATAGGCCTCCCTTAGAGTTCGCCACTGAATGCGATTCTGCGCTTGTCTTTTCCAGGTGTGTCCCGCTATTTTTTTGATATCGTCTTCCCATCTACGACGCTGTCTCCCTTTTTTTCTCTTATATTGTCTCGGACACCACTCTGTAATATCCTTAGACCATTTTTCTTTATTTATTCTAACTATATGTCCTGCCCACCTCCATTTTAGTTTCTTGATACAGTAAGTAACATCCGTGAATTCAGTTTTCTTCCTTATAGTGTCCAGTTTTACTTTATCTTTTAATTTGATGTTCAGTATACTTCGTTCCATACTGTGTTGGCAAGTTTCTAACTTATGTATGTTATGATTAGTCAAGCTCCAGGTTTGGCATCCATATGTCATAACAGGCAAAATACAAGAATTAAATATTTTGCTCTTCGCTTTCAGTGGTATGAGAGGGTTTTTCATTACCTCCTTAAGAGACCAGTATCTTGCCAGCGTAACTCTGTTGTTAATTTCTTTTGTTGTTAGGTCTTTTGGAGATATGATCTGACCGAGATATGTGTATTCCTCCACATATTCCACTGTTTTACCGTTAACCGTTATAGGGAAGCTTTCCGAATTTGACATTATTTTGGTTTTCGTAGTGTTCATTGATAGCCCTACTTTATCACTTTCATGCACCAGTTGGTCTAACATCTTTTGTAAACTTTTTGGATCAACGGAAATCAATATTAGATCATCTGCAAACCTTAAGTGGTTTAATCGCACACCGTTGATAATCAAACCATAGTTTTCCCAGTCCAGGCATCTAAACACGTGTTCGAGAACAGCTGAGAATAGTTTGGGTGACAAAGGATCACCTTGTCTTACACCTCTTTTTATCGGAAAAGATTCTCCATCTCCTTCTGTTCTTATTTTTACTTTCATGTTCTTATATATATTGATGATCAGTCGAATATACTTTTTCTCCACTCCTTGTGTTTCTAGAGCTTCCCAAATTTTTATGTGTTTTAAGGAATCGAATGCTTTATTATAATCTACGAACGCAAGGTAAAAGGTAATATTATATTCACTGCATTTCTGGATTACTTGTTTTATAGTGTGAATATGATCTATTGTTGAGAACTCACTACGAAAACCTGCTTGTTCTTTAGGTTGGTTTTCATCCAAAGTCTTTGTTAAACGATCTAACAGTATTTTTGAAAATATATTGTACATATTGGACATCAAGCTGATGGGTCTGTAATTGGTTATATCATCTTTCTTCCCTTTTTTGTGTAGTAATATAATAATTGATGTAGTCCACTGATGAGGTATATATTCTGTGCGCAAAATTTCGTTAAATATCTCTGTGATAGTGTTTAACGTTACTTTGGATGATCCCGTTAGCAATTCATTAGATATTAAATCTTCTCCAGGCGTTTTTCCTTTCTTCTGTGATTTGATAGCCTTATTGACTTCATCTTGTAGTATGCAGGGGGTCACATCCTCTACAGTTTTAGTGCAGTTTATTAACTGGTTGGATTCCTCTATTGTTGCGTTTTCATTGTATAGTTATATATAATATGCTGTTGGTGTTCCTATAAATAAATAAACCAACCTTCTCTTGTTCGACAAATAGTGAACCAATCTATCGATACGTTTTCGTTACCACATGCATGAGAGAGAACAAGACGCTGAATGTTGCGATCTTTTTCTATCTCATACACGCGATATCAATAGCATAACTATTGATGTATTCGTTTATTTCATATCTATGAAGGCAGAGAATAATAGGCATTACTATTGTTACTTTATTCCATTATTATTACAGCGCCTCGTGTCGAGATGTCAGGAGACGAACAGAAAGTTAGATGAAATGGTCTCATCGCTAGATGACGCTTCAATTGATCTACAGAATGTAAACAACAAGTAAGTTCTCGACTTAGTCATTTTGTGAACAGAATTAGATTAATAATAATAAAATAATAGCTTGAATAAATATGTAGTTTCTCAAGCAAGCAATACTATATCAACTATCTGTTTAACTATTTAAATCATTTATATATTAAATAAAAATGGAAATGGCCCAAATTTAAGCCTTGCGATACGCTCATTTTGTTTTGTTCATTTATCATAATATCATAAACATATATAGAACTCAGCTACTTACTAATAATACAAAAGCTAGTTTTTGATAGCAAACTCTTACGCTCAACTTTTTTGGAAACATCACTTTTAGTACTGTCTTTAAGCGAATTTCAAAAGGAACGGAAGTTTTATTAACAGTTATAAACCAATTTTGCTAATTTTGTTGCAATAATGTTTTTCGATTCTGCTTTCTAATTTCAAATATTAATATTGATTCCTTTTATAATTTACTGTAGCACGATATAAGTTCATTCGTCATGATATAATAGAAGAGCGCAAAATATAATTGTATGCAGACTTTTTTAAATTTCCGTGCATGTTCTCAACATCGTCATGCTATGCACGTCCAAGATATCGTCGTCTAGAGATAACAAAAAATAAACTTTCACGTTTATAAAGAGAGTACCGAATTACAATTTAAAATTTACATTAAATTTTAATATTATTATTTTATTTAAATAAAAAAAAATTCTATCTTCAGCTCCTTCAAGGTACTTTGCTATCGTATCATTTAAAAATTAAATTAGCTTAAAGTAAATTCGTATTTAAAATAATGTGTGTTTCAGGTTTATGGCCTTAAGTAACAGTCAATTCATAGAGAGTCGAGTTTATGATGATGATGTGGAAGTGAAGGAATCGACTGAGGAGCCAAAAGTAAGTATTAAGTCTTATCATGTTTGAAAACTAATGAATTTTGAAAAAAAAAAAACGGGTGGTATTATAACAGTGTTGCTGTTAATCCTTCAAACTGTTTTTCCGTGCAACTTTCATGTAGTAATTTCGAATCCAAAATTTGCATCATTTACTTGCATTAAAGTTGTAAGTTTTCTCTTTTACAACCAATTTTAAAAAGAAGGAGGTTCTTAATTCGATTGTATTTTTTTTTATGTTAGGTACCGTCATTTATATGTATATATTATTTTAATATTTTCATTTATATTTATGATTTGAAAAAGTCTTTTTTATCTGAAAGGATACACTTTCAGATTGGTCTTATAGAAATATCAAAAGTATTCATTTAAATTAAATATCAAAAGGTTAAGTAATTCAGTTTTTTTAATTAAAATAACCATAATTTTAAACTATTAATACAGGAACCCCCAAAACCAGTGGACCCCTCGGTAGAGTTAGAGAAATTAAAACAAGGCCTAAAAGTATTGGAGAGCATGCACGAACCACTGCACATATTGCACGACACGGACAGTGAAAGTGACACTGAGGACGAAGACGCCGGAAGGTAATTAAACTGCAAACTCTTTTTCACCAACTAGTAAATTATCACCAACACAATTATTACAGGGTGTTATCAAATTCATTAGCTTATTTTTTAAGATCGTTTTCGTTCAATCAATAAAACTGAACATTTTTCCTAAAGAAACAGAGGTTGATAAACTACAAAAAATTATGTTAAATAGTCAAAATTGTTGGTACTTGGTCGAACTTTATACACATGTTGATATTATTAAAAACACTTGTACTCTTCCACAAAGAAGGTTTTATGATAAATACCCCACCAGTTTCACCGTATAGGGTATTTTCAAATTATTATTTATTTCCTTTATTTTTTTTTTTGAAGTATAAATGAAAATTATTACAAACAAGTGGGTACATAAATATTTCCCTAATAATATCAATATGAATTAAAAAATGTACCTCCCATATTAATTTGCCACATGGACAAGCTGCTTTTGTGTGATGTATGAAATTTTAAAAAGTTTTTTTAGTTTAATTTTTGACTCATTTTCTGTCCTAATATGGTCTATAACATAAGTTGAAGAATCTACAAATTTTACAACGTGCAGCAACTTCGATTTCGTTTTCTATTTATCACTGTTGGATTTCAGTATTATACAACTGATGAATTATAATTTTGTTTACTGCTATTTTGCACAATACCAGTATGTTGATAAGAATGTTAATAGCAAGCTTCTCAGTTTCCTAAACTCTTTACAATTGAATTTGTTTATTTATATTGTCTTACTAGCTGTTGCTCGCGACTTCGTCCGCGTTTCCGTTGTTTTTCGTAAAATAAGTAGCCTATGTCCTTCCTCACGTTTCAGTGGTTTTGATGTAACAGACACATTTTCCTTCACTGCTCTGCTCCTATTGATTGTAGCGTGATGAAAAGTATACTATAACCTGCCCAGGAATATGAAGAATAATAGTACCAAGTTTCGTTAAAATCCGTCGAGTAGTTTTTGTTTCTATAACGAACATACAGACAGACAGAAAAATTTTACTGATTGCATTTTTGGCATCAGTATCAACCACTAATCACCCCCTGATAGTTATTTTGGAAATATATTTCATGTACAGAATTGACCTCTCTTCAGATTTATTATAAGTATAGATATAAAAATCTCGAGACACGGTATTTGTGGTCGAATTCCTCTGAAACGGTTCGACCGATATTTATGAAAATTTTTACGTATATTTGGTAGGTATAAGAATAGATTGTAAAATATATTTCATACTGCTATGTAATTAGGATGACCCTATCCAGAAAAAAAGTATTTATATGGCAGAACAACGTTTACTGGGTCAGCTATTTATATATAAAAAAATATGTAATAAAAAAAATTGTCACATCTTGCATAATTTCTTAAAATAATTATTGTAATCATTTTTACAGGCTAATTCTAAAACCTAAAGACTTATATGCAGACCGTCCTCTGCCCTATATCATTGGATCAACTGCTTGGAAGAGCAAATGGCATGCTGGTGAGTAATAGATTTTCAACCTTATAACAAATGGACATACATTAATTTGACGTTGACGTTTTGGTCCCAATGCTTATTTATATTCCCAGCATTTTTTTGTAAAAACAATGTTATTGAATAAACAATACTATAATGTCATTGTAATACATATACAGATTACATTTTACCTATCTATTTATCTATTGTAGGATTACTGCCTGATGACAGTGACACAGAGAGCAGCGTATCCAAGCCGGACAGAGAAATGGTTCAGTATTCAGACTCGGAACCAGAGATTACCAACATACAAACAGACAAACCGGATACGAACAACGACAGAACTGTAAGTTACCTCTTAACTGGATTTTTCCAGAGACCAGTAAGCATTCTATGTCACGTTACAGTCTATGTAGTTGATGTCTATATGCGACATTAAGCATTTTCAACAAATTTAAATAGAAGGACGTTCTCAATTTAATTGTATTTTTTTTTATGTTCGTTACGTCATAACTCCGTCAGTAGTGAATCGATTTGGATAATTGTATCTGAAAGAATACATTTCCATATTTTATCAAAATATATTCAGTAATTTAGTTTTTGAATCAAAATAACTGGTTTTGTCCCAACAGAAGTCTGTTTTTTTGGAACACAATTCTACTTTTTTTTTCTACATTACTAAATATAATAAATCAACAATCCTGGAGAGATGTTTGTTCAATTTCTTATTTATTCAGGTATCCACCACCAGTTCAGAGCTGGTGTCCGAACAGGATGTATCATCGGTGAAGCCGTCTCCATCAGATGTCGCTGCGGAGCTAGCCAGGAGACTCGGGGGACAGATGCCCACGGTGAGTTGAAATACTATTATTTATATAGTTACTTTAGATATTTTACGCTCCCTTCTTCCGCATAATTATATACAATATATATCCTCCTGTATAATTTCCTAAAATACAGGCTTTTTGTATTCTACGAGGTTGGCAAACAAACATACAGCTTGTCTGATAATAAATGGTCAACGGTTGGCTATGGGCGCCTGCAACACTACGGTGGTGCATGGTGTTTTAAATTTACATCTTTTGCTACAACCACAAATATTTTTGTTTATAGATACCAGACTATGAACCAGAGTATACACCTCCAAATCCAGTAACAAGGAAAGTGTACAGACCAGAACAGCCTATCACCAGTAAGTTATTACTAAAGTTTAAGGCCCCAAATCTTTTTTAAGAAAGCCTAAAGTAGAGAAAAAGGAATATAATATATTACTACCAAAAATAAAATGATTAATAACTAACGATCCGTCTCCAACTTCGCATGGGTACATAGAAAAATATATTATTGTTTTATATTAGCTTTATAGCAAATAAATTTTTGGTGCTTTTGGGTTACATTATTCAAATTTTCGTAGGAATCTCAATTTTTTAAAAAAATATATAGCCTATGTTTGAAAGAATTTTTAAAATTGGTTTAGTAGTTATAGTTTATCCAACAAACATTCAAAAATCCAATCTTTCTTTTTTGTAATATTATAGATTACTAGTTGTACCCCTCAGCTTTGCCCACATGAATCATTATGTAAAGTATCTTATATGCTGACTTGAGATATAACCTACCTGTGTCCGTAAATTCATTATTTAATACTTTTTGCATGCAAGAGTAACGAATATCCATCCATCAGTTCTTACAAACTTTCATATTTATATATATATATATATATATATATATATATATATATATATATATATATATATATATATATATATATATATATATTTCTACACTACTTTTTTAAATGATATACATATAAATTATTCTTACAGGTACAGTATTTGCTGATGAACCACCACCTCTTGACGCTTACTCTGATGAAGAAAGTCAAGAAGACGACATATTTGCAGAACTGCACAAAAGTAAACCTTACGCCAATAAAAATATGCAGCAGAGTCGTGTCACCCAAGATCTGTTTGGCGGATTAGACCAAGAAAAAGAGGATGATAGTATATTTAACGATTTTGAAGAGGTATGATATAGCAATCTTAGTATAATTTTTTACTTTGCTAAATATGAATAAAGTTGCTGTATAAAAGTGACAATTAGTTTTTTACGAAACTGACTTAAAGTAGAATAAACGAGGTTCTTAAAATAATAACTGTATGTCAACTCTTGACTGTATAATAAAATAAAAAAAAAATCATATGTAAACTTACAACAAAGAGAAACTTCAGTTTTATTATTTTACTCAAATCTACAGAATTTAATCTTTATTGTCTTTCTTTAAAGATAGAAATGCAAGTGCTGCGCAGAAAACCCGAGGGTTTTCTGACTTATTCCCTTATTTGTCATCACTTTCCATATTTTATATTTTGTAGCCACAGAAACCTGCTATCCAAAGACAATACTTAAATATTGGTGAATCAGAACCGGAATTATTTGTAGATACTCCGAAACCAAAGATAAAACAAGATACAACTTCCATTGAAAGTGGCAGTATTAAGGTAAATTAAAACATTAAATACTTAAAATTAATCTTAATGTTAATAATTGTTATGATAATAAAACCTAATACGAAAATCCAATTTTTATCAAGTAAATATATAATTATGATGGTACTAAATTAACCTTGATATTAGTATTTTCATATAGACATAGATGTCTGTAATTATATTAAATTTTTCTAAATGTAAGTTATTTTCAGAAACCAGTGGGTGGTATATCTCTATTTGGGACAAATAAAGGAACAGAAATTGGTGCTGCTATTTTAAAACGTAATCGAAGACAATCATCAACAGATGAAGATACCGGCAATGAAGAGGTCACGAAAAATATACAAGAAGATCGCAAATCAAAAGAAAAAGATATTTTTGATGATCTTTTTGCCAAATCAATAAAGGACCAAAAGAAGGTTGAAAACAAGATAGGAAAAATTGAAAAAGAACAGAAAGAAATAAAGAAAGTAGATTTATTTAGCGATAATTTCTTTGATGATATAGATGATATTTTTACTACAAATATTACCAAAGTACCTATCAAAGAATCGACTAAAAATAAAAAATCATTGTTTGATGATGATGATGATGACGATCTGTTTTCTGATATTTCCGTGGCAAAATCCACCAAACAAGAAATTACAAATAAAATTACACACAGTGATAAAAGTATTTTTGATAGTGAAGATGAGTTATTTTCCGAGAAAATTGTTGAAAAGACTGTAATAGATACCTATAAAGATGGTGCTAATAATGCTAGTGAATTTAATGTAGATAAAATTATAAAACAATCTAAAGTATTTGATGACAGTGACATACTTAATACTAAAAATGATGTAAAATCTTCAATAAGTTTAAATCCTGATAACAACGATCAAACAGTTAAGTCAGTAAAAACAGTAGAAACATGTACATATAAGCCACAAACAACAAATATAGGTTTTGAAGATACTAAATTAATCAATGATAATCTAAAATCGAGTCCTTCGTTATTTGATGATGATGAAGATGACAATATTTTTAGTTCAAAACCAACTGTAAAAACGAGTACTGATAGTATAAAAGTTGATAATATTGATAAAGCTAATACAATTACAAAAAGTCTGAAAAAGTCAATATTTGGTGATAGTAATAGCGAAGACGAAAGTGATTTATTTTCTGGGAAAACTGAATTTTCTAGACAATTACCAAACTTAAAGGAGATCTATAAGGCAAACAGTGAAAGTGATGACGGTAATGAAGAAAACAGAACTGCATTATTTACAAAGATAAATTTTGAGAAGAAAAATGATAATAATCCACATACAGAACCCAATACGTTATCTGAAAAATTGGAAAATAATAACAAAGAAATCGTCTCCAAAAGTGACGAAAATCGTAATCTTAAGACAACAAACACAATAAAACCAGTGGAAAAAGAATCGCTTTTGTTTGATAATGATTGGGAGGATAATTTACTTGTAAAGCGTAATGAGATTCCTAGAAATAAACCAGTAACAGTAAAATCTGTACTATTCGACGATGAACCAGACGATGACATATTTAATACAAAACAAACAAAAGAAAAAGATTTTACTTCAGAAGATGTGGGTGAAAATCATCAAAATATTTTGAGTGATGATTTGAAAGACCATTTATTTGCTGGAACCAATAAAAATTTTGCAAATACTACCAGTAAAGAAAATAACTCCATGAAAAAGAATATATCCAATGTATTAAATAGTGATTCAAGCAAAGAAAATATCCAAATTAATATGTCAAAAACGCTGCAATATAAAAATGAGGAGGATAATACTAAATCGCAAGTATCTGATGACGATACTTTAAGAAATAAATCATTTACAGAAAAGCAAAATGTATTAAAAAATAATGAAATTGCTGATGAGTCAGAAACACAAATGAAACAACAATCTACTTCAAGTATCTTAGAGACTAAACATGAAAGTATAGAGAATACTGAATTGAATGTTAATAAAAACGTATCATATGAATCGGAAAAAACAGATCAAAAGAAATCATTTTTGAAAGATGATAATTTAAACGATAATACAACTGGAGCTTTATTTACTCAAGAGCAAATTTCAGTGTTTAATAAACAGGATGTATTTAGCGATTTATTTAGTGAACCGCCAGAGTTTGAAAAATCTAAGGAACCTAAAAAAAGTAAAAATGTTAACGCTTTGTTTGATGATGATTCAGATGATGAAGCATTATTTTTCAAGAAAAATGATCCTACTTTAGATGAAAAACCAGATGTGATATCGCCTCTTAACGAAAATAGATTATTTGGTATATTCCATGATGAACCACCGGCCATGGACATTGATTTTATAGACAATTCCAATAAATTATTAGATGATAATTTATTTAGTGAAGTTGATTCTGGTTTATTTGCCCAAAAATCTATAATTACAGATACTAAAATGAAGCCTGAAGTTGTAAAAAAGACAAATATGGAGCCTCCTGATGAAACTAAATTAATAACAGAAACTGAAATAAAGAAACCCATAGGAAAACTCAAAACAATGAACTTTAATATAGATGTAAATGCTTTATTACCTGGCGCCTCACCAAAAAAAGTGAAAGGAGAAGAACAAGCTGATGGATCAAGTAAGTCAATAAAAAGTGAAGAAACTGTAAACATAAAAAACTCTGAAGTTGGTGAAACGGAATCCAAAATAATTAAATCTGTAAGTTTCGAAGGAGATCCTGATTCAAGTGTACTAGATAATAAATTATCTAAAGAAAGAGCCAAGATACAAGTGAAGAGACGCCCTTCTACTAGAAGAGCTAGAAAAGAAGCTGCAAGAAAATCCGCTATAGATTTCGGTGATGATACTACTGATAATTCGAGTTCTATTGATGATCCTCCAAAAATTATCAATTTAGAATCAAATATAAAACAACACATAGAAAACGAAACGCCAAAAATTGCCGATAAGACTAATGGTTCAAAAGTTGATCCTTTTGATTCAAATATAAAATATGATATAGAATCAAATATACCAAAAGAAGTGAAATCTAAAGTAGTTTATGTGTTACATGATGAAGATATATTCACAAATATAAATACTAATCAAACTTTACAAAAGAATGAAGTTTCAAATATCGTCGACGTCGTAAAGTCTTCAGGCACCGATAATAAAAATGAACACGGTAGTAAAACAAATGTAGACAATGAAGAAAATATTAAAAGTACAGAAATCATCAGTTCAGTTGGTAAAACCAGCTCAACTAGTGCTGAAGAAGACATAGGTACAAAGAGTCTTGAAAAAGAAACCAAGGATAAGGTAAAAAGCAAGTATAATACAGTGAACTCAGTGGGGACTATAGAGAATACTTCCGAGATTACATCAATCACAAAAGTGAAAAAGTCTATTTTCGATGATTTAAGTGACGACGAGAATGAATTATTTAATAAAAGTAAACCTAAAACCAAGGATATATTTGATTCCGATAGTGAAGGTGAGCTTTTTGGCAAAAAGAATATTAAAGAAAGAAAGAGAATTGAGGTGAAGAAGACGCTGTTCAGTGAAGACGAAGAAGATGATTTGTTTGGTGCTAAAGCAAATAAGACCACAGGTAAGTTTTTTTTTTTTAATATTACATAAATACATTTTTAAAACAACACTTCTGTCGTTTACTTTATGCATATCTGCAATTTAATTACTACAGTAACTGGATGGTTATGATAGTTCGGCCATAATATGTCATTATAGCATGTGATATGTTTACAATAACGACAGATGGCTCAATGCCCTTAAATGACCTATCTGCGCTTACTGTCATAAGCTTTTATATTTCGTTTTTAAGTTTAAAAAAAGTTTTGTATTTGTTTATTTTTTTTGTGTACATGTTACGCGATATCTTCACCAATTCTGAATCGATTTTGATAGCTATTTTTACTATTGATTTAATGCCGTCTTCGGCTCATTAATCATCGCGTCACATCATGATTGATTTATCTTAAACTTTATGCAATAAACTATCTATACATATTGACGCTTTCCAAAAAGAAGCCTTCAATTTATTTGCCAGAAGAATAGAAAGTGACAAATTAATTATTGATTCAGGTATTACAGAGAAACCAGCACGACAAACAGTACAAACAGCGAGAGAGATAGTTCCGAAACCAACTGAGCCAGTGTTCGAAGACCCCTTATCTCTATTTGGAGGAGATGATGATTAAGATGTGTTGAGTAATTAAAAGACGATGGAGTTAATTGCTTTTTTCATGCCGTTGAAGTCGACCAGGTATGGGGTAATATTATGATACCGCATACAGGAAAAATAAATTATGTTATGGATAAAGTAGAAAGTGAAATGTCAGATTAAAGTGCATATTATGTACGAATTTAAAGAATTTTGCATACCCCATATAGAAAACGACAGTAAAAATAGTGGCGGCAATAAATACCTAAATTAAATGAATATTGACAATATTGATATAAGTACATACAAACGATGTCTAAATGACATACAATTTCAGAAGCACATTAAGTTTGGTGCACGTTATTGTATTTTTGAACATACACTGTAAAGGAGGCATCCATTAATTATTGAGATATATTTATTTAAACTTCTCCTTTGTGAGATGTTTTGTGGTATGTGATATTTACCTCTGAGATTTTAAACTATTAATCAATTATATAATTTCCCATTCGTGTTTCTACCGTAAAGCAGTTGCTTACATTGCTGTGTTTTGGTTTGAAGATATGGCAGTGAATTTTCAGCGTATAAAGGTTTAGTCCTCAGGAATAGCGACACATGGGGGGTATCATGGGCGAAACAGTCTATTATATCCATGATACTGTTCATGTCTATAGGCGACGGTTGCCACTTTCCATCAGGTGGGCCCTCAACTTGTTTGCCATTCTGTTACATAAAAAAAATTAAAATACTTCATTTTACTGTGTTCATTAAAATTATATTGATTTATTATTGATATTTAAATTTATATGATATGTAGCTTAATTCACTAAATATATTTTGCTTTATTTCATTAAATATCTAAGTTTTAACTATGCAATTTGTTGTTATAAGATTTTTAATGCAGTCTTTTCCTATAAATGAAATTTAATAAGATAACAGACCTAAGGCTTTACGTAATTTATGTATGCCCCCTCATACTATTGTTGTCTGTCTCTATAGAGCTTATAGCTACAATTCATGAGCAATGTTGAGTAAATACGTGAATAAGTGTTGTGTCCGCATAAAATGTTGAGAGGTAATTTTTAATATTTACATTTATTTTCATATTTAATACTTTTCTTGTTATTTATTTACATTGTTTTTTATATACGCAAAAGCTTTTAAAATCAAGTATTTTCATGTATATGTTTATCGCGTAAAAGTTGTTAATAGTAGCTATTTAAAAATAAAGCTACCTTAATATAGTAGATTATATTGATACCTATTTTTAAATATAAAATGTTGAAATGAAATCATTGTGAATCGTATAAAGATTTTCATTACGATTATATTAATGTTTATGTCGATAATGTCTTCTCTAGCGCCTCTAGCGGATGGTTTCAGAAACACATTTTCATATAAACAAGGACGTAAACGTAAATGCGTTCATAACATAAATGTTTGTACAACTAACTCTAGACACCTATATTTTGAAACAGACTATCACTTATCGTTTGTGATGGAATAAATTACAATGTTATTGATAATTCTATCTCACACATTCCAATAACGAAATATAGTTTTTTTTTTTTGCTGTAAATGTTATAATTTATAATACTCTTTATATTTAATTTATGTTAAAATATATAGTAATATAGTATTTTAAAATGTACTGCAAAATTTTTAAATCAATTTCCAAGGATTCCAATAATTTGCAATTAAAAAGTTATAAATATATAAGTTAATATATAACTTTATAATATATAACGTTGTGATAAAATACCAGTATTTTTGATGGTTCGCAGCATTTCCGATCGATTCTCCTCACTGTATAGGAGAACACAAAAGAAGTTTCAATTACTAATATTTTTAATAGATACTTAAAAATATTGTACAAAATTTTGTTTGTTTTTTTGTTATACGAAGAATATGCAGTGCATTTTTAGTATCATATTACGCAAATTCGTATTATGAAAGTATTTCTTTTTAGAAACTGTAATTAAAATTATTGTAATAATATATCTATAATTATAGTTTATCAACGAACTACAATGCTGTGGAATGAATATTTTATTCAAATAACAGCACCACGCGAACCCGATCAAGTAAGCGCTTGTTTTAATACACTGTGCAGGCTCGATGAATCGCACGTGTATATGGACTGTAATCTTACTATACTAATATAATAAAATTGTAATTAGATCATGTTTGTACGTGAGAGGTATTTAAGAATATGAGGAGTCTAATTAACTAATAATGATCAATCTGAACATCGTAATTATTTGTTGCAACCTAATAAACTTAGTTGTGTCTGCTTTCAAATAGTTTTCTAATTTAAAAGCTAATCCTTGAATTGCGGCTTTTCAACTTTTAGACTACATATTTTGATCTGGCGTGTGGAGCATTTTTTTTCTCTTATAGGTAATTTTGAATTATACTTCCATAGTATCATAGTTCGTTGTTAGTAATCAAAATTGTATAAAAAAATTGTTTTTAAGTTTTTAAATTAAGGTGTAATTATAATTAATAAGGTGCCGAATTTATTGTAAATAAATGTTAATATATTTAAATTATGTTTTGTTTTGAAATTTTCATAATTTTAAAGAATTTATAAATAAAATTATCTTTACCCAAAAATTGTTTTTATTCTTATACAAAAAGCAGTAGATATGTACCTATATAGAGGAATCTAACGTTGCAAGATTTTTTATAATTACGATCACGATTTGTACGGTCGAATTACTAATTATAAATCGGGTATTATCGAATTTTATTTTCTAATAGTTTTAATGAAGAATAATTTTTTTAAGTATATATAAATGGTTAACAGTCAAATTCGAAACTACAAGTAAAAGGTGTTTAGAAATAGTCTCTGGACTGTAATTTCCAAATTCTTTGAAGAAGAAATAGAAGTGTTAATACAATCCTTAGATTATAAAGTGTACAGATTGGTAATGTAAAACAAAGAAAATACAATAACCTGTATGTTAGAGCGAGAAATATAATAGGACGATAATTTACACAATATATACTCGAAGCTGTTTTGGCATGGCAACAAAATAAAATCTAATTATTAATTTGTATTGAAGTGGAATTAGTTTTAAGTAAATGTAGTCAGTTACAATTAAGTATGTTTTACCTAAATGTAATATAAATATCAGGAAAAACGCAAGTTCATGTTTTTCGTGTAAATATACTTCAAATTTTTATCATTTGAATTTGTATATGAATCGACAAGAAAAATTAGCACATTTAAATTAATGAATACTCTGAAGGCTCAAGTATTACTTAGAGTAAGTACTTAGAGATTGCCAATAAGTGTCAATGACATTTTATCGATTGTATTGGTTCAACAAATTAACAAATTAATATGATAGTTAAGCTATAATGATTTTACCGATATATAAAAATATAACCTTGCAATACATTGTAATCAGTATGGTCGAGTTGATATATTAAGACCTACACCTGTTTTCGTGTACTTGCTTCGGCAGTACATATACTAAAAAACTCCCGTTTTAGCGAGATAGTCTGTTGTGACGGGGGAGAGGGATTGTTAATAATGAATACATTAATACTAATTCTAACAAAATTCTCTGTCAGGTCGACCTCCATGCGGTTCTCGATGGAAACCAACATGGTTAATTCTTGCTTAATCCGTCGCAATGGGTTAACTGTCCTGGTTTCATCCTCCTGGTGCTGGTTTCATCCTATCATCACTTACTGGTGTCCCACCAGTATATATTGGTAATGTAGAGTTACCATTCCATTATCATCCACTAAGTCTGTCGTGGTATCTTGAAGTGAGCGAATAAGTAGTGGCTAATTACTAGAGAATAATAGAGAAACTAATGAATAATATTGCAATCACAAAGTTTGATCGTGCAAGGAATTTTCATTTATCTATATTTCTCCTTAGATTTTAAGTATTTTGAATAATTGTAAAGTAAGTATAATTCTGTTAAAAAAAAAAAAAAAAACTATCTACGTAAATATAGTAAAAATAATGCATTTTCTTCCTATGTCTTTCTTATACATCGAAGCTAGTTCTAAGGTGCAATTTTTTTAAACTTTGAACATAACATTTTAATTTGATAATTTTGCTAAATTACTGTTTTATTGATCATCACAAGCTAAAATTATGATAATTTTGACTTAAATAAAGTAGGTTTTTAAAAAAAGATTTCGTTGTGATATAAAATTGAAATATTAATTTTAAAGACACGTTTAGAAAATAGCAACTTAGATCTGATCGCAGTAATCGACTGAATGACAGTAAGTGTCGAAGTATTTGTTTGACTGATTGAATGAGTACCAACTGACAGTTTCGTTCATATTACATATGGCATGAAAGAATAAAACGTTGTTTCCTAACCAATAAAGCAGATAAAAATGAAGCCTCTAAATAAATTTAAAGATAAAAATGTGAAAAAGAAGAAGAAACTGATAATTAAACCGAAAAAAGATCAAGTGCTTGTTGTAGCACAAGAAATAAAATTCGCCAGATTGCTGTCGGGCAATGAAAAGAGAACTAGGGACAGAGTGTTAAAAGCTTTAAAGAAGTGGCTGTCTAACTGCTTCGAGAAGTCCCATGGCACGTAATTAACACAATAAGACCCTTATCAATAATTTTTAATTTGATAAGAAAAAAATTATTTCATAAACCTAACCTAATGTTATATATATTTTTTTTTAATAAAAAAATTGACACTTATAACAATTCACTAAAAGAATGTTTACTGAAAAAGAAAGGAACTTTCATTTTGTACTGTCTATTGAGCAAGTACTTTATCTTTTTATAGTAAAAACAACATTCCTCCTTATTAACATTTATGGGTGCTAATCAGTTAATCATTGAAAAAAGGTCTTTTCCAGCAAACCTTTCGCTTAATTGCATTCAGATACACATACCACCATACCATATCAGCTGTTAAAATTGTTCACTCCTAAATGTAGGCGTCCCCCCTACTGGAAGGTTTTACCAGTAGTTGTCACACTTGATGGGCGTGTTGGTAACTGTAGTTTGACCTTGGTGATGCTACTACCTATCCCTCCACCATTGAGTTCCCTTAGTCACTTCTTACAACACCTATGGGAAGGTGTGGCCTATTCTTTGCCGGGACCACATGCCAAAGTGATTCTAGATAATTTACTCATGTATTGTACATATGTATGTAATATATGTACTGTACAAACATGGTTAGTGATAAAGTAGTGAATGTTAGTATAAATTTTATACCGAGTTATCTAAATAATTTGTAATTTATTTTAGTATTTAAAGAAGATGATTTCATTCGAGTGTGGAAGGGCTTGTTTTATGCTGTGTGGATGTCAGATAAACCTCTTATACAGGTATGTAGCTCATCATAATGTTTGCTTACTTACTACTTATATAAGTTGGGTCAAACCAAAGCCCAGCTATATTCCAGCTAACTAGTAACTTTTTATAATTCTTTAAATTCAATTTTACCTTTTGAATACAGGAGTTTTTTTCCTTATTTATTTAAGGATTTTTATGTAAAATAGGACAAGTTTAATGCCATCATACTTTATCCCAAATATGCAGCAATAAGTTTTAAGTTTGAATGTCTATGCTTCTTGAAAGGTGGCTAATCCTACAATTATATGTAAATGTTAAAGTTTGTGAGAACAATTTTTTTTTAATCTTTCATGCAATTTTCAAGGAGTTTATATCATGATTAACACAGGATACTACAGCCATAGGATGTAGATAGTAAGATTTACATAACATTTAAGGTAAATCTATATTAAGATCCATTATTTTGGTAAGGCACCTTGTATATTTTTTTAACTTTTATTATTATAATATATTATTATTAATTTTATTAGGAAGAACTATGTGAGAGTATCGCTGGAATACTGGATTTATTCCCAGTGGAACAAATTGCACCTGCTGTGCTGATGATGAAGGCTGGTTTCCGAGTGCTTGCCACAGAGTGGTATGGCATTGATCACCATCGTATGGATAAATTCCTCATGGTATGTCTAAAATTTTAAATGCATAGTACAGTAATATTGATAAGAGATTTAATTTATATTCCACTTGACCTAAAACAGACTAAAGACAACACATAAATTTGTTATATTTTTTGTAGGCAAACAAATAGCAATCATTATTATTATAACCAATCCATTCTTCACTGTTGAACATAAATTTCCTTCATATTTCACCACAATGTGTGATCCTGCACAACTTGCATTCAATGACTCTTTGCAATACTCTTGATAGATCACTCCATGTTATGAAGGTTGGCCCTATATTACATTTGCCTACACAAGGTCACTACTTAAGAACCTTTCTTCGTCATCAGTTACAGTTTACTCAAGCTATATAGTAAGCTTTTTACCACTTTAGCTTACTGCTGTTACTAATACTAATAATAGCATATAATTTATAAGTGAACTTGTATTTAATGCAGTTGGTGCGGCGGTATCTCAGAGGCGGGCTCCGGTGTCTCCATCGTACCAGTTGGAGTCTTGACAGTTGTGAAATGTTTACAAAAATGTTGACCGGACCTGATGGTGAGTAGTGTACTGAAAATACTGGGCATGGGTATTATGAATACTGATCCGATATATATATATATATATATATATATATATATATATATATATATGGTTTTTCTAAACTTAGGAAAAAAGGTCATCACCCATTTCAATGGGTGATCCTTATCAGTTGGATATCTATTTTCGATATGTTAAAAATCTAATATTATTTTCTACTTAACAGTAGTAGTAACAATTTTTAACATATTCATTATTGGATATATACTGGATATAGATATTGTTATATATTACTCACCCTCAGAAGATACAGTTTCCTTTGACGCCAGTGTCACACATAATTTCACTAGTGATGAATTTGTATGTTCGTGATCCTCTATTTGAAGTTAAAAAGGCTATAATTTTAAATTAAAATCAATTATCGAAAGTTGTAATTATGATAAATATAACAAGCCACAGTACTGTGTAGTAAAAAATACTAAATTTATCACATCTTGGGGAAGTAAGATCTTTTTAAGTTGATGTGTGTAGAACACTGCAGTTTATACAATATTTATTTTCAGGTATATTCGCTGTAAAAACTCCTCATTATGCAAGGAATGCCACATCAATGCTTATGCACATTACTGACTGTTTTTTAGAAGAGTGTGCTAAGGTATGTTCTATCTAATATTATAATTTCTGCTGTTTCTTGTCCACTGTTGAATTTGGATTACTTAGGTTTATCCCTCAATGGGATTAAACGCGTTTTGTAATTATTTATCTCGGCTTTACTTACGTTTTAAATTCGGGGACGCCCGATTAATTTCGAACTCAATAGAGGCCCTTATTCATGAGCGCGGTTTATGACAGTGATGTGAGTAGCACTAACCGACCATCGTGCTACTATTGTACACGTTAGATAAATTTAAAATGTCATACAACAAATTTAAAATGTCTCACGATAGTTATTATTAAATAGAAGTTAAAGTTTTATGAACACTAAAAATATTTATCTGTAATTGATATGAAAAGTCTACTGTTCTACGTAAGCAAACCCAATTAATTACGTAAATACTGTATCTCATTTATAGGTATCCGGTGGAAACATTCCGGATGCCAGCATGGTGATGCTGATTCGTCCGTTTGCGGAATATATGGGTTTTGGGGAGACGGCGGTGGTGAACGCCAGTTGTCGGCGAGTCCTCAACGCACTGGTGCGGCAAAGTGAGTTGGGGCTGGAGTATCAGCAGGCCACACAGGCATGGAAGCAGGTAAATGTTTAAACATAATGTCAAACATCGATTATACAAGTCCCTAGATTAAAAGAACAGTGTGTATAAGATATATCACCTGTGTGATGTAACTTAGAGTAATCCCTGTTAAATACATAATAACAGTTTAAAATACATATTTTGGAATAATATTCAAGGTTTGCTGGAAGAGAACTCGTACAGAATTAAAGCTTGCCTGTTGTACATCCATATTCAAATTAAATTATAACAGTATAATTTTTATGTACAATAAAGTATAAATATTATTAAATATCTCTAATAGATGGGGTGCCCACAAGGCGGTCCTGAAGCTTTAGAAATGGTTTCTGATGAAGACGAGACTTTAAGTGGAGACGAAGTCGAGAGTGATAATGATGGGTTGGTATAATATTGTGATAGATCTTTTTTATTCTGTAGCAGTGCTCGTTATTTTATGCATGTGGTAATCTAACATTTTTAATTAAAGTTTTTCAGCCATTTTTGTGTGATGATATAACAAATAGTATATCAGACATTAATTCTAAAAATGATAAGTTTGGGTTTCATTACTTGTTTTTGCCCTGTTTCTCCCTCCCAGCTATGTTTCGCGAAAATAAACTTAGTATAAGACATTACAGCGGCGGCGGCTTTACCCATTGAAAGGTTTCGGGCGGCAGGTCTTTGTGAGACCCTTTGTACTTCGTGAAAAGTATGTGATGCGAAAGTAGGTCTGGTTGTTTGGTATTTGTCATCTTTGAATTGAAGCTAGTTATACAAATAAATATAATTTGAGTTTTAAAATATTTTATATTGAAAGATTTACAAAATTAACAAAGACAGAGATGATAAATTTTAAAATTTATGTTTGGGGTTTTTCCTAAGACTAATTTTTAAATAAAGCACAATAATCTAACGATTGAGCTAAAAAAAGTATTTGTCATGTACATATGTATATATCAAATTGCTGGAAATTGCCCTGTTCGCCACCTCCTAAGATCGAAGCTGCATTACAGTATAGATTAATATTGCTGTTAGTACTATAACAGTTGTAATTTTATTATCGTTGTAGCGCTGATAAGCCGCTGGACCCTCGAGCTGGACACGTTGACGTAGTGTTGGCGAGCTTGCCTGTTCCCGCAAACATGATTGCCGACATGCTCAGGAGTTTGTTGGCGAAGGCTTCGTCTAAAGCTCACAAACGGATTAAAATATGTATGCAAAGGTACGTCTCACGAATTAAGAACATTACTAATTGTTATAACTGGTAAAATACTCATCAAATCTCAGTATAACATGTATCACAAATACATTTGCCAAAATAGTAGCTAATAGAGGATAGTATAGGGTAGATTAATAAATTTATATAGTGCAGTGATTATAAAACCTTTGTATTCTATGGATTCTATGCCAGAATGGTCAAGTTGTTCTGATACATTAATTTTTAATTGTGTTCGCAGGTTCGAGCGACTCTCCCAACAGGAGTATCCTCTCCCCGCAGAAGTACCTCCGTCTGTGGAGGAGCCTCCTCTCCGGCCCACTGTGGCCGCCAAGAACTTGCTACGACATGAAAGGCAGATGGTGGAAGAGGCTGACGAGCTGGCGCTCAGAGGCAAGTATAATTTAATATAAATCTGCAGCCAAGAGGTAACAAACAAACTCATTTTTACATTTACAATTATTAGTAAAAAATATTAACATAGTTTCATAAATGAATTTTCGTCAATAATAATATATATATTTTTAAATCATCTTTTTGTAAATGATACTTTAATTTTGATTTCTTTGATCTTCAGGATTGAGTCGCAAGCAGCGCAGACGGCTGCTGGCGCGGTCACGTGCAGGGATCAGCATAGTAGATACTGAAATGACTAGTGATAATGCTACAGTAAGATTTCTTTCTTAATTAGTTCTTGGACAGATAGTTCTGGAATGTTTTGAAACTATATTAGATATAGTTTGGAAAAGTTTACAGGCATATAAAAGATTAATATAGGTACTTTGTTTCATCAGACCACATGCCACGTAATATATCAAAAAAATATAAATGAATGAATTTCTTTATAGTTACTGATCCTAGCGGCCCACTTTATAATTTGATTTGAACATTTTTTTACGAAACAAAATTTCATAATCCAATACATTTCAGAACGATGGTTGGACTGTAGAATCTACGGAACCACAATCACAGAATCATGACTCATCCAACAAGGAGAATGTGGACAAAACCAAGAAAAACAAAAGAAAGTTAAACAATGAGAATAAAAATGATGCTAAAAAACAGAAAACTAGTAATTCTAAACACAATAATGGCAACATTAAACAAAATGAAGTTGTAAATAATAATAAAATTAAAGATAATGGAAAGAAAGATAAAAATATTAAATCAAATGTTGAAAAAAATACTAAAGTAATACAGAATGGTGTTCGTAAAACTGACAAGTCACTTCCTGTGAAGAAAAAGATGCACAAGGAATTTGGTATTAATAAGAAAGAAAATATAAAAGAAGTAAATAGTAATAATAAGAAAGAAACTACTGTTAATAAGGATAATAATCGTAATAAGTCAAATATTCCGAATGTTAAGAATAAAATGAAATCTGATAGTAAAATTGAAAATAAGAATGTTACCAAGAAACCTACAGTAGTTGTTAATAAAGTGAAAAATTTCCAAAAGCAAATTTCACCAAAAGACAAAAGACTAGAGAGTGTATTGAAAAAAGCATCTTATCACACTCCAAAAAAGGTAATTTTTTTAACATGTAGTTGTATGTAGTAACATGTCGTACACAAGTTTTAAAACTATATAGCCGTGATTTGAATTTTAAAAATATTATGTTTTTTTTTACTAATTAATATACTTCTACTATTTGTATAACAACATTGTTTGCATATGTGTTGCCTTCTAAAATTTTATATTATTATTTAAGGTGAAGTTCGTGTTAAAAAACAACTCAATGCAAGGTACAATGGACTACTATAAGAGTGTGCGGCAGAGTCCAAGCATCCCGTTTGATGGCAGCAAAAAACCGTCGAAAACCAACCTGAAGCCATCCACTCCATCACCTATCAATCCGTTCTTCAAAAAGAAGTTGAAACTCAAAAATTAAATGTGTTTCAATAAAAGTAATGAAATGTTCTTTGCTTTTTTTTTCAAACGGTTTACTCCTTCCCTGCCATTAATAGGGCACGCACTTAGTGCGGATTGACGAAATAAATTGAACTATTTTGATTCTATGAAAATTTAACCGTTTTTTGCTAGGTACCAATAAGGAATAATGGATGAGGATGAAGTTATATAATTTTAGGTACTACTATTGAAGGATCCCATGATTGATCACGATCTCACCTGATAAAAAAACGATAATGTGGTCTAAGATGGAGCTCGCGGGCACACAAATAGCCTATTCACATTTGTCTTTAATTAGTGCAGATTATATTAGGATGGAAATATCAGTTTATTATGCGAATTCACGAGGATTTAATTACAATTTCTTGACCTGATACTAGTTTTTTTTACCACCATTTCACCACACTAGTGGAGATAATAGATGAGGATGAAGTTTTTTTTTTCATTAATGATAATGGAGTCGTAATCTAGCTTGCGCTGTAAAGTATAGACTGACGAGTGAGAATAAATTTAAGTCAGTTTAAGCCCATAGTAACAAACCAGGAATTTACCTTGATGATTTTCTAGGATCGACTTTTTGTAATGTTAAGTGTATCCGACCGCAATCATTATTAATGTTGAATAATTAATTACATTAGAATTAAACTTTGTCACCTACTATTGAAAAGTACCTACTCAATGTACCTTTTCTTAGTATCTTAAGAGGTAAAACTGACCAAGGTTAAGACGTATAGGTACAATATGTTATTTAAGATGTATGTAAACACTTGGTGTAGTTTACGACTTGTAGTGTATTATATTATAATATAAAATAGTATTATTTATTCTTCTTCCTGGTTCCTTATTTTATTTCCTATCAAAAATACATACATTGCCGTACTTACCTATTTCTTCTTATTAGTAAATTATTTTGTGCAAACTTGTAAATTATTTTTAATTATTTCAAAACTCACTGCTTGCATAAAAGCTAAATAATTATATAGGATTTCAACCATTAACGTGTATCATAACAATCTATACAGTTCCCACTACTAAAGTCGAGCTAGGCCCGTTTAGTCTTTTCACATAAGAGAATATTTTTTAAGATAAAAAGGGAGTGGTAACTGCGCCTGCGCTGAAGGGGCATACTAATGGGATGAATTTAAGTCAATTGACCCATCGTAATGAATTTACCAGAAATTATTTAACATGATTTCCAAGAATCCCTTGGAAACTCCAGGGTAAACGTGATGAACATTGATCAAGTGGTTTGCTGTAGGCTTATATTTTGAGTTTTCTTTTACTTCCACTGATATTATTGCAAAAAAAAACCTAGAAATAAATTCCATTAATTACCTCATGCGACATTCTAGGGTTGAAAAGAGTGATGACAGCGTATATTTCTACACGAATTTTAACTGGCTAATTTCCAAAGTTTATAAAATACACTAATGTATATTTTATAAACTTTGGATATGCACAATCGAAGTAGGTACATAATTTTGGGCAGGTTCAAATAAACTGTACTCGTTTTAGATACGGAATAAGTGTGCAATTGCACTTTACTATTTTTTGTGGTAAATAAGGGGAACTACATCAATAAAGCTATCTAATAATTAGTCGTTCTACTGATATGTAGATATAACATTAAATATTCAAATAATACAACAATATGGCAGACGTGAAGACAAGAGATGCTATTAATCTCATTTTATAGTGTTCTGTGACCATTTGTCATAGAATGGAATAAGCCCTTAACACACTTAATGGGATAGATAAGTAAATAAGACACGATGTAATAAAATATTATTTCTATATGCACACGCTTATCTTAGGGACCCGTAAAACAGCACAACCCTATTTTCGTATCATAATGAAAATACATACTCCGTACACAGTACCGGCTTTAGAAGAAGGCGGGGAGTGGAGTGGCGGAAGAGTCTTGGTTGTCTGACACCTGCCGGGGTCAAAATTCCAATTCAAATCATCATTCTTCAAATAAACTAGTTTACAAGCACTTCTAAAACGTCATTGTTTAAATCTACTGCAGAGTTCAGAAAGTTGTCATCTGTTGAGAAGAACCCCCAAGAAACTCAAGAGTTACTTTTTTAAATTTCTGTTAATATAAGCATATAGGGGGGAAAGGGATTGTTAGTAATGGAGACTGAGAATCCCATTGCTAGCAATATACCAGCTAGAATAAACCAGGTCGACCTCCTCGCGGTTCCCCCTGGAAACTATCATCGTTAATTCCTGATGAATTTATCATGATGGGCTTACTGGCCTGTTTTCATTCTCATCTATCACCCTTCACTGGTGCTCCGCTAGCGTATCCCGTTAGCGCAGGCGGAGTTACTATATCATTTTCACCCATCAAAAAAAAAATAAGCATATAAGTACACGTATATGTATACGTCGGCCCCGTCATAGACCATGGGCCATCCCTTCCTTGCCCGTGGGTGTCATTAGAGACGACTAAGGTTACCTATGGTGGAGGGATGGGCAGCAGCGTCTCTCTTAAAACATCTGTAAGAGCCTAACTGCGGTTGCTAACCCGCCTGCCAAACGTGGCAACTAATGACAAAACTCCTCTTATAAGGAAGACTTATGTTCAGCAGTGGACAGTTAAGGGCCGAAATAATTATAAGTACACGTATATTATATTTATTTAGCTGATGGCTATATCTAAGATTACATGGTCATTAAAAAGCACGTGTATGCGCGTGCTTATGCTGGACTAACACCATGCTTGTCAACTAAGTAATCGTTTAGGCTTTGTTCAATAAAGTTTTTTAAATAACAGTTTTAAAATTAAAAGGTAAATAAAATATTATAATATTTAATACTATAAAAGATCTAGTAACTTTTTTTAAACTAAACATCGGATCAGCAAGTTTGTATTTGTATCTAGTGTTAAGATTATGAAGATCGATGTTTTTAAGAAACAGTTGAAAATTACTTTCACAGTAAATTTTGCATATATGTATTTATATTTTTCTCTTACTGATTAACGACTTCCCGCTTTAGAATAAATAGCGCTAATTGCACGTTTTAATGACACAAATATGGTTTGGATGTCGGCTGCTTTACCCCACAATAATATTCCACAGGACAGTATACTATGAAAGTAATTAAAATAAACTATCCGACAGTCTCAATATTAGTTACTGTTTAACCTTGCGTTGCTATGCTGTACATACGCCGCAGAAGTTAATTTAGTTGCAAATTTTTTAATGTGAGGACCCATTGAGTTTTATTATTAAGAGTGATTCCAAGGAAGACAGTAGAATCTATAAAACCAAGAGGTTCGTTATTTAATTTCATAAAAATATTAGAATTTTTAGAAAAATTTTCGCGTTGAGTTTTTTTTGCATTCTACATTAGATTATTATTTGTAAACAAATGGAAGAGACGCAGCAAAACATTATTGGTCATAATGTTTAATCAATCGGTCAACCTTAAAAATTAAAGAAGTATCATTTGTAAACAATACTATGCCACATCTATCCTGCATGGCAAAAGCAAGATTAAAACTAAATAAACTAAAATTTCTACGTGTTTCATGCGGGGCATCTTCTCATGCTTTGGAAACAAATATTTTTGATTTAGTTATATTTTTAAACCGTGACAAATTATTTTTAGTGACCTGCTGACATGTTATTTTTTTATATGCAGTACCACAGTTGTTTTTAATTAAAAAATTTTTGTCCAAAGTGATCCGAGCCTAGACAACCAAAATTAAATTTCACCTTAACTCCACAATCATAAAAAAAAAATATCCAATGGCGGAATCCCCAGCGACTCTATTAAATTCAAACTTGTTGAGCAACTTGATGAAAGATCAACGTCACACAAATAAGTTTTTATTTTTCCGCATTACTCATCTCTTTGTTTCCCCCATAGGCAATTCAAAAGAATCAAAACACGCTGACGTTGGACGATATACGCAAATAATTATACAATTTTCTAGTTCTACAAGTTTCTAGGATGCTGAGGTTCAAGGTGGCGTCTAAACGAGACGCCATAGAATTTATCGCAGCGCAAACACGGACAATTGTCATAGATCGCATTTTTGATAACCACTTCTTTGTCGTCAGACGAAGCCACCAATCAATATTTTGGTCGAGGTGGTTTTCTTTTCAAAAGGGTGTTAATTTAATGGTACCCCAACCTGCGCTGACGGTTGGCCAGGGGATTTTTTAATGGGATGAAAATAGAATGATAACCTAGCCTATGCTGCAAGACACTTTAAGACTTTTAGTGAAGGACGATAGATAATAATAAAGTCAAGTGATTACATGAAGTAACCACGATGGTTACCAAAGGGAACGACGTAGAGGTTGACTTAATACGGTATATCAGGAAGTAAATATAGACGGTAATAATGCCGTTCCTTTATATGTTATATATAGCTAATATATGTACGGAACACTATTCAAATCGCACAGTTCACTGATTGACACATTCGATTATTATTTTTCAATATATAAACAACATCGACATTATTGTATTAGTTTATAGTTATCTTGTATCAGTTGAGATGGCAACGCTGAATAATGATTACGTCCGCATACCGCGGTTTTACGCGGGCAGATCAGTGCTTATTACAGGCGCAACCGGATTCATCGGAAAGGTCTGTGATATGAATTAAGTTATGGTTTTCTTAAACTGTTACAATATAAGGTTCGTTCTAAAAAGAAACGATTTCGATATGACTAATGATTAAACTGATTATTTGATGTGATAAGTTATTATACGACCGACACATCGCAAAATATACACATAAAAAATATAGACCGTTGGAAGAAGTTTCGAAGTGGCTACTTTTTCTAAAACATATAATTTCATATTACTTATTTAAATTAACAGAGCAGAAATCACATTGGAATCACAATGAAGCAGTATCCGGCGGCTTTAACCGCGTCAACCAGTATATAAAGTATTATATATGCTAAGTTTTTTTATGTTAACACTAACAACTTCGACATCATTTCACGGAGCGATCTGTGTTTTATGATTAGGTCGACTGATTTTAATAAAGCACATTTCCACCGTTTTCTAAATTTTATTATAATACAAAATTTTCCTAAAATCTTTTTTTTATGCAACTTAGAATGGCAAACAAGCTGACGACCCATCCGATGTAAAGTGGTAATCGTTGCCTATAGACATGAACAGTACCATGGACATAACAGAGAGTACTGTTTCGCCCATGATACCCCCCATGCGTTGTCATTCCCGAGGGCTCAGGTGTTATTCCTCTGTACCCTGTAAATTCACTGGCATATTCCACCCTTCAAACCGAAACACAGCCATGCAAACACAACTGCTTCACGGTAGAAACACGAATGTGACAGAGCTGCCCAAGCAAACGACTTTTGTACAAAGGCTGGTTCTGTCTGTTTGGATATTTGCTCACGATGAAACGAACAGATAAACGTTAATATAAAGGATTGAATTTAGACATAGCTGTTGCAAGGAGAATATTGGATAGGTTTTATCTTAAAAGTTCTCTTCATTCAGGTATTAGTTGAGAGGCTACTGACGACATGTCCAGATATCAAAAAGTTATGTTTACTCATGAGGACCAAGAAAGAGAATCAACCGGAGGAACGCCTGCAGCAACTCAAAGATTCACCAGTAAGTAAATAAAATTCTATAGTTAATTGAAATGATAGATTTTGTCGCTAGAAAAGCAATATTGAATAGAAAATTGGTGATGATTATTCCAGATATTCAGTGACCTTCGCCATCGAGACCCCAGGCAAATGGACAAGTTGTGCATAATACCAGGAAACATGTTACAACCTAAGCTCGGTATTAGCAACAAGTATTTGGTAGATTTACAAGAGGTACCTATAATTATGCTCAGACCTTTAATTTTTTTATACAATGGATTTTTTCGAATTACCGTAGTTGACGTAGTGATATCACAAACAGTGATAAACCATGCTAATTATTTGAGTTCCTCTTGCCAGTTCACAAAGCTTCATAATGTTCTTTCATTCTTCTTCTTTTTTATATTAATATATTCGTTCAAGGTAATCTCCGAAACTGTTCAACATATTTTATAAAATTTTGTAGCTATGTTCCTGTTGTTTGCAACTTGAAAGATAGGATAGAAAATTTTTATCCTAAAATAAATTGGATCTGGTACTTAGGTGATGGACTCATATCCCGATGGATGAGTTAAGAAGACAAGTTAGTGGTGTAGAAAATTTAATAATAATATGCAATATGATGAGTAGGCATTAGAATAGTAAATAATACTTTATGGTAATTTTTTTCACTGCCGATAAAGCAGTATAATTGAAATTACTATTTATAGGTGTCGATAGTGTTCCACTCTGCAGCAACAGTAAAATTTAACGAGGACCTACGCAGGGCGATCGAAATGAATGTATTATCAGTAATGAGATTACTGGCGATTTGCGACAATTTACCCAATATACAAGTAAGTGATGTTATATCGACAAAATTTATTAATTTAGGTTTAACTTATTAATTTAAATAACAAGTATTCGATTTTAAACTACATTCGTCGTCATCATAGCTCGGAATACAAAAACTGTTTCAATTATATTCGTTCATCCCGTAAAGGATTCTGAATAGAAATAGAAGCGAAACCATTATTACCAATTCTGTTTGATAAAGGTGATTTTTTTAATACTCTGGCTTATGATTTTTCAGGCATTCGTGTACGTCTCTACAGCATACAGTAATGCGGAACTACCAGAAATAGAAGAAAAAGTGTATTCATTGTCTACCCCTATAGAACAACTTTTAGCGTTGGTTAAAGATAATACGATAGATTCAAAGGATCTTATGAAGTAAGTTTTACGAATATATATCTTAAAGAAGTAAGTATTTGTGTAAGCGCTGAAAAGTTAGATTTTGCTTGCTCTATTTCTCTTTACCCAATTAGTTTTAAATTGCTTTGTGATTTAGAATGGTTACATCCCCATGATAATAGAGAACAACATATACTGTACCATCAAGTCCATGGCCACTCCTCATGCATTAGTATTACTACTAACGTTAATTAATATAAGTCGTGTATATATATATATAGAATTATTATACGAAATCTAAGTCATTAGTTATACGTAAAACTTAGAATACTCGTGCTATAGATTAAGCATGTTAAGACAGACATTTCGTGAATGGATAATTCAAAACGAATACTAACTTAATGCTGGAGATGCCATGTTAACCGTGTTTAACTACTTTCCTTTATTGATGTATGTTCTACTGAAATTTTTTTAAGTTTTTCTGTTAAAATACTCTCTTAAGAGCATGCTAATGATAACATTGTTTCTTGGTGTTCTTTGCTGTAGATATATCACTCCGAAGCCCAATACTTACACTTTCACGAAAGCGATGGCCGAGTATGCCGTCCAGCAGCACAGGACCAGACGTTATCCTGTTGCAATATTTAGACCTACAATAGGTAAATTAAATATTCAAATTAAATGGCAACTTGCTTCTTGAAAATATTTTCGGAAACTATTAGCTCTTTTAATGACTTATTAACATTATTATTTTAGATTTCCTTAGAGACTGATAATTCTTTTTTGTATAACGAAAGTGTAAATGTAATCATCAGCCTGATGGTATGTGTTAAGAAATTAAACGAAGATCTTAATTTAATGTATCTAATAATTAATACCATACCTACTACCATAACTCATCAATAGAAAGAAATATTGTTCTTAATCTGTAATATGACATTAAGCCCTATCATACTATGCAAATGCAATTGACATTGCCGTGTAGTTCCGACATAGAATAGGCCACCCCTTCCTTTCCCGTGAGAGTCGTAAGAATCGACTAAGGGAGGGCGAGGGATGGGCAACAGTGTAACTCTTAAAACATCTCTAAAGCCTAATTGCGGTTGCCAACCCCCCTGCCAATCGTGGCAACTACTGGCAAACCCCCCCCCCCCCCCCCCAAGGCGGAGGCTTATGTTCAGCAGTGGATAGTTAAAGGCTGATATGATAACGATACTATGCAATCAGGCTGCAATTATCTAATAAGTGATGCAGAGGACTTTTTACAGTCTCTCTTTCGTTGGTCTTGCAGTATCGCCATACAATTTCAGTAATATCATCACATCGCAACCCTTTCCCTGGTTGGATAGAGAATTTGAATGGGCCCGTGGGAGTGGTAGCTGCTGTTAGCACCGGTCTACTGCACGTGGTCCGCTGTGATGGCTCAAAACAAGCCGACTTGCTGCCAGTTGATATTGCTGTAGACACTCTCATTGCTGTCGCTTGGGAAACTGTTATTTGCAAGTAATAATAATAAACTATAATATATTTTAATATAAGAATAACCGGACCGACTTACGTATATTTTAGTTGAGAAAGCTCGATTAGTTTTGAAAGTACTGGAGGCCCTTAGTCATGAGTGGCCGTGATACTTATGCAGTCTGATTTACATTACATTAAAATATAACGTGTATTTGGGAATAAAATAATAAATAATGCTAATAATTTAACTGTCTAATCCATAGACAATGAAATAGCCGTTTTTACATAATATTATGTATAATACCGCATTCCTGAAGAGTGCAATATTATGTGGGTATGTAGATATTTAAATGAAAATTGTTGCCATAATTAGTGACATCCTACTCGTATTTTTATAATTAATACGAAAGTTTGTAACAATGACAGAGGTATGGATGGATGTTTGCTATTCTTTCACGCAAAAACTATTGAACGGATCTGAATGAAATTTAGTACACAGGTAGGTTATATTCTGACTTAGCACATGGGATACTTTATATAGCTAGTCAAAAATAAAATATTCGTTATTTCGAAATATTTTTTGAACTTTCTGTATAAACTGTATGATCAAGTGATTATCTGGTATCTATTAAGAGTTCGAAAATAATTTATGATATATACCTATGTTCCTTACAAAAACTTGTTTAATTTATTAAATACTATTACTGAGGTTTGGATTGGTATGCACATTATAACTAAAACTGTAATTCTAGTGTTTTTGTGTTTAGATGGACAACTATCAAAGTATACAACTGTAGCATGTCTGAAAACTTAACGACATGGGCAGAGTTACAGCAAGCCATAAACTACTACACCAGAGAATATCCACATACTAATTTGTTTTGGTATCCTTTTCTATATCTCGTGAGGAATAGGTAAGAAAACATGTTCGTTTTTATACATTTATTGTACAGTCTTTTTTTTATACCAATGATGCGGCAAACAAGCGTATGCCCTACCTGATGGTAAGCAATTACTATAGCTTATGAATACCTGCAATACCAGGGGCATTACGCGCGTGTTGTTAATGCTGAAGAAACCTCTTTCCTCTTTCTGAAGAAGAATAGTCGAAGGTTGACAACCAACTAGAATAGATTCATAAGTGTAGATAAAGCAAAAGACTTTAAGGTCTTTTGCTTTATCTGTATATATATATATATATATATATATATATATATATATATATATATATATATATATATATATATATATATATATATATATATATATATATATATAAGAGTACTGAACTATCTAAGGGTTTTCTATTTATAGGTTCGCGTATAAAATACTAGAATTATTGCTTCAAACTATACCACTGTACATATTAGAATATGCAATGCGCGTCTTAGGAGTTAAAAAAGAGTAAGTAATTAAAAAGTATTATCAAATATTGTATTATAATGTATAACAAATAATGTTTTATTTTTTTTTTTATTTTTTAAACGATTTACAGGCAAAACCTAATATTAGCGGATCGAAAGTTCCACCACATGAATACAGCATTAAAATTCTTTGTATTGAGAGAATGGCGTTTTAAAAATGAAAATGTCCGGAATTTACGAAAAAGGTTACATACATCCGATACAAAATTATTTAACATTGAGCCCCGAGCTGTGAAGTAAGCATAATATAAGAACCTACGCTATTTATTATCTGATATGATAGATAATGCAATTTTACACATATTAACGGATTAACGATTAACGTTAACTTACGTTAATTCTTCTGAAATGTAACGCTTTAACGTTTAACGAAGCTAATTTTTTTATTAACGGATTAACGATTAACGAAGTTAACTATTTGATTAACGGTGCCCAGCTCTGCTTATATCTATGGATGGCTAGGTATATTATCATGATAGGTAGGTACTAATATAAAGGGTACCTACTACATGGCCGTAGCTGGGAGGGAGGAGTATTGAGGGGCAATGCCTTTAAAAGGCCAGATTCGCTTTTTCGAAGTCAATTATGGTTTCTGCCTTTCCAAAAAGTTCTTTTGCACTAACTTTGACGTGGGTTTAGCTACGGCCCTGATCTACTAATAAAATAGCAGTAGAAAAATACTCATATTATATATGAAATTTTAAGATTTTATACGAAGGTTTTATATTACCTTAATGTTTTTTGCAGTATTGTGGTAGGTAGTAGATATTTAATAGATGTATGTAATGCATTATATCTGTACATTTTTTTTTTTTATATCTTGACTAAGTATCATCTTTTTTCTTTCCAAACAGTTGGGATGATCACTATAGACACTTTGTCTGTGGTGTAAGAAAATACCTGTTGAAACAGAATGACGACGATTTGCCTCAAGCAAAACTACGTTTGCGAAGGTAATAATAAATAAGCTGACGGTTTACCTAATGGAAAGTGGCAACCGGTGTCTATAGACATAAACGGTATCATGGACATGACAATACATAGTTAATTTTAAACTTTCGCGTTGATTACAGTTATTTTAAATACACTATCAGAACTTAACGATGGAAAGCCTTTTTAAGTAAATAGTACCTCCATACCTGCTTCTTTATTGCCGACGTTTCGACGTGGGTTGCACCATGTCGAAAAAATCTTGTCCAGACCACGACTTAAGAACAAATTACGAATTAAGTCCCGATAGTGTATTTAAAATGTGACAGAACATACAGTAATACCCATAATAATCCCTACACGCGTTGTATTTACTATGGTGTAGTGTCTACGAGTATATCCTGTAATTTTCCCCCATAATACTTCACATTTTAAACCAAAACACAGCCGTGATGATAGAAGTATTCATACAGACAACTTTTATACAGTGTATCCATCTGGTGTTTACTTCGAAAACTGTTTCGTTCTGTTACGTTTCTTTTCAACGAAATAATTAACTAGAATACCGGTTGTGGTTGTAAGGGTGTGCCTAATAGGATAAAAACGGAATGGTAATTCCCGACTGCGCTATCGGTATACACTGATGAGGCACCAGTGATGAAAGAGAAGCGAGGATCAAAGCAGGTCAATGAACTCAACGTAATTAATTCACCAGCAATTTCGATTGAGGAAGGTCAACCTGATGTTGTATGTTGATCGCTATGACTGACATCCTCATTAGAATTAAAAAACTGATACTAAAAATCCCTCTCCCCTTGGATTGTAAGGATGTGATATGGTAGTGAAATTACAGAATATGAAATACATTACACCTATGTCTTGAGGAATTGTAATATTCATATATGAGGCTCATGGTACTGGTCATGTCGACGGTGATGACATGTGTCATAGACGACGGTTATCTAAATGTGTTATTTTAAAATTAATGGTTCACAATGGGTCGATTTTGAGGTACCATCATTGTCGTTTTTAGAGGTGGGGGGGGGGGGGGGAGGAGTAGACCGTGTCCATCTCAGAATTGTCTGTTGCCCACCTATAATAAAAAACAAAGCCTTTAATTATATTCTTAAACATGCCTAAAATTACATATGAGCCTTTTTAAGGGACCAGGCCTCCGTAACATTATTTTTCATTTTTCTAAAATTAGAATTTCTGTTTGATATCATAAGCGAAATCTTTATTTTAAGAATCAATATGAATTAAATTTTTAATAGATTTAAGACAAAGCTATAATTAATTTCGTTTATGCTTGTCCATAAAAAAATAATTTCACGAAACATTCAAATTAAAATATTAGGTTAAAAGATAGGAATAGAAAAATGGGGCCTTAGAATCGACTCCAATATACGGTGTAACCTATGTACCTAATTTACATATCTGTAAGAAATTCCTGTAAAAAATACAATTACTTTTTTCAGAGCATACATCTTGCATAATTTCGTCAATATAATCTTCTTGGTATTATTTCTCCACGTATTATTAGAGAAGAAACAAAGAGAAAATATTAAGAATAATATTATTATCTTACTAACTGTCTGCAAAGCATTAATCGATCGTTTCGCAAAATTATCGCATACAATATTTCGAAGGCTTTAAAATGTATTTTTTATGTTTACAACTAAGTAAATAAATGATGTGGGTGGATGAACAGAATACATTTATTACAAAATAAATAAATAATTGCTTCGAATTAAATAATATCTTTTATTTTCCTAATCTAATGTTTTATGTATCAAAGATTATTATAGGGAATTAGAGACAAATTGAAACATTCAATTAACTACTGGACGTCATGAAATTACCTTAATTTTAAAACTTTAAAATTAAAACGGTCAGTTCAGTATTCGTTTGTTTACAATTTTAATAAGTTCTATTGGAACAGACTAATATAATTTTATGACAAACGGTACCTTGAGATTCTCTTAGTCCGTAATATAGGACATTATGTGCGTAGCATAAGACATCCGGGAACATCTGCAAATCTACGAGATCTCTCTGCCCGTCGCGAATCGGTCGCAAAGAATAATAATACAAACGGCCGTCACCTATATAGTTGGAAGCGCCACAGTGTATTAATTTTGTGTAAATTAATTTTATTTGTTGCTACCTTTCTTTTTTTATGCAATAAGCATGGCAAACAAGCTGACAGTCCACCTGATGGAAAGGGGTAATCGTCGCCAATAGACATGAGCAATGCCATGGACATAACAGAGTATATTGTTCTTAATACCCCCCCCCCCCCATGCGTTGCCATTCCTGAAGATTAAGATTTCATGTCTTTGTGCCATTTTCAATTCACTGTCATATCCTATGCCTCAAATCGAAACATAGCCATGCAAACACAACTGTTTCACAGTAGAAACTTAATGGAACAGCGGTACCCAAGCAAACAACATTTGTACAGTCTCTCTCTCTGGTATCCCTCGGTATTGACGTTATTTTTCAGGAAAAAGTAAATCAAAGTCATCTAGCAATTAGTAAACGTGCTATATGGGTATTACGATGCAAGCAAAATTTTGCAAAGATATGTTTAAGAGTTTATTTTCTCTGAAAATCTTTAATACGCCAATGGTTATGGTTAACTATTATTTTTAAAAATTAGCAAACTATCATGACATTGGGAGGAAAGGGATTGTTAATAATGGGATATAAAAGTCCCATTGCTAGCAATACACACTATCAGGTCGACCTCCACGCGGTTCCCTCTGGAAACCATAGTGGTTAATTCTTAGTTACCATGGGCCAACTGACTTGCCTTCATCCTCACCTGTCACCCTTCACTGGTACCTGGTACTGGTGTAAACCAATAACGCAGGCGGGGAAACCATTCCATCTTCACCCAATAAAAAAACTATCATGACATAGATAGTAAGATTACAAAGTAATTGTGCAGTGTTTATTAAATAGGAAAACGATCTATGGCTCTGCTTCGATGAATATTTCTGTAAACTACTGCAGCGAGTCTTGCTTTCAGTTGCTTGATACGTCTGTGTATTTGTTACTGTATTTAAGACAGAGATTGAATGGGTTTGTCGTTTTGCGAGTGGCATAATTTGAATCTTAGAATATGAAAATACGTCATACTAAGCCCATGGATGCAATTAAGTTTATGTTCTCATTTTCAAAAAATAAAAAATATGGAAATGTAAAAATTCTTAATCTATGTTGAAAAGTGACATACAAAGTAACAAAATTAAAAAGCCATTAGCATTATTTTTGATGGCAACTTTATAGTGATATGACATACGTCAATGTCTAAAGAAAGTCATTGCTTTTGCCTAACTGCATTGGAATTGGAAAAAGGATCTTCTGAGATCAAATAATTCGTGAATATTTGTTATATTAATCTTATAAAAATTTCAATACTTTGGAATATAATTTAAATAGACGTCTTTTGGAATACTTGAATATAATTTTAAGACTACAGTGAGTATACTTTGATTTAAAATTAACTTTAATATTCGACAATGGTCAGTCCTCATTCATTTGTGTTATATTTTTGTTTTGCTATTCTGCTGAGTAATTCGTGTTGGAGCAGAGCGGTACGTCCGCGGGCTTTGTTCCGACCCTGTTGACTTCTTGCCAAGTTCTAACTGCCAAATGCATGGTTGTTTCCTACGTCGATAAGAGTTATTTTTTCACTAAAAAATAACAGTGTAACCCTTCAATATTGTTAAACGTTCTAAATCCTCCGTGCGTTGACCTGTAGTTTTTCTTTCCGTTCCTGTATAATATTATGTGACTTGCATGTTTTTCTCATTTACTATTTAATTTTGTGTATGGATTTTATGTAGTTCTATGAAGGTAACTATAACAATTTATTAAAATATATTTACCAAAACTAGTGTTAGTTTTAAAAATTAAGTTTTAGTGGTTTATTATCTAAATTTCATATATATCATCTTGTTTTGGTTCTGCATGCCACTAAAATTTTGAGAGTAAATATAAATTCAAATTCATTTACCAACTCATTCACTAGTGGCAGTTATAGCAATTTTGAAAAATCTAATTAATATGAATTATCATATGCATATCTAACATTCTAGCCTGAAATGTACTTGTTAGTGATATACAAAAACTAGGTTGAAGACAGTACTTTTTTAAATTTCTTTCTTTAAACAAATGTATGAGAAATAACATATTTATCTACGCAATATGATATTGACAATACATAATTAATAACTGTTGCAGGTATATGAACTGAAGTTCCGATGATGTCCTTAAAGCCCAGGAATGTAGATTTCCAGGAGACATGGGCCAACCTTAAAGAAACGGTCAGTTTTTATTTTTATATATAGCTGTATATAAAAACCCATGTCATGATGTTCTTTTATTGTAATATCATAATAATATTGCTTAAGCTATTTTAATAAGATTTTGTAGATGTATATTATTTCCTCCAATTTTAGAGGTAGAATAGTTTTTCATAGAATAAGATAAAATATTTAATGGTGGTAGGGACCAAGATAATGTTTCAGGGTAGCTAGTTTACTTTATTTATTATAGGTTTCCACCTTTAGACTAAGGCTAATCTCAAGTAGATAGTCACAAAACACAAAAATTAAAGGTGTGGCTATATGCTTTTCATAAGAGCTTGCATACCAACATTTAGACAACCTTGGTGATATAGCGATTGAACATACTGTTAAACATCTATTTAAAGCTTGCAGTCTTAACCTCTGCATATCACAATTATTTGTCTTCATGAGTATGTCTGTTTGTATTTGTCTGTGTATTCTTTTTATGTATAATCACTTTCGGCTGAAGTTGTTAAGAAGACTCGATGCGGTTTGTGGAGGTGGTAAATGACGAGAATAATTTAAGATATAAAATGTAAACTTTTATATTGAATAGACTGCCTAGCATAGAGGTTGTATCGCGAGTGTGTATAAGATAAAACATTCAAGTTACATTGATTAATTTAGGTCACTTACAAATTAGGGAATGGTGCAAAGTTCGCTTTGAAATTATGAATAATCATTGTGCAATATTACATGTAGGCACACACTTAATATACTGTAAATTAGAACCACTATCTAGACCTCTAGGTCTAGATTGCACCACAGGCTAAAGAATCAATGATCCAACACCTTTGGCAAATACTGAATTACTATAGAGCAATTTGAGATTACTTTATCTATTGTCTATGGATGACTGTTAGAACAGAGTTCTTTGTACTAGTAATTTGTAAGTCATAACTGTACTTAGCAGCCGATTTTAAAAAAGTGTGTGTCACAGTATAATCTGTCATGTTCATGGTGTTGTTCACATTATAGATGATGGTTATTACTTCTTGTTTATTTAACTGTCAGTAATCAACTTTTTTTTGAAGGGGCTAGCCCAGCCTTTGAAAAATAATTTTAAGTACGACACTGAGTCTCTAGGTTAACATATCCTTTAAATATATTAACCTAGAGACTCATTGGCGTATCAACAAGAATTCAAAAAGTTGCAGTAAATAATGTTAAATCTAATAGATCACTAATGCTATAGGTGCAAATGGGTGTACCTCAAGGATCTATTCTTGGACCATTCCTATTTTTGGTTTATATAAATGATCTTGCTTTTGCCATGCAGGATAGATGTGGCATAGTATTATTTGCAGATGATACTACTTTTATTTTTAAGGTTAACAGATTGACCAAACATTATGATGATATAAATAATGCTTTGCTGCATCTCTTGCATTGGTTTACAAATAATAATCTAATGTTGAATGCAAAAAAAAAAAAAAACTAAATGCGTAAAATTTTCTCTGTTTAAAAATCATGATTCCAATTTTTCTGTATAATTAAATAGCGAACGTCTTGATTTTATAGGCTTCCGTGGAATTACTCTTGATAATAAAACTCAATGGGAGCGTCACATTCAAAACCTTGTAACTAAATTAAGTTCTGTGACATATGCTGTACGCACGGTTAAACAGCATACTAATATTAAGATGCCAGATTAGTTTATTTTAGTCACTTTCATAATATACTGTCCTATGGAATATTATTATAGGATAAAGCAGCCGACGTCCAAAGCATATTTATATTACAAAAACGTGCTGTTCGCGCAAATTATTTTATGGGAAGTCGTGAATCATTAAGAGAAAAATTTAAAGAAGCAAATATTCTTACCGTAACTTCACAGTATATAGACGCAAAAATTTTGTATATATGGAGGAATCTTCAACTATTTCTTAAAAACAGCGATCTGAATAATCTTAACACTAGATACAAATACAAACTTGCTGTTCCGAAGCATCGTTTACCAAATGTTAATAGGTCTTTTATGGAAATGAACATTAAATGTTGTAATAAGATACCGAAGAATATTTTGGATCTACCTTTTAATAAATTTAAAACTGCTATTAAAAAACACTTTCTGAACAAAGCCTATTACACTCTAAACGATTACTTGAATGACAAGCGTACATTAGTCGATCATGCACGGGCTTTTTAATGACCACGTAATTTTAGGCATATACATTTAAATAAATACACAATGTTAACAGAGATTTAAAATAGTAACTGTTGAGTTTCTTGCGGGCTCTTCTCAACAGATAACAGCTTTCCGAACCCTGCAGTAGATTTAATAAAATGACGATATAAAAGTGCTTGTAAACAAGTCTATTTAAATAATTAACAAGTATAAACAAAAAAATATTAATGAAAAATTCTCTATTGTGTTATTGTAATTCCTTTCAATAGGTGGCTGGTGTGGTTGGATTGCGTGCAGTAGAACGTGCAGTGTGGAACACAAGGTTCTCAGATGTGTATGCGCTTTGTGTGGCGCATCCAGAGCCACTTGCAGACCGCCTGTATGATGAGACAAGGTGTGTTAGTAAGGTTATTTTTCATGTACCACCATGCAACCACACTATCCTAAGTTAACACACGGACAATATCGTCCATGAATGAGGTAAACTGAAATGAGAATATAGCTATTATTTATTTCATATGTAATGTATGTTCTTAATAATGTTACTATGCTGACAAATTAGGTTGTGCAATGCTGTATTATTTATTTACTAGCTTTTACTTGTAACTTCTTCTGTGCGACCGGGAAATGTTGACTCACGGATAAAAGTAGCTTATATCTTTCTTCACCCAATATTGTACATCTATACCAAATTTCATACTGGCCATTTAAACTGTTAAGAAGTTATAATGTAACAAACACAACTTGCTTTCATATTTATAATATCAGTAAGGATTACAGGAATCCTATTTCTAAGGTGTATTAATTTTGTTAGATTACAATTTTATTATATACATAATTTCCAAAAAAATATAAAATATTTAGGATAGACTTTAGAATTGTTCAAATTGATAAAGGGTATTTGAAACTACCCATTTGTTTAGACTAGATCAGCTTGAATTTCATTTCTAGTACTATGCAAATCTGTTTTAATAAATATATTTTAATTTGTGATTAATATTACCTCTTGCAGGAACTTCTTAGAGGAACATGTCTCTGGATTATTGCAGCGTGTTCGTGGTACTGCGCCTCTAGAGAATAATGACCATAACGACGGATTACTGACTAGGTAGTACTACAATTATACATATTAGATTTGAAGAGAAACTATTTTGAAAACTCCCAAAATAAATCACAAAATTTCCCACCATATATTACTTTTTTTTTTTGCAGATATGTAACGGCATGGCGCGAGTACAGCCAAGGTGTAGCGTATCTTAATAGCCTCTACTCATATTTAAATTTGCAACACATCAAGCGACAAAAGGTCAGTTTGTATGTTAATTTTGGATTTATTTTGTATTTCACTTAAATATTACTGAGTGGAAAAAATATATATTGCTTCTGAGTAAAGATTGATAGGTACCTACAAGTATTCTCTTGTTAGTGATATAAATTTGTAATTCTGCAGGTATCTGATGCTGAAATAATATATGGATCTGCGGCGACTGCTTGTTCACCTGATCAAGACTCGAGACAACTAGAGGTATGTACTAAAAAATCTCTTATTTCCCATTTGGTACACATTTATTTATTTATTTATTTATTTATTTATTATATTTCTCACCACAAACAATTAAGGACTTAACATCTATAACTTGCAAAACATTTTAGCAATATTATTTGTGGGAGCTGGTGCCTGTACTAGGTATTAAACCTGTATTACAAGTCACCAGGACCCTTACCTCGAACAGTACAAATTATACAAATAAAAACTCTTACAACAAAAAAAAAAAAAAAAAAAAAGGTGATGGTGAGTACATAAAAAATTCAAATACAGCGCGTATACAAAATAAATAGCTTTCGATATGTATAACATTAAAACAAAAACAAATTATATGCTAGGGTAAATAAGAATGCATTAAAATATAAGTAAAAAAGTGTGACACGAGTTTATGTTATGTATGTGTATTTGTATCTGAACGTGTGACTATATATGAGTTTGTTCGGTGTGTGAGTCAATGTATGTATAAACATTTATATGTATATGTATATATACACATTCACATTGTGATTCCACATATTTGATATTGTTGGTCATAAAAATTTGGCAACATTTAAGAAGTCATAGTAATGCATTTGATTATACATTTAAGAATATTAAAAATAAATCTGGTTGAATACTTTATATTTGTTTTTTTTTTCTTTTTTTTATTTCAAATATGAATGTGTAACATAATTTATACAAACTTTTTTTTTTATTTTGCTCTCACCAGGTCGGCGAGTTAGGCTTAGTGATATGGGAGCGAGTACTAATCACACCCCTTGCATCGGCTCTCACGGGCAGAATTGTGTCGGCCCTCTCAGAAGCAAGGTCGCACCCGCCCGACCCCACCAGCGCTGATATACTGCGACAAGCAATTCACAGTACAGTTGACGTAAGTTAAATATGCATAATTAAAAAAAATATTTACGTCTATAAGATACAATTTATTTTAAGTTGTTTAGGCCTTTAACATCTCTGTTTTAAATCTTTTGTATTTATATAATAGGATATTAATATCATTAGTACATTTGTGTACAAAATCTGTTCTTTGAACAATAATGCTGTTCTGTTTATATTATCTAACTATATGATCTAATCCATTAATCAGCTCTTAGTCTCTGTACATGTTTTCGCCAGTCCCCTGGATACTGTATCGTAGAAGGAGATTCTAATTTGGTTGTATTATTTTTATGTTTGTTACTCTGTCATTTATACACCGATTTGGAAAGTTCTTCTTTTATTTAAAAGGATATAAGCAAAATAAAAATAACAGATTTTGCCACAACTGAAGTCTGTTTGTTTTGGTACACAATCTTGTAGATGAGAGAGTTGAGGAAAATTATCAGAAAAATTGTTATTGTGTCATACTTTACAAGTGTCTCCTACGGGTTCCAGGTGCAAGCGTTCAGAGTGAGAGCACCCCTGGCGCTGTACCAGCAGTTGGTGCTCGAGCCATACTTGTCCGCGGCGAGCGGTCACCATGCGCAATTCGCGGCCGAACTTCTTCACCACGGGGACATCTCGCATTATATGAAGCACGTGCTCGAAGGTGAGCCATCTACACTTTCTTATTTGAGTTTTTGACAATACCTGATGAAATTTTGAAAATTTTGTCGGTTGTTGAATTTTGTTTTGTAATATGTTCATTGTTAAATAAGGTATTGAAAATGGTCATTCTTGATATTTGACTCGAAATCAGACTTTGCTGTTGGAGTTTTTAAATGTCTAATGTCTAATATTGTTAATAAATATTCAGACCAGGACAATTACTCATGTATCGTGTCACAGTAGAAATAATTAAGACGGTGACACTAGTGGTTTACTTAGGTAAATTATCTAAAATCCTGTTACTGCATCCCCATGATCACGGAGAAAAGGTCAACACTATCAAAAGTCTTGACGATTCTCGGCAGATTCTTGGACTAAAAAAAATGTCATTCGGTGTCTTATCATCCTATTTCTCTCTTGGGGGGTATTGCCAATAGTTGCCACGCTTGGCAGGTGGATTAGCAACTGCAGTTAGGCTATGGAGATATTTTAAGAGGGACGCTGCTACTCATCACACGCTCTCTCTTAATCGTCTATTAAGACACCCACGATTTCTCGTGGGTTCGTTTCCGAAGGGGTGGCCTATTCTGTGCCGGGACTACGCTGCAAATTCGGTACCTGCGCTGCTGAATTTGATGCGATCCTTATCAATTTCTTTACTACATCTACTCTTTACTACACCTCGGCCCTCTGTGAAGCCCGTAATGCTTGGCTGTAAATATCGGCCGGGTGGAGGTCATTGACATTGTTGCTGGTTGTTGTTACCGCGGTCGGCCCATCGCGCAGGGCTGGAGCGCGAGATAGCGCTGGGCGGGCGGTTCCTGCACGCGTCGTCCACGGAGGCGGTTCGCGCGTGCTACGAGCGTGCCGCCGTGGCCGCGCACCTGCCCGCGCTGCACGCCGAGACCGAGCGCCTGCTGCGCGAGGCCTGCGACGACGGCCCGCGCGCCGACCAGGTGACTAGCCACTTATCAACTTTATTATTGAATATTTATAGTGCTTTTTAATTGTTGACAATGGAATGGTAACCCCGCCCGCGTTATCGGTATACGCTGACGGGACACCAGTGTGGGATGATTGGTGAGGATGAAAAGGCAGGCCATAGTTAGTCCATCGTGATAAACATACCAGGAATTCAACACGATGGTTTCCAGAGGGGACCACGTGTAGGTCGACTTTATAGAATATATTGCTAGCAATGGGACTGATAGTCCGCATTACTAATAAACCCTTCCCTCTTATTTATAGTTCTGGACAACTATTTATAATGTGTCTCCCTCAAAAATATCGATATCGACAGATATAACAGATTATATTTTTTTATTACTAGCGAATGGAAACTGCGCCTACGTTATCGGTGTACGTTGGCGGGACACCAGTGGGCACTAATACGTGAGGATGAAAGCAGATTAGTTGGTTCATCGTGATGAATTCAACAAAAATTAACCACGGTGGTTTCCAGGGGGAACCGCGTGGAAGTCGACCTGATAGGGTTTTCAAACCCAATTACTGGGGGAAAAGGATTGTTAGTAATGGGGTCAAATAGCCCCATTATTAGCAATATACTCTATTAGGTCGATCTCCACGTGGTTCCCCTTGGAAACCATCGTGAATAATTCTTGTCGAATTCGTCACGATGGGCTAACTGATCTGCTTTATCCTCACCTATCATCTCGCACTGGTGCTCCGCCAGTGTATACCGATAGCGCGGGCTGGGATACCATTCCATTATGACTCATTAAAAAAACCAATTATTAACAATCCCTTTCCCCCGGGCAGCGGCGGTCGGACCTGAAGCGCATGTACGCGCTGCTGAAGCCGCTGGCGTGCGCGGGCGCACTGCGGCCGCTCGTGGAACAGGCGCACGCGCAGGCGGCGCGCGACGGCCGCGCACTACTCGCCGCGCCGCACGCCCGCGACGAGGTACGCCGCCCGCTACTGACGTGCGGATGCAATATCTATATATTAGGGGTCTCAGGACACTCGGTAGTTGTACAAACGGGAACCCGGGATCCAACATAAGCGCCTCGAGGTACGTCGTGTGGTTTTTAGTGGGTACGAATCCCACACACCCCAGCTGCACTCCCTCCGGCAGATGGGACGGTCTTGCTGAAGATTTTCCACACGTTAAACAAAAAAAAAGGGGTCTCAGGACAATGATGGCGGGAAAAATGTTTTTACCCACTCAATATCGCCTTCGATCATTTCAATATTTTAAGGTGTAGTAAGGATAGGTTGGCAAAAACTGAAATAGTGAAAACTAGTGGAAATTCTTCCGGAAAATTTCTAACTTGTTTATTTTTTTTTATTTCATTTCAAATAATATTTTATACTGAAAATACTATGGAATACCGAAAAACAGCGATGTAATATTATTGTTTAATTATACAGCTGTGTGAAGTCAACACCATAAACGTACGAAAACTATCTATGAATAAACGCCGTTGACCGCGCGGTGTAGATATTCCGCGTCGCGTGAAATAAGTAATAAGTAGTATGTAAGTCGTAAAATTTCAAATACATTGCGTGGCGTCAAAGCTAATAATCGTTAATTATATAACTGTGGTGCATTTCCGGTGAGAAAGTAATCTGCCATCTGATTCAGGCCATACATCTGAATCAGCTGTATTCGTTTTGATCAACCTGTCCATTTCACCCCATATATTGAATAACTGATATTTAATATATTTGTTGTTGGAATAATGTCATCAATGTAAAATTAAAAATAAAATTATAAGGATAAATTATATATAAAGATAAATTGCATCGCTACCATCTCGCTCATAGGACAATTACTAATGCTGCACACACAGAGAACATACATAACTAGCACTTCACATAAAAATCTATTTACGTGACTAGCACGCTCACACGAGGATTGAATAATTAGTCTATTACAGACCAATATATTTGGTATGCATATATTAATGATGAAAAAGCATCTCTCTGCAGTCCAGTTTCTGTTTTGCTTTGTTACTCCTAAGGATTAAGATGTTATGCCACATATGTCGGAAATTACATTAATTTTCTGACCAAACCAACAATGTACACACTACTGTTTTATGTCAGAAATAGGTAAAGCAATGTACATAATTTAGAAGCATTATTGTATGTTTATTTTTTTGTTCTATTATAATTTCTCCTTTGTAATATCATTATTATGTTGTTAGGCCCACATCCACTTTGTCAACTCGATGCTTGCTCTCCATGGAAAGTACAGTAAACTATTTGGAGAAGTCTTCGATGGAGCTCAAGCGTTTATTGGGGCTTTGGATAAGGTATGTGAATATTATACGGATTTTTTCAATTTGAAGTTGCGGCAGGATAAGAACTAAAATGTAGTGTATCTTAGAAACAGGACACTTGCAACTTTTTTAAAGATTAAAAAGCATGATTTTAACTGAAATGTGATTTTAGAATGGGCTATTCTTTCCTATTTCATCATAAGAGGCGACTAAGGGAACTTATTGGCTGAGGAATGGGCAGCAGCGTCTCTCTTAAAACATTACCAAAAGCCAGGAACTTTTAAAGTTTTCTATTCCACTCAAAATATTAAGCCACACATGGATCTTCCGGCTATGTCTGGTGGGCAGTCTGTATGTAACTATATATAAAGCCGGCAGCACACCTGCAATGCCGTTGGTTGTGATCATGGGCGACGGTAGTTTCTTACCATTAGGTGAGCCGTATGCTCATTACCAGAGGAAGACTGTACAAAAGTCGTTGGCTTGGGTACCTCTGTTCCATTCGTGTTTCAACCGTAAAGCAGTTGTGTTTACATGGCTGTGTTTCGGTTTGGGATATGGTGGGAATTTACAGGGTACAGAGGAATAACATCTGAATCCTCAGGAATGGTAACGCATAGGGGTATCATGGACGTAACAGTATACTCTGTTATGTCCATGGTACTGCTCATGTCTATAGGCGACGGTAACCACTTTCCATCAGGTGGGCCGTCAGCTTGTTTGTCATTCTAAATTGTATTAAAAAAAATGCTCGTTTACCCAGTGTGTTGTAAGAAAAATGTTACGTTTTGTAATGCGCATCGCATCGTACAAGATGTACGATGGCCGGTGGCAGCGGGTCGGTCGGTAACGTCCGGAGCCGTAGCGTGTACATGTCGTGCGCAGGCGTGCAGCGAGGTGGTGAACGGTCGCGCGGCGGAGGCGGGCGCGGCCAGCCGCGCGCCCGAGCTGCTGGCGCGCTACTGCGACGCGCTGCTGCGGCGGCGCGGCGCCGGCGCTGAGCAGGAGGCCGACGACAAGCTGGCCGGCGCCATCGTCGTCTTCAAGTACGTCTGCGACAAGGACGTCTTCCAGAAGTACTACGCGCGCGCGCTCGCCCGCCGCCTCATACACCAGCTCTCCGCCTCCATGGAGCAGGTCGGTGGCGTCTGCGCTTCCTACATCTATTTATCTATTCTTTACTACAAGTCATCTGTGCAATGCAGACTTCATACTAATTTTCTCTCAGTCTACTGGATAATATTTTATATACATGAAGGAAATTGCTATGCTACCAGAGGCACTGTTTCAGAAGAGCATAGCATATAAAAATCCTGTCTTTAAATAGGATAAAACGAAGCCAGTATCAAAATCAGTCTGTTGCTCCATTTACTTCTTTTAAACTACTAAGCAGATTTATATATCTATCATTGTCATTTAGTTTTTTTTTTTTTTTTATGGAAAGTTTTTAGGTATGCCTTCACAAAGGGCAAGGCGAGTAGCTTTTTTTTATTTTTTTATGTTTATATATATAAAAGCAAACAAGCTGATGGTTCGTCGTATGGTACATGATAGCCTATAGATATGAATAAAAAAATGAACATTACAAAATACACTGTGGTTTTCATGGTACTTGCCCTTTCATGTATTACCATTAAAAAAACTAAATTTATTTTAAATACTCAATTGGGATTTAACCTGTCGCCATTGCGATAAAAATCAGATACGTAGGTACTATTTACCTGCAATGGCCTTGCGTCAAGCCCCAATAGTGTTTAAAATTTGTGTCAACAACACGAAAGTAAGAACTAAATTTATCCATTTAGATTCATCAATGTATACCCAATACCTGTTTCCCATTGTTAGCAATATACCCTGTCAAGTCAACTTTCGCACAGTTACCCATGGAAATCATCACCCTTCACCGGTTTCATCACTCATTTAAAAAAATAGCTACATATTATTTTTTTAATTATTAAATATTGTAGGAGGAATCAATGATTAATCGGCTCAAAGCGGCGTGCGGATATGAGTTCACAAACAAACTGCACAGGATGTTCACGGACGTGACCGTCTCCGCAGATCTCAACGCCAAGTTCCAACAGCATCTCCGAGAAAACAATTTATCTACAAATACCGGCTTCTTTATTCAGGTTTGAAAATATTTTTAATATTATAGAATGTAAAAATATAAATATCTACTTAGAACTTGATTGGAATTATATATGCTTATAAAATATACACCCGTACTCTTGATGTATATATACCTATTTAACTAAACTGGTTATTATCTTGCGGATGTTCATATTACTATGATAGCGGAATTAAACAAAATAATTCTAATAAAATAACCAATATTACCTTTGTTAACGTAATTTACTTATAATGTCAACAATAGAAACAAACACTGGTTAACTTCATGCCATTCTATTACTAATGTTTCGTCGTAGGTTTAAAAGCAACAATGTTATGAAATTGAAGTTAGTTGAAAATATATCCATTTCAGTAAAGACGTGTGTTTTCTTGCACCTTAAATTGATATTGAAAAGTGAACCTTAACACCTTAACATATGGCCGTAATCGAGCCGGATTATTAGTTTATTACCGCTTCATCGACCCGTTTCGCGAGAACAATAGAACCGCATCGAACAAAAATAGCACATCGCCGAGTGGTATTCTTATAAAGATTTACAAATTTAATGATCTTTATTCACTAAGCAATTAGTACTAAGATTGCTTAAATTAGTAATTGGAAGATTATTGAAAAAATATGGCTACGTCTTTGGAACAAATTATCAGTGTACTTGAAGATACAGAAAATCTATTTAAAAAATCGCAAATAAATCTTAAAAAATGCCCGAAATCACGATTAACAAAAGGATACATCGAGTCGCGGTTAAAGTGCATAGAAGATTATTGGAAAACTTTCAAAAAATCACATGAAGAATTATTACGCATTACGACTAAAGAACAACGCGGCATACTACCATACTTCGTGAATGAAGAATACTATGTACATGAAGATATTTATTTGTGCTTGGAAGCGGACCTTAAGGATATGTTATCTGCTTTACCAGTGTCACGATTAGCTGAAAAAAGTGTGCAGGGTACCCTGGATGTGCAAGTGAAGCTACCCAAAATCCAAATTCCCTTGTTCACAGGATGTTACGAATCGTGGCCCGCCTACCAGGATTTATTTATTTCTTTAGTGCAACAATACATCGCTTAGTAGTGTACAAAAATTACATTATTTGAAAACAAGTATTGGTGGTGAAGCAGAGAATTTATTAAAACATATACAAGTGACGGAAAATAACTACCTACAAGCTTGGAATACACTGAAAGAAAGGTATGGTAACAAACGACTAATAGTTAACTCTCTTTTAAAACGACTATTTGCACAAAAGAAAATTATGAATCAGTCAGCTAATTCAATTAAAGCATTGTTGGATACAACGTCTGAATGCATAAACAACTTACAGAATTTGAATATTTCCACCGATTCTTGGGATCCCATAATCATATTTCTGGTCGTGCAGAAGTTGGACCCAGAGTCACATAAACAATGGGAGGCGTATTCTTATAAAGAAAATTCAGATGAACTACCCTCATGGACTGACTTGAAGAAATTCTTAGAATCTCAATTTCGTACATTAGAATTAGTTACACCATTATCATGCACTAGAGAGCGAACTATTAGAGAAAGATCATACCACGTGACAACTCCAAATAAAACTTGTAACATGTGCAAGAATAACCACGCCTTATGTCATTGCAAGGAGTTTACAAAATTGTCCCCCCTGGAACGTAAGGAATTTGCCAAGAACAATAATCTTTGTTACAACTGTCTAGTACCAGGACACTCGGTGTTGAAATGCCGTACACCAGTTTCCTGTCATGTATGTCACAAGCGCCACCATTCTCTTCTACATTTACAGAAGAAACCGGACACGTCGGGTCAAATAGGTACCATACAACCGAGTGTGTCACCATCCCCATGCAATGTAGAAGAGCAAGAGGAGATAAGAGTCAATACAATGGTAGCGTCTAATTGCAATACTAGGCAGAAGATAGCACTATTAGCGACCGCAATGGTGATAGAAAGAAGTGAACGCGATCACACCACTGTCTTAAGGGCGCTAATAGATCCAGGGTCGGAATCATCGTTTATAAGTGAAAAAGCAACTCAGTTACTTCAACTCACTAGAACAACAGCAAAAGAAGTATTATCGGAATGGGATCTATGAAAACGAATGTAAACCAAGTAGTTCAGTTCAAAGTAGTTTCAAGATACAAGTCGGATTATAGCATACAAGTAGAAGCATACGACGTGTCTCAACAACTGACTGCTAAGATACCCACAAAATCACTTGCTGTTCATAATTGGCCACACCTAGAAGGATTACACCTAGCTGATCCAAGTTATTGTACTCCAGGCTCCATAGATCTTCTTCTTGGTGTCAAAGAATATGCTAAAATATTACAATCTGATTTAATCAAAGGTCCACCTGGCTCACCATGTGCATTAAAAACAGGTCTTGGTTGGATTTTATTTGGTGAGGTACATTCTGGTGAAAATTGTACTCAAGAATCAAACTTTATTTTTACACATCATGCAGTAGATGTAGACGAAATGCTGAAAGTCATATGGGAGGTAGATATGGATACTAAAAGAAAATTTACTAAAGAAGAGAGGCTGTGTGAAGACATCTACGAAAAAACATATAAAAGAAATGATAAAGGACGATACATAGTGAAGCTACCATTTAAGACAGAGAATCCAGTTTCACCGGACGGAAATACAAGAGAAATAGCATTGAATAGGTTTTTACAATTAGAGAAAAGATTCAACAAATAACCACAATTAAAAGAAAAATACACACAAGTGATAGAAGAATACAAAAATATGAAACATATAGAAGAAGTACCAGAAGAAGAAATACATTCGAAAAGATCAATTTACATACCACACCTTGCAGTCATTCGTGAAGGAAAGGAGACTACTAGCACGCGTGTCGTTTTTGATGCTTCATGCAAAGGTTCAAACGGCATCTCACTGAACGACGAGCTCTTATTAGGACCAGTACTACAGGGTGATCTTAGAAGTCTGTTGATGAGATGGCGAATGCATGCTGTTTGTTTCGTATCTGATATTGAAAAAATGTACCGAATGATTTTGATAGCAAAAGAAGACAAAGACTTTCAAAGAGTTTTATGGAGAGATAATCCTGATGAACCTATAAAAGACTACCGTTTGCTCACAGTAACATTTGGGACGGCGTCAGCTCCTTATCTTGCTATCAAAACTCTCGTACAGCTATCTATTGACGAAGGTGAAAACTATCCAATTGCTACCAGGATAATTCAAGAGGATTTCTACGTGGATGATGTTCTATCGGGTTGTGATAATGTTGAAAATGCTATCGCAGCTGCCAAGGAGTTAAAATATTTATTGCAACAAGGTGGTTTTCAACTAAAGAAATGGTCATCTAATAATGCAGAATTCATGAGATCTATCAAACCAAGCGAAAGATCCTCTAATGTACACTTAGATCTCAATATCGATGGTACTACAAAGGCATTAGGAATCGCATGGAACTTGAGAACTGATAAATTTGAATACAATTCGAGTACACATAGCGAGTCAATGAATATCACCAAACGTAGTATTCTGTCAGATATTCAGAAACTCTATGATCCTTTAGGATGGATAGCATCGTTGTTGGTAATGACAAAGATATTTATACAACGACTTTGGATGGAAAAGTACAGTTGGGATGAAGAGATAAGTCAATCACTAATAGACGAATGGAGGACAATAAAACGTGATTTTAAGAACGTAAATGGCATACGTATAGACAGATAATAATAAATAAATAAATAATCACTACCACGTTTAGAGCTTTGTGGCGCTGTCTTACTTTCAAGATTGCTCAAACAAATAACACAAGCAATGAAATTATCTATGTCCCAAGTGTTTACGTGGACTGATTCCACTATTGTCATATCTTGGCTACTTGGAGAACCCAGTAAATGGAAACCCTTCGTTGCTAATAGGGTGGTAGAAATAATAGATAATACCAACAACAGACAATGGTACTATGTGAAGTCACAAGACAACCCTGCTGACATAGCGTCCAGAGGTATGTATCTTAAAGATTTGCAAAATTCGAACTTGTGGTGGAAGGGACCGAAATGGTTGTCTGAACATAAGATAGATTTTCATAAGCCAAGTTGTACACAAACAGATGAGGAAATGAAAAAGGTTATACACGTAAACTTAAATATAAATAATAACGAAGAAGAAAAAGAAAATCATATATATACACAATTTGAAAATTATAATACATTAACAGAATTATTAAAAGTAATAACATTTTGTAAAAGATTTCTAAAGTTTAGATTGTTGGCAGAAAATATAAACAATACTATTACAACACAAGAATTAGAGGATTCATTACGTATATGTATACAAATAAGTCAAAAAATAGATTTTGAAGATGAAATAGAAGCATTAGAAAAGAAGAAATCAGTAAAAAGAACCAGCAATCTAAAATCGTTAAATCCATACTTAGATGAACAACGTATTCTCAGGGTGGGCGGAAGGCTCAGACACGCTAATATCGATGAAGAGAGTAAACATCCAATCATATTAAATCATAAAAACAGATTTACATATTTAATTGTCGCTGATGCCCATCGTAGAACTTTACATGGAGGTATACAAGTTATGTTGACGTATTTAACTTCTAAGTACTGGATAGTAAGAGGAAAGGGTATGATTAAGGGATACATAAATAAATGTTTGATCTGTGCGAGACATAAAGTTGCTGTTAGAACCCAGATCATGGGAGATTTACCTAAAGCACGTGTGACACCCTCTCGACCATTCTTGCAGAGCGGAGTTGATTTTACTGGTCCATTTCAAATTTTGATATCGAAGGGCAGAGGTATGAAAACAAATAAAGCTTATATTGCTATATTTGTATGTATGGCTACTAAAGCCATTCATCTGGAATTGGTTGGAGATATGACGTCAGAGGCATTCATTGGTGCATTTAAACGGTTTACTGCCAGAAGAGGAAAGTGCTCCCATTTATGGAGTGATCAAGGGAGAAACTTTATAGGAGCAAATAAGGAGTTAGTAACTGCCTGGAAGGATGCTTGTTTAGAATTTAAAGGGGAAATTGCTGAATCTTTGGCGTGCGATGGTACTCAATGGCATTTCATCCCTGCTTATAGCCCAAATTTCGGAGGTTTATGGGAAGCGGGCGTGAAATCAATTAAGTACCATTTAAAAAGAATATTAACCAATCACTTGACTTTTGAGGAAATGACCACCATTCTTTGTGAAATAGAGGCGTGCCTAAATTCTAGACCGATCTGTCCGATTGATGACTCAGGTGACACAATTCAACCCTTAACACCGGGACATTTCCTGATAGGCGAAGCACCTATTGTCATTCCCAATCCAGATTTACAGCATGTTAAAGTTAGTAACATATCCCGCTGGCAACATACACAAAAATTACTAAGAGATTTTTGGAATCGATGGCAGAAAGAATATTTGTCTAGACTTCAACAAAGACCAAAGTGGCTTAAAAAAGAAAAGGAATTTGCTATCGGACAAATAGTTCTTATTAAAAATGACCTACTACCGCCTGGTAAATGGGCTCTAGGACGAGTGCTCGAAAAACACCCTGGAGATGATGGAGTTACTAGAGTTTACAGTGTGAAAAGTGGTAACAGTGTTGTAAAAAGATCTATTAGCAAACTGTGTTATTTACCTGTGGACATTGAAACTGATTCTAAATAATGAACTTGTATGTAGTTGTTAATATTTTATAAATTAATTTATATACTACAATATTTTGTTACCTTTTATATTTGTTATATATGTGCATGAGATATATTGTTATTTGATTAAATTCTCGTTTAAAAAGACTTACAGTCATTTTGGTGGGCGGCATGTTAACGTAATTTACTTATAATGTCAACAATAGAAACAAACACTGGTTAACTTCATGCCATTCTATTACTAATGTTTCGTCGTAGGTTTAAAAGCAACAATGTTATGAAATTGAAGTTAGTTGAAAATATATCCATTTCAGTAAAGACGTGTGTTTTCTTGCACCTTAAATTGATATTGAAAAGTGAACCTTAACACCTTAACAACCTTTTTAAAGATTGGAAACGTTAATTACGAATACTGAATTTTTCATATCCAAGATGGCGGATATGCGATTTTTAGACAGTGCTCATCCACCACCCACACCAAGTAACATCAAACTATAAATTTAGGTTGCTGGCCTTTGTTGCTTAGTTTTACCTTGTGCATGCGACATGTAGGTGCTGCAGGCGGGAGCGTGGCCGCTAGGTGGCGCGATGGCCCCGCTGGCGCCGCCCGCGCAGCTGGAGCGGCCGGCGCGGCTGTTCGAGGCCTTCTACCGCGCCTCCTTCAGCGGCCGCCGCCTCGCCTGGCTGCACCACCTCTGCACCGGCGAGCTGCGCACCCGCTACACCACTAGGGTCTACCACATCAGCGCCACCACTCCCCAGGTAATGAAAGCTGCTCCTCGCCTGCCTGCACTAAGTCCCATTAGTAGCAATATAGAGCAATATACTCTGTTAGTTCAATTTCCACCATCTGTTAGTTTGATTCCCTCTGAAAATGGTCCAATTGTTCTGACTTCATTATCATTCGCCACTAGTGCCTCTGATATCAGACTTTCGCGTTCTGTCGGAGGTGTAAAAATGTTTCGAAGTCGATGTTCCACACATGTTTTTTTTATTTCTATGTAGTATAAGAGTATACTCGAAGAACCGACAACCGATTGGAAAGAAAAGTTCTTGAATGTCGACCGCGTATGGGTAAACGCAGTGTAGGACGATCCCCCACTAGGTGGAGTGACAACCTGAAATACATTGCAGGGAGTCAGTGAATGCAGGTGGCTCAGGACTGTTCTTTAGGGAAGGCTTATGTCCAGCAGTGGAGGGATAATGGCTGAAATGAATGAATGAATAAGAGTGTAGTTATTTTAACATTTATTATATAAGTAGGTAGGTATTATATTTATTTATAGTGTATGTATTTATGTAATATTTTATTATATATTTTAATATTATTATTTAACTGTATATTTGTTTATGTATTAATAGTTGTAGCACTTCAGTTGTCCGCTAACAAAAATTTTTCTCACTGTATTTGGAACTGGAAGAGATCTCTGTCAGAGATAAGTCCACCCTTGCTCACAACGTTTATAAATACATTATTTTATATGTAACTTACAAGTGCAATAAAGAATATATATAGTGACTGATGTATCGATTCCCCCGGCGGCAGTGCGCGCTGCTGCTGTGCTTCGAGACGGTGGACAGCGCGCCGGCGCGCGAGCTGCGCGAGTCGCTGCAGCTGGCGGGCGACGCGTGGCCGCGGCACGTGCGCCCGCTCCTCGACGCCGGCCTGCTGCTCGCCAGCGGCGACGGCGAGGGCTCGGCGCCCGACAGCGGGGACGACGACGGGCCCCACGGGACCCTCACCCTCAACTTGAACTTCTCCTGCAAGAGGACGAAGGTCAGGCTCACCTGTGCGAATGCGCCCGCGCAGCAAGGTTAGTACCCCAGTTTTCGTTATTTATATTGTTTATGCCTTTAGCTAGCTTAGGTGCTAATATAGTATGGTCCCAGTGTAGAATAGGCCACCCCTTCCTTTTCTGTGAGTGTGGTAAGAGGTGACTAAGGGAACTTAATGGTCCAGGAATGGGCAGCAGTGTCCCCTTTAAAATATCACTGAATCCTAACTGCGGTTGCCAACCTGGTACTGGAAAAATCATATGATTGATGAGTTATGAGGCCTATGTTCAGCAGTACCAGAAAGAGACGTTGTACAAATATTGTTTGCTTGGGCACCGCTGTCCCATTCGTGTTTCTATCGTGAAGCAGTTGTATTTGTATGGCTGTTTCGGTTTGAAGGGTGGGATAAGGCAGTGAATTTACAGGGTACAGTGGAATAACACCTGAGTCCTCAGGAATGGCAACGCATGGGAAACATCATACATGGGCGAAACAGTACACTCTGTTATGTTCATGGTACTGCTCGTGTCTATAGGCGACGGTTACCACTTTCCATCAGGTGGGCCGTCAGCTTGTTTGCCATTTTAAGTAGCATAAAAAAAGCAGTAAACTGTTAACGACTGATATGAATGAATGTGTATGTAGTGTAATGATAAAGTGGAGAGAAATGTGAAATCTCGCAATCAACTTGCTGTTAACAGAGTTCATTATAAATGCAGTAAACATATCAAAGCGAAGTGCCACTATTTTAGAGATGTAATAGACAGGTTCAACATAGAGAACTCTTGTCACCAGAACGTGGTACCCTCATACAAATAGTAATAATGGTTGTATACAGACTCGGACCTTATAATACAGGACTTAATACTGACCAACAATTACATTACATTAATACAAATCAATATAAATTTTATGATCCCAATTATCACGAATATTTATATGAAATATACAAAACTAAGTGAAAAAAGAACATACAAATTGGAGACGAATATTAAGTACCTACTTGTCTCATAGTGTACTTTTTGAAGCACAATTATAATTGTGAATTGCGATATGTTGTCACCAGGTGGTAGCGGGGGTGGCGGCGCGAGCGGAGAGGGTAACGAGGTGACACATTGTGACGATGACCGCAAGATGTACCTCCAAGCCGCACTTGTCAGAATCATGAAGCAGAGAAAGGTAATTCATATAATAATTCTCATTTAAATTCTACGCCATGTCAGAGATATTCATGTATAATGAAGGCAGCTTAATTTTCGAGTTCTCGATACCAGAGGGCGTCACTGGGCATGCGCAATTTCAATAATAATTTTATAATCCTAATTTACTTTTTAACAGGTACTCAGACACACAGAATTGATACAGGAAGTGGTCTCACAAGCCCGCGGCTCGTTCGCGCCATCCGTAGCCATGATAAAGAAATGTATCGAAGCGCTTATCGACAAACAATATTTAGAACGCGCGCCCGGCACACTGGACACATATTCATACCTAGCGTAGGCAAAATCGACCGCGATGTTATTCATTTTAATTGCATCGCTACATGGAGCACTGCAGCCAATTGTATTGCTGTATATACCGATACGGTTGCATCCGATTGCATCACTCTACATATAATTGCATCGCGAGTAAAATGAATCGATTGCAACAATCGTATCGCTACACATCGTTACAGTTTCAATTAGTACACCGCTGTACAAAGCGATACGATGGCAATAAATAGTATCATTACTTAGATCAATACAATATGGCAACCATTTGAATCGCTGTGTTATTGTCAAAATTGGTGATTGCACTGTTAAATATAAATATTGCATCGCTGATTTTATATTTTCGTTATTATGCAATTTATTTAATCCTGTAATTTTTTAAGATAATGTTCATAACTTTTGTAACATTATAGGGTAGGCCTATATTCAGCAGTAAAATAATAATAATAACTTTTGCTTACTGAAGTGTAGCAACGCCGCAATTATTTTTACGTTTTATTACACTAGCAGAGTATTTTTTAAATAATCAATTAGATTCATTGAAAAATGTTCAATTGTTTTTGGAAATTGACAGATAATTGCGACATTGCTGTACTTAGTTATGAAGGCTTTTCAACTTTTTTATTACTTTTTTTTATTAGTATTAATTTTTAAAGTCGACTTAATGGTGCTGATTCTGTGGCGCCATTTCTCTAAATCTATATCTAAAATTAATATCCCAGCAGAATCATTATTGTAAAGACCTATATGAGTTTCTAATAGAATTAAGTCAAAATTATAAATTTAGTTTATAATATGTATACAATACACAGTAATATCGCAAAACTATTAAAATACAGTAGAAACTCGATTATCCAAATCAAATAAAACCAGGTGTATTCCTTATAATCGAAAATCCGGATAATCGATTTTAAAGTCGAGTCAAACAATAATAAAATTTTAATATTTCTTTATTATGTAAAAAATTACGAGATATAAAGATAATTGATTACATAATATGTATTTTAAAAATCTTGGTTGAAAATTAGTTATTGACGTAATAAATTAAATCTTTCCATTGCGGCCAAGTCCCTGATGCGTTTCAGTTGTAATAATTGTATGGAATCCGATTCGTCATGTCTATGAAACGCTCGTTATTGTTCAAGTTGTCAATGATTTTTACATCAGTTAAAATTTGATGTCTAGGATCTTCACTATCGCAGTTCAGCTACTTCTTGAAATTTTCTTCTTCAAACCCTTCACCAATGATCCATCAGTGATCAAGCATACATGTGAATTTTAATATAAGATCAGAATTCTTTTTAATATCTTATATTATAGAAGCTCATACACCATCCATTTGCGCCAAATTACTATCATATTAACAATTTTTAAACTTAACTATCTTCACTTTGTCTTTAAACACTATTCTTTTTGGCTTAGACATAGATTTTTAACGCAAACCAAAATTAAAGTCAACTTATTAGTTGAAGCATTAACAAACACTAACGATGCGTTACATTGTAAAGTCGGATTAATAAATACTACTAATTATTCGACTGAGCAAGTCATTCGGATTATTCGAACGATTTTCAAATTATTCCACTACTAATTTTATTTATCTGACTACAAATTTTATTCATCCGACTATTATTTTTTTTCATCCAACTACTAATGTTGTTCGACTACTAATATCATTGTTGTTCATGTACGAGCCGACCCGATCATTGGGATAATTTAATTGTTGAATGGACAAGAGTGTTGCCAATTAAAATTTAGTAAATATTACCAAGTTTGGATAAAAGTAAGTACAGTTTTTATATAGAAAATTGCGAGTGTTATTACATTGATATTTCACCAAATATGGTGGCGTTTTTTTTTCGTTGTTGTAATTAATTAATACGTAGTAAAATCATTTGAATACGGAAATTCGTATATTACTAATTAGTAGTCGAATTATAAATTTAGTAATTATTCGAATAACGAAATCATTCGGATTCGCTCATCGCTAATAAACACTATCGCGCAAAAAAATAAGAGCGAAACCTACACGTCGAAGGCGAGATTAAACACGTAACATGTCTCGTTTCGCCGTCAAATCATTTCTAAATCGGTAATTGGAGTCGTGAAGAATAAGTCCGGATAATCGTTTTTCGGATAATCGAGATCCTACAGTATTCGGTTATGAAATAGGTTTTGAGAAAAATAAAATACGAACTAACTTAGAAATAGTTTTGAAAATATCATTAACATTTAAACTGGGATGTAAAACTATGCAGCATTCGAAGCCTTGGTAGCCTTGACATTGCAAAATGAATCTTAAAACTCTGGATTATTGTCATTGTTCCCTTTTATTTCCTATATTTATTTTTATTTTATATTGTAATTATAATGTAGGTAATAAGATTTTAAATTTCTTTTTTCTATCGTTTTTTTTTCTAATTTTAGTTTTAGGAATTTATATCACAAGTACATATATAGTAATAATAATAATAATGTTGACCGACCTGATGTTATATGGTGCAATGCTAAAATCAGGGGTGTGTATAAAGAAGTTTCACAACTTATACTGTTAGGATAAACATTTTTAATTAATTATACATACAGGATGCTGTCGCTTATATAGGCGACAATAATAAAACGCTTCATGTTCTAAAACCACTGGCTTCACAGGGGTTTTTAATATATTAACTATTTATTTACGTTGTTTTTGATAACAAAAAAATAACACTGGTAATAGGCGATTCAAATGGATATACTGGTGATGCAATTGTGACTTGCAATTAGTTGCGATACTAGTTACTAAGGAACAATACGATTGGAAAGACGACGGTGATACCGCTGCAACATATTATGTAAAGTTAGAGTTATGTTTACTAATATTGTCACAGATTATATGAAATTTTGTTTCGTAATATTATACAAAAATATCTGTACTACTTTGTTTTTATTTTCCTTAACACATATATTCCCTAATAATAAGGTACATAGATTCCCTAATAACAGATTTACATCTTTATGTATACGAGGTCTGTCCGGAAAGTTCGTATAAAAGTGTTCTGGAATGCGAGAAAGAGGAGTGGGGAGGCCAGGTAAGCGCAGGACCCCTTCCTTATGTCCCTAACAATGCTTCAGTTCTGGTCTGACCGCCGTGCGGTGCGAACTGGCTTGTCACGCCATCTGTGAAGTTACCTCTTAACGAAACCCCGTCGGCATGGAGCCCGCTTCCGTTAAAGAGCAGCGCGTCGTAATCAAGTTTCTATAGAAACTCGGCAAGAATGGCCGTGAAATTTTTGCCGATCTCAGAACAGTTTATGGGGATGATGCTGTGAAGGAACCAACCGTCCACAAGTGGCTAAAAAGATTCAGAGAGGGCCGAGAAAGCGTTCAAGATGACCCACGTTCAGGACGTCCTTCCACTTCACATTCCGACGAACACAGGCCAGACAGTTGATGGAAAATTCTACGTCGATGTGCTCAGACGCCTCAAAGCTCGTGTGGCACGAGTTCGTCCAGAATTGGCGCGAGAGGGGCGTTGGATTCTTCACCACGACAATGCCCCTGCCCACACCTCTCTTGTTGTCCGTGAGTTTTTGAGTAAAAATTCCATTACGGTGACCGAACACCCCCCCTATTCGCCGGATTTGGCCCCGTGTGACTTCTTCTTGTTCCCAAAAACCAAATTGGTACTTCGGGGGCGGCATTTGGGGGACATAAATGAGATAAAAAAAGCTACGACGGGGCAGCTGAGAAACCTACAACCAGAGGACTTTCAAGGAGCCTTCTCACAGTGGAAACGGCGTTGGCACAAGTGCATTATGTCACAGGGGGAGTACTTTGAAGGGGATAAAATTGATTTACCTGAATAATTGTAAAATAAAATTTTTAAAAAACTTTTATACGTACTTTCCGGACAAACCTCGTATATCAAACTTAAATAATTTTTCAAATAGACTTGTTTACATTACAAGCACTTTTAAATCGTATTTTTTTTTTAAATCTACTGCAGGGTTCGGAAATTTGTTGAGAAGAGCACGCAACAAACTCAACAGTTACGCTTTTACATTTCTGTTAACGTTATATGGAATATCATTAACATTTACCTTCGATTTCGCATTACCGAAATGAAACTAACTAATTCACTAACCAGGAGAAAAAGTAGCCTATAATCGTCTCCAGAGTCCAATATATTTCTATACCAAAATTCATCATAATTACTTCAGCGGTTTAGACGTGAAAATGTAACAAACAAACTCCCTTTCGCATTTATAATATTATTTAAAGATAATAATATACGGAGTGTTGAACTTTTTTTCCTAATGGGATGATGATATTGGGACTGGATGGACTGGTTTAAAAACGATGTTTACCGTTACTAAAGATCTAGTTGAAAATAAATGGAAACTACTTAAATATTGAAATCACCCTGACCAGAGGGAGACTTTGTACAAACGTCATTTGCTTGGGCACCTCTATCCCGTTCGTGTTTGTACCGTGAAGCAGTTGTTTGCATTGCTGTATTTCAGTTTGGTGAGATATGGCAGTGAATTTACAGAGTACACCTGAGTCCTCAGGAATGGCAACGCATGGGGGGTATCGTGAGCGAAACAATATATACTATGTCCATGGTACTGCTCACGTCTATAGGCAACTGTTACCATTTTCCATCAGGTGGGCCGTCAACTTGTTTGCCATTCTAAGTTGCATAAAAAAAATTACAAAATTCAAAGCTCCCAAAGACGGCAGATTTAAGGGTGCTTGTTGAATTGTTGTAGATGTCGACTACACCTTATTTCTCTTGTCTGATACCTATATATATGCATACTAAGATACGTGAATAATAAAAAATGACGTTATGACCACTTGTATAGAAACTTCAACACATTTCACCTTCTAATCGTGTGAAACGAGCGCCAAAGAAGTTACGTTAGCAATAATATGTAGGTTATTAGAAATAATGTTTCGAATATCAACTATTAATATTGATAGTGCAATTACTTCCCGTTCGATTATTTTACTTATAGTTTTTAATTGGTCACGTTCCATCATTAGAAATTACATTATTTATGCGTGTTATCTTTCCACGAATCGTGCGTCTAGATAGTCTGACTAAAAGGTAGGAAAGTCAGTCAGGGCTAGCTAGACCCAAGTTTAAGGTAGAGCAAAAGTTTTTGGTCGGGCAGAAGCTATAATTAGGTGACTTCGAAAAAGCGAATCTGTCTAATTTTAGTTTTGGGGCCTTTCATTTTAAGACCCCAAGAAAATTAAAATTTTCATTGCCTCTCAATACCTTCCTCCCCTCCCCCTTCCTCGGCTACGGCCACGTAGCCAGTATAATCTCATCGAGTTTTAGCCACCTAAACAAGTGGCATCGATTATCATCGATCATTCATCATCATTATCGTTCATTATCATTAGCAAGTCTGTGAAATAAGATAGCGACGCCTGATGTCTTGAAAGTAGCAAACGAATCTATCGATAGAATCGTTTCTGTTGGCGCTTGCATGAGGAACAACAAACCATCGTATGCTGCTATTTCATTCTCATCATCTGCCATCTCCCTTGTCCTAGAGGTCTGGCTAAACGTAAGCTTCTTCGACATTCTTAGTATTTTGTCAAACACAATTACTTATTACGGACTCGTACAGTCCTATTATTAACATCTAATATTATCAAATACTTTTGTAATAAAAGTTAAAAAAGATATAAAACTCATTTAATTAGTATTACAAAAATATTAAAATATTACTTATCGTTACCATATGTTTTGAGAGCAGCCGTAATAAATAAAAAGATAAATTAATCGATTAATTAAATTAATTAACTCACGATTGTAATCCTAGATGAGGTAGCGAGTCATTTTTCATCCATTTATAAAAGGAAACGCAAAAAGAATTTATATCCTTGTGGTATACAAATAGTGTTAACAGTTTCCTTTAACAACTCTGATTAAAATTATTAGTGTCCACCAATTTCGAATTTACTGATGATTATCGGAAAAGCTAACCACTAGTTTACAACGCTTTGTAACGAAACCTACTTGCAAAATTGTATATATACCATCTATTTCTAGGTATTTATTGTGTAGATACTTTCATTTTAATTCTATTACAATGGTGTAAGAGTATATCACCACGCCGTGGTGATAAGGAGCTAAATATATGCCACGCGCTTTGGCAAAGGCATCCATTTTTGTAAGACAACATGAAGGCTCTCATTCTTTTATGTTCTGTGGCGGCGCTTTTACAGGTTTGTTTTTGTTTAATAATTTAGTTTACTATTCATAATTAAAAGAAAGGAATTCTTTAAATAAACCTGACCAGTATGATAATATTTACCTAATGGCCTAAAATTCATCCCTTATTTCTTTATCAGGAGACTCCAGATGTTTAAATACATAGTGGTGGTGCGTGAATAGTAATAATTGAAAAAAATAGGGTCTAACAGCCCCACTGCTAGCAAAATACTCTAATAGGTCGATCTCTACACGGTACCCCCGGAAACCGTTGATGTATTCATCACGAGGGGCCAACGATCATACTTTTATTCTTCACTGGTGCCTCGCCTAAGCTACCAGTATACGCTACCGGTTAGTCGATCGGTTGATATAGGTTACAATTTCATTTTCACCCATTAAAAAAATATAAAAAAAACATATGATATCAATATCGGTAAGTATATTATATACGCACTGCATATAACTAATTTTTTTTTTATTACAGCAAGCCTACGCACACTTCCCGCTACCACCGCCAGTAGCACATGCACCACTGCCTGCCTATGCCGCGCCCGTACCAGCTCTTCCTGTTGCTCCTCTACCCGCATATGCTGCGCCATTACCAGCAATAGAATATCTTCCCGCTACGTTACCTGCAGTAATTGAACCTGTGCCTGCATATGGAGCTCCATTGCCCGCCCTCCCAGCTCCACCTCCTTATGTTCTGCCACCTGGCCACCCACTGTATCCCCCTCCAACTCCAATAATTGAAATTTTGCCCGCACCAATAGCAGCCCCCTTACCCGGTTGTGCTCTTCCTGCGCCAGTCCCGCTACCAGCGCTTCCTGCTCCGTTGCCCGCTTTGCCTGCACCTTTGCCTGTAATGCCAGCCCCATTGCCGATAATGCCCGCCCCATTGCCTGTAATGCCCGCCCCTTTGCCTGTAATGCCCGCCCCATTGCCTGTAAAGCCCGCCCCATTGCCTGTAATGCCCGCTCCATTGCCTGTAATGCCCGCCCCATTACCTGTAATGCCCGCTCCATTGCCTGTAATGCCCGCTCCATTGCCTGTTATGCCCGCCCCATTGCCTGTAATGCCCGCTCCGTTGCCCGTGCTTCCTGCCCCACTGCCCGCTCCGGTGCCCGTTGTCCCTGCTCCATTGCCCGTTCTACCTGCCCCATTGCCCACTCCGGTACCCGTACTTCCTGCCCCATTGCCCGCACTTCCGGCCCCTTTGCCTGCTTGTGTCCCACTTCCTTCTACAGTGATAGAAATATTGCCCGCCCCATTGCCTGCTCATGGTCCAGCTGTACCTGCAGCAGTAGAAATTCTACCTCTTCCATCACTGGCTCCCTCACCCGTTTACCCTTATGCCTCCGCACCAGCATTACCCATGGCACCTGTTACACCTACAGCAGTGTACTACGCTTAGATAATTAATGATTTATAATAAATAATACATATTATTTTTTATTTTTTCTATTAAATATTACATAGTTTACTAAAAGCATAGACGATTGGTATGAATCAATATACCACAAGTGTAAAGTGATAGAAATATCATTCTTTTTGTCAGCCAAAAAAAGATGAGGATATGGGAAGAGGTGTGTATACCTAAAAAATACTACTGTTTCAAATAACTTTTATAAAGATGCAATCTCTTGCAGACTTAGACAAATGGTTAAGATTTTATACAATCTCAATAAAATATTTTTGTTAATTAAATTTATATTGACTTGTCAAATATTGTTTTTTTTTAAATTAATGGTAATGGAATGGTAACCTCGCCTGCGCTAACGGTATACGCTGGCGGGGCACCAGTGAGAGATGACAGGTTAGAATGAAAAGGCAGGGCAGTTAGCCTATCGTGATGAATACACCTGGAATCCAGCACGATGGTTTCCAAGGGGGACCAATTGGAGGTCGGGCTGACGGGGTATATTGCTAGCAATGGGACAATAAAAATATTGTTTGAACTAACTACACTGACGCTGCTTCATGTCTAAATTATTATACTTAACAAACCACTTTTGTTATAATATTATTAGTCGGAAAGGGGGTGGCAGATTCTCTACCGTGTGGTCGAGGCATAGAATGGACCACCCCTTCCTTTCTTGTAAGTGTCGTAAGAGGCGACTAAGGGAGAGCGAGAGATGGGCAGCAGCGTCCCTCTTAAAACGTCACTTAAGCCTAACTGCGGTTGCCAACCTGTCTGCCAAGCGTAGCCACTACTGAAAACCCCTAAATCTAGTACATTCTTTGTTCCACTGGCACTTCTGCATTCAATATTACGTAAATGTTTATTAGAAATAAAACACAGTTTGAATAATAATATCGTATAATAAAAACCTTTGGTTACAGAATTTAAAAGTAATTTAAATTCTAAACAATTAATTTGACGGACGCGCGTCAGTTCCGTTCGTCGTTTGCGCTCAAACGCACGGACACACACGTGTCGTACCCACAACCAACTAAACTAACATATTGTTTTGCAAGCTTCCGTATGAAATACCTTTTGCGGTCTACAAATAATATAGAAGGATTGAATCATCGGAACAATGCGGAAGTTTTAATTTTTAACACATGTTGCGTTGTATTACATATGGTGGGCTATATTCTAAGGTGCCATTAGTTTAAATGTATCATTAAAATTAAAATTTCGATTCAATATCACAGCGAAATTTTTATTGTAAGGACTAAATTTTTAATAGATTTGTGCCAAATTTAATATAAATTTAGTTTCTGATTAGTCCATAAAACAGAAAATTCGTGAAAATATCAACTTAATTAATTTAGAAATATAGCACCACAGAATTGAATGTAACTTTAGAATTTAGTTGTTAAGCATTTTTTTACATATATGTATAATTAAATTTTATATGTGACTGTAAATGAGGTAGATAGTTTCGAAATTTATCTAACGTTAAGGTTTAATTTGATTGGGTTACTAATATTTATGAGGTACTGCCGATTTTACAATTTTGGTAACAAAACATTTGAGACGCATAAGGCATTTCGTACGAGAAATTATAGAACTTTTAACAAAACAATAAGACATCTAGTATCTATTAAAAACACAAAAAAACTTATAAGCTAATATTGCGTTTTTATATGCCATCAAAGTATTCGATAAGTTTGACAATTTTAACACCATTTACAATTATTGAATGCATATTTTTTTTTAAATAAAAATGTTACAGAATAAAAACAATTATTTTTAAGTTAGAATTAAAATACATCATTTTGGATAATAAATATTTGGACTACAGGGGCTCAATTTTTGAGGTCTGTCCTTCATAAACAAACGATCAGTCAAGTGAGCCGTTTGCTTTTTTATCATTTCCATTAATAAAAAACATATAAAGAAATAATAAAAAGACAAAATTTTAAGTTTCCTAATATAATGAATAAACAAGGCACTTCGAATTAACTTTAATGACATTATTGCAATATTTTCGAAATATATGTAAAGAAATTATAATTTTGTGTAGTTTTATTACATAAGAAATAATTTCGTATTTCTTTTAAGCAACCATTTTCAAATTTAATGATTTGATCTTTTCTACAAAGACTACTTATTGAAGTAGTCTTTGTAGAAAAGATCAATTATAAAATATAAAATATCAATTATTAAAATATATTGATATTGAAAAATATTTATATAATTTTTTTATAGTAACATTAACGAAATAAACTGGATTGCATTGCCCTTAACGTAATACCACAGTTTTTGCCGTCCAGTTGGCTACGTCAGAACATAAACTACAAAACTTTTGACTAGATTATGTGTGAGATTCTAAAACTACAGATCACAGCTACTAGGGAGGTTTGTATCTATACAAATAATGATATAATTGAATAAAAAAATAACGGGCAAGCGTGAGTGGGATTGGCACTTTGAAGGCTTCATTGGTACAGTTTTAATCATGTTAACAACATCATATCTATAAAAACACTAATTTTAAAAATCTAGACAGAGAGCCGGGCTATAAAAAACTAAATAACGTAAAAATACGCAACGTAGGCAAGCAAATAGGTATCTAATGTGACTAATAATAAATAAATATAGCTAGGTGATAATAAAACAATCGCACACTGTTTTGGAATGTTGAGTAATTTATATTGCTATGCAGATGCTCTTTGTTTGGAAATCCAAAATAAGAGCACCCAAAAACGTTGAGCAAGATAATAATTTATAGTATGGACGTTTATATTTATACATTAATGAACTTTTTTTAGATACTTACATACTTATACATGCATACACTATATATGCATACATGCATAAAGCAAAATTAATTTTGAGTTATTAGAAAAAATATAAATACACTATGGTTGTGAAGTTTAAGTTTAGACGAAAAAATGCGCGATTTTCACATTTTCCTTTTTACGATTCCCTACTAGAATGATACAAAGGAACCCTTATAGTGTTACTTTTTTTAAAATAATTATTTGGGAATAGCCAAAGCAAGCCTTCAAGTCACCGCCAGTGCGGTAATATAAATGTTATGCGACTAATATATACAGTTCTTCGAGAAGAAAATTTTCCATTTCCAGTCCGGCCTCAGGTTGGATCGTTCTAAAATTTTGACATAATAACATTTCAGCCAAACGATTAGGAATTGTATTGTTTGTAATTCCATCAGTTTTGGTAGATACGTCCAATTTCGACACCAACTCGACTGACGATCAAACTGTGGCAAACATTTATATATGCACAAATTAACAAATTTAAAATCCTTATTTACTTTTATTTGGCCCAATTATTGCACTAAAACTAACAATGGCTACAGATATGACACAAATTTCGCTTTTTACTTAAATCTAGGCCACGGAGAGGGAAAAAGGATAACAAGACCTAAACCTTCCAAAGTCTTGCATAAATACAATTTAATCCCACATAAGGATAGTTTGATTGGAGCACGGTCGCTGCTTCACTTCTCGATAACGTGGCGTATTGTCCTTTTTCCCTATACGTGTTTTGGCTTATAAAAAGCCATGTTTAATCAACACCCAAGTTAACGACCACTCTTGGGGAATCAATGGGTCTTAATCACCATTGTATTATTCAAATAATCAGGTATTTGGCGTGACCGTGGTGTTTGTTAAATTGTAAATTTAATTATAATCAATCACTTGCCATGCCGTATATAAAAGTTACGTGGTACATTTAAAGCTCGAGTCGGCCACTCGAGATACATCTAAACATTTGTAGTGCTATCATGATAACGACCTTGTTGCATTACATACTAACTTTGAGCATTAAACCAGGAGGCGCCATTGGTTCAGGTTCAATACAAATATTATATTGCGTCTAAACTGCGCCCACCATGTACCCTCTTGTATAGGCATTCCGTCACCCGAATCCAATTGCGAGGACGGGATGCCTTAAATACTGTACCGCAAACCATAAAAAAAAATACAAATATTAATATGTGAGGAGGAGGGGGGAGGGGTAATATTTATTACACAGCGATAAATATCACACTTGTGGCGTGTACTTGACCGTGCCCACAAACATAGATAAACCTGGCACATTTCATAGTGGTATTATCATGTACATTAAACGATAATGCAACTTACATAGTGATTAAGGGATTATAACAAAATAATCAATAATATTTTATAGTGGGCATTGGGTAGTCTTTATTAACAATTAGAAATTTCGATACCTGATAGACTTAAATGACTACACGTAACGTCTCCTGTATTTAATATTCCAAGTATAATAGTGATGCGAATGATTTGAGCAAATTCACTTTGGTAATACAATCACGGTGCTTTCCGATTTTGATACATGAGTATTTGAGCTACAAATTATTTAAAATCACATATACAGCTTACATCCTGGAAGCAAATGATTTTTTAAACACGCATTAGCTTGTTAAAAGTAATTCATTTTCATTAAGCATAACTATAAGCATAAAAACTCAAATACAAATTTAGTAGTAAGCACACAAATATACTTTTTTTATAAGGAATAGATCAAGGTGGTTAATTTATTTAAACTTGCATGGTAAAAAGTATATCATTATTTATTATTTAAGGCACGTAAGAAAGAAATATTAGGTTTCATTAAAAAACGTATAAAACTCTATATATACAATTTTTTTTTAAGAAATTTGTAATAATTTGAAGTCTGGTAAAGAATCTATTGATACCTGTGAAAAACTGCTCTTTTTTATCGGTTAATAACAATGTCAACACGAATAAACTTGTTTTTATAACTTTTGTTGTACTAAATATTTTTTTTAATCAAATATAGACTTATTATTTTAATATCCATTTAGTTTAGAATGTAATTAAATTAACTAAATCCTGAAACAAGGCTATAGAGAAACATAGTCAAGACAAGATATAAATTTAGACATAATTTGTATAAGTACAATGAAATAAAAATAATATTAATATGCAGAACATATTAGTATTATTTCAGACAGCAAATTGTTATTCTGTTGCCAATTAGTAAAAAAAAAATTTAATAAGTATAACCGTTTTATGAAACAAAAGTTATCATCAAATTGTTAAGACATATGGATAGGAAATCTCTTGGTTATTTACAAGTTCCATTGTAAATTATTTCAATAAAAAAAATATATATAATATAATTAATACATACAATTATTATACAATATCAATACTATATAAAAAATGTAAATAAAATATTGTATAACCAGGGCATATAAAAATTAAACTTTCTATTATAGGCTGATTAAATAAATCGAAGATAAAATTGGTTTCCAAATTGAGTTCAATACACTACTATTAATTTTGATTATGAAGATAGGAAACAGTAATAAAATTTTTACAAACATAATGGAGCAATAATTGGGTAAACTAACTGAAAACATCTTGTTTCATTGACGTTTGTAGTGAGTGTATTTACTATGGTAAATAAAATGTAATATTATATATATATATATATATATATATATATATATATATATATATATATGAGAACATTGCAAACAATCCAAGAGTTTTCAACTTTCCCACAATCAAACTTCAAATTAACCTGGAGGCCAGCCCATTTGTCTTCCACCGATTACATGTATATGAAGGTGGTAAACCGACTGTGCGCCATCACGGCCATTGTTGACCACCAACCTCCAGCCTGACGGTGCACGTTGAGCGCCAAGAGATCGCGCCACTAGCATTAAGTGACCGAGGAGCTGTGGAAGTAATAAATAAATACTTTATATACTATAAACATATATTCTTATCAATATTCATAACAGCAAAAGTGAGTCTGCCTGTTTACTTTGAACCTTTCTCGGAAAGGCAACGCATGGGAGGTATCATGGGCGAAACAGTATACACTGTTATGTCCATGGTACTGCTCATGTCTATAGGCGACGGTTACCACTTTCCATCAGGTGGGCCGTCAGCTTATTTGCCATTCTAAGTTGTATAAAAAAAAAAAGGTTATTCATATTATAACTTTGTTTCAATATTACAAGTAGTAAATGGAAATAATGTATATAAACAAACTGACGGCCCGTCAGTTTGTTTGCCATTCTAAGTTGTATAAAACAAAAACAAATTGTTATGAATTTGGTAATTAATATTTGGAACAGAGGATTTAGGTTAAATTTCATACCAGTCAATCCACAATTCCTGGTCATGAGAATAAAGTTATAAAAACTAGTATGTACAAATAATATTTAGAGATCATATAGATCAAGAGTACTCAAACTAAAACTACTGGAGATCCACCTCAATATTGTTAGACTATGATTGATTGACTCTGAGAGGATGCAAGTATGTGTGATGCAGTGTAGGTAGGGGATATATATATACAGCGTGTCCCATAAGTAATGGACCAATGGATTATGAGGGGTAGTGAGACTTATTGTCTAACAAAAATACTATAATTTATAGTCCTAGATCTTGTTATGCTTTGTTTTCAAAATGTGGTGAAAATATCATCACATGCATAGATACTTACGGGAAACCCTGTACATACTAAATATTAGTTTTCCGCACAATATGTATTTTTTTGTTCTACACAATATAGTTTGTGTACCCCTGATATAGATTATCTGTGAAAAGACCTATAGTAACTGTGCATACATTACATTTTGCAATTTGTGTATACATCACATTGTTAAATATGGCTATTTGATTTCTCATAAGCTAAAGAATTCCAGCACAGAACCTTATCAGTCTCATTTTATCTTCAGTAAACAATTGCATTCCAGGTCTTTTAGTCAATGATAATTACAACTCTTATCTACTGATAATAACTTTAACTGTATTATGGAACTTTTTCATATATACTAAACTAATAAGCTAGTTTAGTATATATGCTAAAATCTGGAATAAACTTTGAAATGTAGGGAAGATTCAACTATAATTGTGTGCTTGCATGGCAGTTATTATACTTTAATCAAATTATAATCTCAAAGGCAGACTGGTCTCTGTCAGTCAATACTAACACTGTTTACATTAAGCCTACTCATTGTACCAATTCTTATTTGGTAAATAAAGATTTCTAAATAAATCTGTTCAATAATGACATATAAACATTATAAATAATCTAGCACAGAGATGTTTAGTCATTATATAAAATTAAAGTTAATTATCTTATCAACAATTAGTTAGTTGCCCTATTCACATTAGCACCATTCAGCAATGTATTTATGTAATGATTCAGGAATGATCACAGATTAATATAACACAAACTGAATGAAAAAATTTTTGTTCAGTAGTTAAAATTTCAGAAATTCTCCCTTATATTGCAGTATATAATTGGGGAGGTGACTGATTACTATAGAATGTTATCCATAAATACCAAATTCCCAAAGTGGGTTGACGTCAGGCAGGCGGCCGGTTGTAAAACTATAAGCCAAATATTTTTGTAATATGGATAAAACCATATTACGCCGACCCCAAATAATAATTGGGATAAGGGTAGGAAGATGATGTTATCCATAAATACACATTTATGAATGATAAGATAATTTTTTTCATCCATAAATATTTTGTAATTATTCTGAATTTTTGGTTATAAAATTATTTAATATATTTTTTTACTATAGAAAAACCTATTGTTATAGGTTGATGATGATAATGGCAACATCATTTGAGTTAAAAACTCTCAACAAAATAATATTAAATATTTTCTTTAATAGATGTGACATATTTTCATGTCAGGTAACGGTGTATTAAGGTAGTTATATATATTGCAAAAAATGTATTTTTGTTCTAATATATGTATATCCTATTTATAATATATATATATATATATTTATTTAATTCCCATTATTTATTATTTCTTCAGTGATGAGCAAACAATCAAGCAAGGTTGTTATATTTACTTCCATTATACCATCATTACAATTTACCAGGCAGTCCCATAGGATAGACCGCTCCTTCCTTTCTCATGGGTAACTTTCATAACACTCGTAAAAGGTAACTAAGAAACCTTAATGATTGAGGGATGGGCAGCAACATCTGTCTTAAAACGTTACCAAAAGTCAAACTATACTTGCCAACTCACCTGTCAAGGATGGCAACTACTAGCAAAATCCTTCCAATGGTAAATTGCCATAAGGAACGGCACTAGCCCTTATGACAGTCTATGGGGGAGGCCTATATTCAACAGTAGACAGATAACAACTGATGAATCATTATCATTAAACATCATCATCTATTTGCCTCTATCTAATATTAGAGTCAGGAATTTTTTTTTTCATTAATTTTTATTTCAACCAAAGAAGTCAGTTCAGTATTCACTGGTTTTCTTTTTATTTCTGATTTTTTATCTTTTACACAGTTTATTCATCTCTATTTAGCTCTTCTTCCACCCTTATAAGATTATATTCATACTCAATAAATTCTTTAAAACATTCTTCTGATCCTGACTCATCACATGTTCATACCAAAGCAAATTATCACTTCTAAACTTTTCTATCACTGGTGCTACATTCAAATCAGCATCGCCATCATCATAATTATATTTTAATAGGTACATAGATTTAAAAATTAAACAACATTGTAAACAACCGCAAACGTATATAAAGACAGTCTTTCTGTACTTACTTCCTTATCAGTTTCTTCAGCATCTTCTAATCTCCTTATTCTGCGCTTGGGGATAACCAAGAAGTGAACGGGCGCTTGTGGAGAGACATCGGTAAAAGCTAAACACTTCTCATCCTCATATATAATATCAGCTTTAATTTCTTTTGAAATAATTTTATCGAAAATCGTAGGTCCCGGGGCGGCTACACTCTGCGCCTGCGCACGCCGCACCTCATCACTGTAAGGTCGACGAACAGCTATGGCCGAACCACGGGTTAAATCGTAAATGTTAGTCGGATAAGATTTCTTTATACGGAATTTTAACGCGCGTTGGATCACTTTATTAAACATTTTTATTGTATTCGGATAGAAGTCCTGCACTTTGCATCGCAAATAGATTTCTGACAATGAAATAATGACGTTTATAGCAGTGTTGCCACTTGTCTTAGAGATTTTTCCTTCATTTTTGTATTTAGAATGTGTATCAAAAAGTCACTATGTTTATTATAAATTTGATAAAAAAAATCAGTGTGCTATAGAGCAAATTTATATAAATAATTATCAATAGCTAGGTTTAAAACTACTTTTTTTATTAATTAATTTAGGTTAATAAACAGTAACACTAAATACATAAATATTACTTAAAATAGGTGGTACTTTTATTACAATTATAATAGATGCGCCACTCTCTACGTAAACCACATATTATTTTTTATGTGGCCATTAGGTGAGCCGCATGCTCATTACCAGAGGGAGACTTTGTACAAAAGTCGATTGCTTGGGTACCTCTGTCCCATTCGTGTTTCAACCGTGAAGTAGCTGTGTTTGCTGTGTTTCGGTTTGAAGGATGGGATATGGCGTAAATTTACAAGGTACAGAGGAATGACACCTGATTCTTCAGGAATGGCAACGCATGGGGGGTATCATAGGCGAAACAGTATAGTCTGTTATATCCATGGTACTACTCATGTCTATAGGCGACGGTTACCACTTTCCATCAGGTGGGCCGTCAGCTTGTTTGCCATTTAAAGTTGTATAAAAAAAGAAAAAAATACAGGTACTTTTATTTAAGATATATTTATGATGTGTTGTAAAATCACCTTCATATTTACAATATCAGTAAAGATTTTTATAATTTGTAAAATAAAATTAACACCTCTGTTTCAACTTACATATTTCTTAAAGCAATTCTAATTACCGGCAAATATATCAATGTTACTGCAAATGTTGTTATAACAGATTACTATTCTATTAAATGGTACTTGTTTACCTGAATTTATACGACATTTACTGTAGAAGAGCAGAGGCTGCCTACGCTTGCATAATCACTTTATGCGAGCGTAGTGAAAATCGGTTGTAAACATAATTTTTGGCATTTTATTTTTTATTTTTCATAGATTTATTGAGGTCCGTGAGAAATTCCATGAAGAGAAAAATAAGACAAATTGGACACAAAAACATATTAACCCTATTTTTTTTATTCCCATATAATGTGTTACTAGCTGTCAATGTAAACATTTCAATCAAACATTGCTGTTTTAATTTTTAACAGAATTACGCCTGTTGCAAAGATCTCTGTCGACAGATAGTTTCCAACATAATTTTTTTATTTTACATAATTTTTATAAACACCCAAATTTTCGGTAAAATAATTATATATGGCAAGTTGTTTGGACTTTGACATTTCATTATTTTGTCTTATAAATATAGGAATGTTAGCAAAAGAATCTATCCATATAATGCCTAAATAAATTATAGTTGATTATTAATACGAAATTTTTTATTACCAGATTTAAGAAAGTATTTTAAAGTCTTAGAAATAAATTACACCTAAATATTCACTGGCCTACTTGATTTCATATAATTTTTCAAATTTTGAATCTATTTGGATAATGTTTTTGCAATTGCCGTTTAAGGCAAATTATTAAGATAAACTTTACTTTCATATCATGATCGAAATAGTAGCATTTTTTTCAAAACAAAATCCTAAAAATGTTGTAATGGCAATTTCACGAAGATATTTATATTTTTAATAGTCTCTTCTCAAGGAATATGAATAATATCTATGCATTATTTGATTAGTTTATTGTGTAACTTCTTTATGTTATGGCTGTGTTTACTATTTATATGTTTTAGGTATTGTATGTTTCCCTATTAAAGTAAAATAAAAATAAAGTATATACAGATGGTATAAAAAACACATACCGTTATCGTCGTCTTCGTTATTATTTTTACATAATTGGTATCTTATTTATATTTTTTATTTATCTATATTTATTAAATTAATACTTCAATATAATACACCCAAGTATATCTAATGAATTATATATTTTTCTAATTTAGCTTTATCGTTTTTCTTACCTACTATTATTATATAATAATTATTATATAAACTATTATATAATAATTTTAGATATAATTGTATAATTAATATGTGGGGGAAGGGATTTTTTTTTATACAACTTAGAATGGCAAACAAGCAGACGGCCCACTTGATGGAAAATGGGAACTGTGGCCTATAGACATGAGCGGTACCATGGACATAACAGAGTATACTGTTTCGCCCATGATACCCCCCATGCGTTACCATTCCTGAGGACTCAGGTGTTATTCCTCTGTACCCAGTAAATTCACGCCATATCCCACCCTTCAAACCGAAACACAGCCATGCAAACACAACTGCTTCACGGATTATTAGTAATGCGGACTACCAGTACCTACCATTGCTCTCAATACACCCTGTTAGGTTTAGCTCCACATGGTCCCTCTTAGATACCATCGTGCTAAATCCCAGGTGTATTCATCACGATGGGCTAATTGTCCTGCCTTTTCGTTCTCACCTGTCATCACTCACTAGAGCCCCGCTTATGTATACCCTTAGCGCGGGTGTAGTTGCCATTCCATTATCATCTATTAAAAAAACTAATAAAATGTACCTACTATTTATTGACAGGGGGAAGGGATTGTTAGTAATGGGGAGGTTAGTCCCCGTCGCTATCAATATACCTTATCAAGTCGACCTCCACGCGGTTCCCCCTGGAAACCATCGTGACAAATTTATTGTTGAATTCGTCACGATGGGTTAACTGACCTGCCTCTTCATCTTCACCAATCATCCCTCACTAGTGCCCCACCAGTGTATACCAATAGCGCCGCAGGCAGGGTTACCATTCCATTATCATCCATAAAAAACAATATTAAATAAATATACATAACTTATTTATCAACTTGTTGAGTACATTTAAAAGTTAACTTAGTACGTAGTAGTTAAAGAGGTACTTAACGTAATAATGTAAAGTAAATAACGTAATTGAAGTTCAAGACCTACTTACTTACTAGATTAGAAGATCATAGGGGTAGGTATGTCACTTAGATACTCACAAAATATAAAATGGACATCACAACTTACCAACATGAAACTTTTCAACATATTGTAATATTGAAAAATTTATTGCATACTTAATATGGTAATGACTGGGCGGGGCGGGGGGAGAGGGAGATAAGGATATTTAGTACTGGGGTCTAACAGCCATATTGCTTACAATCTAGGTAATCGGGCTTTCTTTTAGAAAGAAAAGTAGATTTTTCGCAAAATTGTACTTTATTAACAAACAATAGATACACTTTCGATAAATCAGGAGTGCAGTGTGTAGCAAGACTGCACCTCGCACATCCTTTAAACATTGTATGTGATTCTAAACTTAAAAAAAATAAACAAAAATATTTAGTTACTTTAAAAAAACAGTAGGTATGAGACGTATATTGGGAACAAGCAATATACGCTATCTATTATCAGGTGGTTGTCCGCGTGGTTTCCTCTATAAATATTCGTGTTTAATTCCTAGTGAATACATCCAGATGGACTAAATGACCTAACTTCGTCGTCACTTATCAATATTCACTAATACTTTGCCGGCGTATAGCAATATTGCAGACGAAATTATCTTTTACTTTTTTCCCATTAAAAATCCCGATAATAAAAAAAATGCTAAATATTTAATCAAATAATTAAAAATATAAGTAACAAATTACTTAAATACTTATAAGTACGTAGTTTCTAATCTAATATTTATCATTTTAACATGTCCTAAAACACCTTAATGATTCCTAAAAAATCCACAGCCATATTAATACAATACAAATCGAGATAAAGAGTTTCAGAAACTTTATAACTCTGTCATGTTGATTTTGTCAGAGCACGTACTCTTCGTATAAAACATATATTCTATGAATATAGAAATATACAATATTGTTGTGCTCACAGTGTATACCTAAGCATAATATAGGTAATAATAATAATTGACAGAGATATCACTATCCAAGTAATAAAATATGTAATGCTTGTTCTAGTTTTTATATCTATGAATAAACATATCTAATTCTAATAATTTTTATTTTGGATTGCAGAAGACCACCGATGTGGTATCAAGTTTTATACAGTTTTGCGATTCCAATTAAAGAGTTGCTTATTGAATATACTAAGAATAAACTTCATGCTACCATAAAATAAGTCACGTACTAGTTTGTTTTGTAATGCCAGCCTTATCACTAATCCCATCAGAAGTACGGACACACAGGTGTGAAGGTAAAACATTCTGGAAAAGAAAACAATTTACTTGAAACGAATTTTTACATTATATCTATCTTCATACCAAGTTTCTTGTGTGGTAGGCAGAGAAAACCGAGTGCCAAAGGCCCTCATCCTTACATACAGGTCTTGTTTTCATCTTTTTAAATTCTTCTCAAGCATGTATGCTGATTCCAGAGAATCTTGACCAGCCCTCCCTTGGAGATATTTTTAGTAGTAGGACCAAACCACCCTATTACAACATAATTTATCAAGTCAACTTCCACGTGGTTCCCCCTGGAAATCACCTTGCCTAACTGTTGTTGAATTCGTCGGCGTAATCAACTGACCTACTTCCACCTTATCATCTTTATCTGATGCCCCGCCAGCGTTTACCAATAACTCAGGCAGGGTTATCATTCCATTATTACACATAAAAAAAAACAAAATCCCCATCTGTTAGAACATGGTCTATCTAATTATAATAGCAAAATTTTCCCGGTACCTACATTCATACATATTGGCATTGTATGTACTGTTTTGTCAACCTTTCATCTGTCATTCTTTCTACATGCCAGAACCACCGTAGTATGCCCTTTACCGACATAATTTGTCGTAAAATACGAGTATATTGGTTTCCTTACCGTTTTACATGTTGTCTTGCCTTAGCTAAGTCTTGGTCTTTTTCCTTCAGAAGATATTTCCTTATACCCTTCACGAAATTCAAGTAATGTTCTTCCCACCTAAAAATGGAATAAATATTTTATTAATACTTGGGTTTAACCACAGTGGGTTACCACATTTCATTGCAAACTTATGACAGTTTGCGACATAAAAATTGGGGCAGTGTGTTTATTTTAGGAAAAGATTCCTCGCTTAATACTTTTATATATTAATTCATTGAGGAGTTAATAGTCAAACAAATCTGTATTTTAATATGTAAATTTCCCACGTCACTATGTTTATTCACGTTAATTTCCAACTAGGCTTACGCCCAAAAAGTGTTCTGCAGATTTTGTTACAATGAGGAAGAAACGCCGCTGCACTTAATGTTTGGCTGTGGTCCATTCATACATAAACGATATATATTCTATTGGAAAACACTCTCTATATCCTAAGGAGATAAAAACCGTCGCTACAAAAAAAAATCTTAAAATTACTATCACTGATAGGAATTAGCAGCGAACTTTATAAAAGGGCGAGCACAAAAGATGGAAAAGTCGCAGTGTCACAACTTTTTCTATTTGAAAAAGCCCGTTTTTCAAAAATAATGAATAATTTCCGAAACCGTTCAACTGATTTGAATGAAATGTTGTTACTTTTTTTTTTCAAGTATTTCCTCGAGACTAAAGCATGGAGTTCTTCAAAAGTAGCGCGTAATACTCCTAGTATTGCAGGAGTTCATAGACTACGGTAACCGCTTATCATCAGGTGGGCCATATGCTTGTTTGCCGCCTGTAGAACGCCTGCAGAATAACGCATAATTTTTTTAATAGATAATAATAGAATAGTAACACCGCGCTAACGGTATACATTGGCGGGGCACCAATGAGGGATGATAGGTGAGAATGAAAAAACAGGTCAGTTAGCCCATCGTGATGCACCTGGAATTCAGCACAATAGTTTCCAGGAGGCACCAGAGGAAGTCCACTTGACAGTTCTCCCCTCGTTTGCCGCGTTAGCTAGTTCATATATAAACTCACTTGAAGCTTTTTGGGTCCAAGTTGTATATCGCAGCATCCTGGGGCGTCAGCCTTGTTCGCAGTTTTTGTACGTTTGTGTTCACGAATCTCCACTCCCGCAAAGCGAAGAATTTCAGTACTTTATTCATAGCTTGTAAACGATGGCTGACGGTGATTAGATTTAACCTAAAATTAATTGCATATTTAAGACTAGTTGTCGTCTGCTACTTCGTATGCGTGAATTTCAGAAATAGGAAAACCAATGAAATATACCACTTTTAGATGGCGTATCAAGATAAAACATCTACCAGATTTTAAGTTAGATCTTCAAGAATACAACTGTGCAAATCGTGTCTAAATTACAAGAACAGGAAGAAACAAATAGATAAAATTTCTTAAAATTATTATTTTGGCCTCTATTGGTCTTATTAAGACCTCTCGTATTGTATTTCTTAATTATCTATGGTATGTACCCTTACATTCATTTTCAACAAATTCATTTTACATGATGTATAAAACTCTTAAAACGTTATACCAAGTTTTATACACGATATTATCTATGTATTCATTTTTTTTTTCTAATTTTGTAATTGAATCCAACAAAATAAATGTTTCAAACAGGCTTTGTTAGTTGGTAGCTTGATCTCTATAATCGCTTTACAAAACTTGGAAAATGAATACATACATAGTAAGAAAACAACATAAGTAGTCTATTACTAATTCTGGTTGATTAATATACTTATTCTGTCCACACGAACAAAGTTGCGAATGGAAACTAGTATATTATAAAAGTATTTTTTTTTTTTATTATCACATGTTATTGCTTTTACGACTCAACTCATATCATGAAATTTTATATAGGTACACGTTAATTAAGTACGTAGAATTTGACCCCAGTTATGTAGATGAAGCCAAGGGAATAATTCTATAATAAGGTAATATATATAATATTTATATAATAAGGTACTCACTGCGTCTTAATTCCTAATAATCGCGATATATATTCTGTTAGGTGTAAAGGCACCGTTTGCAACAGTAACTCCAATATCTTCTCCAAATATCTGTGAAATAGACGTGAAAGTGCATGTAAAATATTTCGAAATTTGACTCATGTTTTTCGTAAAACGTAGTAGTCATATCACTCATTAACTGTCCACTGCTTATTATAGGTCTTCCTCTGTTGGAGGATGCCAGGAGGAGGATGATGGAGGAGGACGGAGTATGCTAGTAGTTGCCAACTACTGGCAAAATCCTCCAGGCTTGGATTGGCAACTACAGTTAGGCTTTGGTGATGTTTTAAGAGGGACGCTGCTATCCATCCCTCGACCATTAAGTTCCCTTAATTGCCTCTTATGACACCCACTGGCATGAAAAGGGTGGTCCATTCTATATCGGGACCATACGGGAAAATAAAACGTAGTAAATAATAATAACTAATAATAATTTATTTGCTCAAAAACATGGTATACAGATGCAAATAATAATGTGTTATGGACATGCGTGTTTTGCCAAAACAATGGCATGCATTTAGGTACAATAATGTCAACAATGTTACACTATATTTATGATTATTTTATTTATTAATTAATAAATCACCAGAGGGAGACTGTACTAAAGTCGTTTCCTTGGACACCTCTGTCCCATTCGTGTTTCTGGCAGGGTTTCGGTTTGAAGGGTGAGATATAGCAGTGAATTTACAGGGTACAGAGGAATAACACCCGAGTCCTCAGGAATGGCAACGCATGGGGGGTATCATGGGCGAAAAAGTATTCTCTGTTATGTCCATGGTACTGCTTATATTTACAGGCGACGGTTACTACTTTCTATCAAGTGGACCATCAGCTTGATTGCCATTCTATGTAATAAAAAAAAATATATATATATATAAAGTCAATATAAAAAAAGTCAGGAATCAAAGAATTCATTCAAATTGTAAAAAGCATTTTCAAATAACCATTTCTTTAATAATAATTTGTAATATGAAGAATAATTATAAATTGGTATACTGTACGCGTAAGTACTCACTTGTTGTGGATGGCAGTACCGTATGGCCACCATAACGCCTTGTCCATTGGATATAGTTTGATGTTTTTTATAACCGCATTTTCAAAATCTCCCCACCTGGTGGGATTCTCTGATGTCGTACAGTTGTACACTCTGACATCTTGCAATCTGTAAGGACAAACAAATAGAATGTAGGTTTTTTATGTAACTTGCAATATGGTAATCACTATGACGGTCAACTTTATAACCGTTACGGTCATCATAAACGGTAATCCTCATTTATTGCCATTCCTGAGGACCAAGACATTATTGCTTCACGAAAATATCGAACGAAGGCGCAATATTATCTGACTAGTACAGTTTCATCGGCGAAATGTAGAAAATAAATCTAAAATAAATTAAGCATAAAGCAAGTTTTTATCACCTCTCAAATATAGTTACTTTTTTATTTATTTATTTAACTAAGATGAGCTGTTAAATGTTAATAATCCTTGTACACCGTATGTAGAAGCTGCAATTTTTAATTACGAAATCTCAGCGAGCTATGAACGCTCGAAGTCACTGCGTGAAAGAATCTCAAATGATATCCACAAAAGAACAAAAATGACCTGAGTCCGAAGGATTAGCAAGTTAAAATGGCAATGGGCCGATCAAATATTTCAAAGAACCAATGAGCAAGTAGAATTAAAAGTACAGACGAATGCTGTGCAGAATGGTCCTCCAGTAGATAAAACAACGTACTCAGGTGTGTTGTAGGATTTAGAAATAGGCAGAGTTTATGCAAGTAGTTGAGGACCGTAGCTTATGGTAGTTTATGACGAAGGCTTGTGTTTTACAATAGACAATGAATGGATGTACGAAACCTCTAATAAAATAAACTAACTTGTCAGTGGCCGTCTCCCAAGCTACAGCTAGTAATGTGTCGATAGCTATATCAACAGGCAACAAGTCTGCGTATGCCATGGAATTGCAGCGGAATACATGGAGTAGTCCCTTGCCAGTGGCAGCGATTACCCCGCTAGGTCCGTTCAAATTCTCTATCCATCCGGGGAATGGATGTTTCACGGCGGATATAACTGGAAATAAGAATTTTCAGCGGACTTCAAAAAGGTTATTTGGTTTTGATAATCCTTTCTTTAATTCAAAATAATCATATATATATATAATATATATATATATATATATATATACATATATAAATTTTATATATGTTACAGTCATAATACTTTTTTGTGAATTTTTTTCAAGAGAGCTACATAATATTTGCAATTAGACAAATATTAATTTAGTGCCAGGCCCTCTAGATAAGCGACAAGCGAATTCATCGATGGAATCGACATCGCTAGCGAGTCCGTGAGTTGGAATGAGTCATCCAGCGCTGCTATCTCATTCTATCTCACTGATTCGGTAGCAATGTCGATTCTATCAATAAACTCGCTTGCCACTTATCTAGAGGGCCTAAGGTAAAATGACAAGGGTTCTGTAGCTTTGCATAGGCGTGTTCGTAGTCAATTGGTGGAGTTATTTTTCCCTTGTTATTCTAATTTCTAGGGCAAAATGTTACGAAAGTAGATAGTTACATGATTTTTTATTATACGGGAGGTATAAAAAATATAAAAAAAATCTAAAATATATAAAAAAATCATGAAAACAAGTAAATCATAAATAAATTAGGCATATAAAAAAATTTTATTAGGTAAATTTAATGATATCTTCGAAAATCACCTATCAAAATTTGTAAAAATTCATGAATTTTCAAACAGCAATATAAAACTTCCATGAATTTGAGGTGTGTAAAATGTGTATTAAATTTTTTTGTGCTAAAATTTTTACAAAATATAAAAGTCTTATATTACCTATTGTAGGTCTGAATATGGCAATAGAATATCCTTTGTTTCCGTGCTGCTGGACAGCAAACTCGGCCATGGCTTTTGTGAAGGTATAAGTATTGGGTTTCGGAGCAATATACCTGTAAAAATTAAATTTAAGATTTAAAAAATGAATTACTGTGAATAATCCAAGAATTTTCTCGCAATGTCGAAAAATTACACAACATTCCTGTCAAATATAGTAAATAAATATTTTTTATTTAAACAAAACATTATTTCTTTTATACACTTGTTTTTTTTTTTATCTATTATAGTTGTGTGTGTAATATGTACTACTATAAATAAAGGGGGAAAGGATTGTTAGTAACAAGGATTAGTACCTCCATTACTAGCAATATTGTTCGTCCAGGTCGACCTCCACGCGTTTCTCCTGAAAACCATCATCGTAAATCCCCGTGAATTCATCATGGTAAGTTATGGGACTTAACTTCATCTTTTTGTAGTTATTGATATTTTCTTCAATGTTGTAGAACATACTTTTGTTCTATCACCAATAGTTTCCGCAGCGCACGCGATGAAAGATATTTTATAGCATTATTTACACCTTGAGTTACGTTACTAAAGTTTTAGCAAGGATCCCTAATCTTTTCTAGTAATAAATATATACTATATTACTCCTATGTTACTCAGGGTGAATGTAGCTTTCTAATGGTGAAAGAATTTTTGAAATCGACGTAGTAGTTTTTGAATTTATTCATTACAAACATACATATACACAAAAATACAAATCTTTCCTCTTTATAATATTAGTGTAGATTACTTACTTAGGTGTAATATCGGTCATTAAATCATTTGGCATTGACTCTGCAACAGCCAGTAGGCGGTCTAATGAAGCGGGTGGTGGATACACGCGTTCTTCTATAGTAGACAGTTCAGCATTACAGTATGCTGTTGAGACGTGGATGAAAGCCTTAAAAAAGGGATAAGTGAAATTACAAAATAGATTTGGTTTGTTGCTATCCACAAAATTTATCGGATTAACCATATCGGGGCCTCAAAGCAATGCACGTGTCACTTACAGAAAACTGCTTTGTAATAATATTACTATTATTAATAATATAATAAGAATAATATTCTACATTAGTGATCTGACCCAACCTGGCAACAAATAAATAGAATTTTTTACAATAATATACAGCTTATAATGTAGCTTTCTGTAGATGAAAGAATTTTTAAAATCGATAGATTCTATTTTGAGTTTATCCATTAAAAACAAATAATCAAGACTTTCCTCTTCATAATATTAGTATTTGTTCATCATTCATTTCATGATACTTTGAAACACGATACGAAATATACTTAAATATGATAATGTAATATATAAAAATACAAGAATATTTAGAATAAAAAGATCAGCGACAAAATGTATTTTTATGACCTTCGTAAAAGATCAAAATTAGCTGAATAAGGGTGTGTTTTAGAAATTTGGATATGTTCATTACTTTTAGCGCTAAATGGACCTATAACCATAGTTGTTAATTATTTTAATTAAGTAGTTATAATATCTGACTTGACTTTCAATATTTACCAGATACACTCACCTCGATATTGGGTAGTCTGTCACAGATATCCATGAGCCTGATGACTGAGAGGACATTTTGTTCTACAGCAATCTTTAACGCTTCGTTGAATTTTAATGTGGCGGCTACGTGAAATACTATTGATACCTAAGCAGAAAAGAAACTATCTAGTTTTTGTCTGTTTACACCACTGTTACATAAACAAAAGGCATTTTGTAATTCATTCATGCATATGTAATAATAGCGTCTTTTATATAATTATAACACTACTACTCGTTTGTAGGCTTGGTCTTAACGTACCTGGCCTCCCTGGGCAAATTTTTGATGATGTTGACAATGAAAAAAGTCAACACCTCCTAATGCTGCCCAATAAATGACTTATATCTGACCTGCCTTCTCACATATGAGGGATCATATGTGAGAAGGCAGGTCAGTTAGTGAGGGATCACTGGTGCCCCATCATCGTACATATATTGTCAATGCAGGCGGGGTTACCATTATCCATTTTCATCTGTAAAAAAAAAATAGAACACCTCTAGTTTTGAAAACAAATTTGTACCATAGAGCTATTTGTTAAAAAAATTACGAATTATTTGATTGGTATATGTAGGTGCTATTTACGTGCAAAGGCTTTTCATCGCATCAAGTCCCGACTGTGTACTTAAAATAATCAATGGGATTAATAGTAATCTGAGTAACGCTCGTACCTTTGTTTTTCGTAAACCCCTACTACCTAAATGAAGCTAAGAAAACCAGAGTCTAACCATAGATACTAAGGCAAGGAAAAGCAAAATAGATATATGTATTTACGGCTTATATTCAGAACTCAATCTATACTATTTTTTTTTTTTATTCAACTTAGAATGGCAAACAAGCTGACGGCCCACCTGATGGAAAGTAGTAACCGTCGCCTATAGACATGATCAGTACTATGGACATAACAGAATATACTGTTTCGCCCATGATACCCCCCCCCCCCCCCCCATGCGTTGCCATTCCTGAGGACTCAGGTGTTATTCCTCTGTACCCAGTAAATTCACGCCATATCCCACCCTTCAAACCGAAACACAGCCATGCAATCACAACTGCTTCACGGTTGAAACACGAATGGGACAGAGGTACCCAAGCAATCGACTTTTGTACAAAGTCTCCCTCTGGTATACTATACTGTGCATATTACCTCTTGTAATTTAGCTATTGAATCTTGTGTCAACGCCAAGTCAGGCTGGGTTATATCTCCAGGCAGTATGTAAAGCTTGTCCAATTGTGCTGGACTGGATTGTCGAATAATATCAAAAATCTGAAAACGTCAAGATATTTTAATTAAAATAAAGTCGTAAATGGAACATAATGATCAGCCATCAGACTTTATTCGCTAAAATATAAATTCTTCTTCGTTATATTCTTCCACACTTATTTTTATATAACTAAAGTTTGCTATTTGTCTATTGTAATTATGGCGAGACGCGAATGAATAAAATCATATAAACAATAAGCAATATAGATTAGCATTTGTGTTGTTTCGAATGTGACATAACAAGGCATATTTTTTGTTTTTTCATTTCTGTGTTTCACCTTAGACCAGTTCTTACCTGTGACTCTTTCATTTCTTGCAGGCGCGTCTCAGGAGTAACGCCCTTTTTCTCTCGCATCAAAAGGTACAACTTATCAATGTCAGGACACGTAGTCAGCAGTCGTTCTATCAGAACCTATACCAGACGGAAAAGTTCATATTTTTTATACCACAAGTAATATTTTTATTAGTAGTGATTGTTAAGTCATTACGGCGCCAAGATATAAACAAATTTTTACATTTATAATGTTAGTAAAGGTATGTAATAGATAGTTATTTTATTTTTAATAATAAAATAAAGTAAGTGCTGAAATACTTGTTTTTACTAGAAGACAGACCGGGTAAAAATTATAATTACGAACACATGGCGTGACTTATAAATCAATTAGAACCAATATTAACCAAATTACGTATTTCTGATGACAAAGATTTCGGATCAATTACTTAAATATACCATATATAAATAATACTTAATACCTACTACGTAATAAAAATTTTACAGGGAAAATATTAGATGAGTATTATGAGATAGCAATGCGTGTTGTTGTTTCAGCTTGAAAGGTAAGAAGTACGCTATATCCAACATAAATATAAAATCAAAACAAAATATGATTTCCAAGATTTAGATCAGAATTTCGTGTGTCGAAGTGATGTTTCTTTTATAATAAATAAATAAAAATAATTAGTATTAAAGTCAATTTAATTGTAGGAATTTTTTATAGTAATATTTTTAATTTTTATGAATCTACCGGTCAGTATAGAATGCAATATCATCTGAGAAGAACGGGAATGAAATCCAGCTATTGTTTGTTTCAAACAAAAGTCGAGTTCCAAAAATAAATGTAAACGAATACGATAAACAATAGAGAAGATACAATAAACAAAAACTTCATATTGATAAAAACTACAGTCAATCACGGTATTCTTGCATTGATCAGCCTCTACCAGCTGCACCCGTCCACGACTATGACGTATGAGCAAGCTATTGTTTTGTTAAACCATAAGGAGCCAAACAATGTGGCACACCACGCCGCCTCCATTTGGACATTTTAGTAAGCAATAAGCAAGCATGCTTCACGATTTAAAACAACAAAAGCGAGCCATGAGGATTTTATGCGGAATTCATAAACGCACCTCAGTTAGACCTCACTTTATCCAACAACGTATAATGACAGTGTCATCGTTGTTCATATATAATTCTTTACTTGAAATATATGATAAAGGTACTCTTCGCAAAAATTCAGCCATTCATAGTTACGCCACGAGAAATAAAGACAAATTGGAATTGCCAAGAACACGACTCACAAAAACTATGAAACAAGGCATATATCTAAAAATAAAAATGTACAATAAATTACCCAATACAGCAACGCAATTGTCGAGAAATGAATTTAAAAATAAAATAAAAACATATTTTGAATAACATCCTTTACAACGTGACCGAATACCTAAATGGCAATATTAAATTATAGCATTTTTATTTATTTACGTTTAACTGTAAGAAGTGTGACAATTCAAATTGTATAACTTGAAGTCGTCATTATTGGTATATAATCACCATTATATTGACATGTATTAACTAATTTATAATGTTAACTTTAATTCATTTGTAATTTCATTTTTATTTTATAATTAAAATCTTATTGTTATTATTTATTTTATTAATTTCAAAATTATAATGTAAATATTGACTTGCCATTGTGTAACGAAAACTGTTACATTGGTTAATAAAGAAATATGAATATGATACACGACTACGTCAAAAATATCAATATCAAATTGAATATGATAATCAATATACTCACACATTGCAAAATTAAAATGCTTTTCAAGTTCAATTTTCAAAGAATTGCTTTTATCATAGACCTCGAATAATCGAAAACTTATTATTTAAAAAAAATTGTTTTCGTAATTTTTTCATATAGTATATGACATATATTATATATATATATATATATATATATATATATATATATATATATATATATATATATATATATATATATATATATATATATATATATATATATATATATATATATATATATATATATATATGATATATGTTTAATCCTCAGTCGTCAAAATTGACGACATATAATATTAATGATGCTGTTCATATTCCTGTTAGTACGTATTATTATTATTATTATTTTACAACACAGGGGGCAAATGAGCATGCGGCTCACCTGATGGTAAGTGACTCCCGCCGCCCATGATCACCCACATCCCTAACGGCATTGCAAGTTTGCTGCCGGCCTTTTATTTGTTAGAATATCAGATGGTTTGTGTAAAAATAGACTGATTTTTTCATGGCATTGTGTATATCTATTTTTTTTTACAATTTAGAATGGCAAATTGCGTGACGGCCCACCTGACGGAAAATGGTAACGCCACTCTCCTATAGACATGAATAGTAAGTATCATGGACATAACAGAGTATACCTACTGTTTCGCCCATGATATCCACCATGCTTTACCATTCCTGAGGACTAAGGTGTTCCTCTGTAAATTCACTACCATCCCACCCTTCAAACCGAAACACAGCCATGCAAAAACCACTGCTTCACGGTAGAAACACGAAAGAGGTACCCAAGTAAACGGCTTTTGTAGGAAGTCTCCTTCTGGTGAGTATTCATAAGCAGCAATTACATTTTTTTTCTTTAATTCAAATAGGAGCTTGTTTATTATTCTTATTATTATAAAATAACTAGATTTTGTTTAACAAAAAAAAAAAACACCGATTTCAATGGTTGCAAAACCTGTTTTGATTAAAAAAATCTATTAAATCAGTTTTGATAATATTTCTATAAGACAAATCTCTGAAAGTATATCTTTTTAGATAAAAAATATTATCAAATCGGTTTATAAATGATGGAGATTTTAGGTAACAAACTTAAAAAGAATATAACCGAACTTTTAATCTACTCTTGTTTGAAATCGGTTACAAGTCGACTATAAACCTAATAAGTAAATATGCCGATTCCATTTACGTTTCTCGATATTTTTATATATTTAACGACAATTACGTAGTTACAACCAAATCCTAGAACCAAGAAATAATGTATTACAGTAATATTTTATCAACAAACAATCATATTTATCATTCAAATTTAAATTTGCATACATTATTAGATCGTTGTTCAGTACCTGGTGATAACTGTTCGACTAATATTGAAGATCGTGGAATTCTGAATTTCTGGTAGTAGTAGTCTACTTGTGTTGACAGTCATACACATACTAATGGTAGCGGAATTAAACAAAATAATTCTAAGAAATAACCAGTGATTATATGTAGACCCAATTACTAACAATAACTCCCCCCTTGACCACGCTTACTTATGTCAGAAATATAGTTTTGTGTAAAATGAATAATGCAATAGATATATGTATTTTATTGTTAGGGAAGCAAATGAGTAGATGAGGGGGGAAAGGGATTGTTAGTAATGGAGACTGGGAACCCCATTGCTATCAATATACCCAACCAGGTCGACCTCCTCGCGGTTCTCCCTGGAAACTATCATGGTTAATTCCTGATGAATTCATCATGATGGGCTAACTGGCCTGTTTTCATTCTCATCTATCACCCTTCACTGGTACTCCGCCAGCGTATCCCGTTAGCGCAGGCGGGGTTACCATACCATTTTCACCCATCAAAAAAAATGAGTAGATGAACCTACTGATAGAAAACGGCTACCGTCGTTCACGAACACCTGCAACACGAGAGGAGTTGCTTGAGCGTTGCCGGCATTTTAAATGTTTATGGTCAGATCTAAAAAAAGAATTCAACAACCCAGATGTATGAGGTAGGAATAAATGAGATGTATGGACAGTGGGTAGTGTATCACGTACTTAGGGAATGAAAGTAAGAGTTATGGTGGTAAAAGGGTAAAAAATATATAAATAGGTGTATATATATAAAGAAAGGTTTTTTAGTTTTATTTATTACATTTTGGCATCCTAACGACTTAAACAATCACAATTCAATCGACTTGAACATCATGAAATTTGGTACATATACACTTTTATGTAGCAGATTCAAAAAAGCTAATCAATGGTTAATTAAACGTCTAACTGTTTTAACTATAATGGCATCAGTTCTTTGATTCCCATACTTTTGGGATCAAAAAGAAAACGTAAATATGTAATAAGTACCTACATACCTTACCCATGAACCCGGTGCCTCCTGTGATTAGAATACATCTCCCGGCGTAGAATGCTGGGATGAGAGGACGCTTCTCGGTATCTTGACAATACCCCACCATTTTGTCTGTGAGTAAAATTATATTATGCAATTATAGATTGACTTAAAAAAGAGAAACATCTCTATATAAAGTTATTTTTATAGTATGCTTATAACACGATAATACTTTGTTTTTATTTTTAACCGTATGGTCCCGGGATAGAATGGCCCACCGCTTTCTTTCCCGTTGGTGTCGTAAGAGGCGACTAAGGTAATTTTATTGTCTAGGTATGGGCAGGAGCATTCCACTTAAAACATCATCAAAGCCTAACTGCGGTTGCTAATCTGCCTGCCAACCATGACAAGTATTGGCGAACCCCTAAAGGGGGAGGTCTATGTTAAGCAGTGGACACTTAAAGACTGATATGATAATGATTTTTGCAAACGGCAGAGTTTATTTCTGTGTATTTTTAAACACAATTTTAAATTATAAAAAGTTTTGTGTCAGTTGCGTCACTGTTCCTGAAGTGCTATCATTGTACTTATATCGTTCCTAAATAGATAAACATTCTACAGTTAGTATTTCCGCTATTTGAGAATAATCTGTGATACTTATTGTATACGTAACGATATGTAATACAATATCTTCTCATAATATCTAAGAACACCTACCAACAGTAGGTAGACACCTGTAGACACACATTACCTATGAACGTACTTACTTACCTCATGTTCATTGTTGAGCAAACAGTTTCTGTAAAAGTACAGTCTTTAACATAAGTGATTCATACCCGTGCTGGGGAATACCTTAGATTCATATTTATTTAAAACGTGTTTCATGTTGATTTTTTGAATACTTAAATGAAAATAAATATTGGGTACCTAAAAGAAGGCCAACGCCTTGGATTAAAAAAATATATATATAAATTGTTTATAATTTGTAATCTAATATTAAAAGTAGCATCTAATTGTTGTTGTTTTAAAATTCGTCCAAAATGAACAGGCAAAGAGCATGATCTATATAGCCTAGTCATAGGATATTATCAGTTCTTCGTAAATGGGAGAAAAATTATTTTATACGTATTTTATATTAATCTTCATGGGAATTGCTAATCGCGGTTTAGAATCTTATTATTTTTAAATTTACGAAAATTGTACAAAAGGCTTATATGTATATAAGAAGGTTTGATAACTATTCATATCTAAGATTGCTTCAGCCTTAAATTCGGATTACTGTATACTTGTAAGATGAATTATTGACTTATCCAACGTCTCTGGGCTCAGATGTACAATTGTACATATAAGCGTCATTGTTAGAATAAACAATTTGAATACACTTTGCGGAAACTAGCATTAATTGGACAAACATAATAATTGTATAGAGTAACCTCCACTTATTTTAACCTTATCCACTATTTACCAGTATATTTTAAAAATATAGTTTATTATTGCAATAATATCTTTTAGTACTTTCCAATTTACTCAAAAAGAAAATCAAGGTTCTTAATTCTATACTTTTTGTGTAAGTGATATTACGCGATATTTTTTTTTCAACCAATTTAAATAAAAGTGGCTCTCAATTTAGTTGTATTTTTTATGTTTATTACCTCATAATTCCTTCAGTTTTAAATCCATTCGGAAAATTCTTTTTTCAACTGAAAGGATATACTTACGAATTGCTTCCATAGAAATTTTATTAAACTCGGTTTAATGATTTCATTTTTTAAACCAAAATAATTGGTTTTATCAGAATTGAAGTTGTTTTTATTTTCTGGGACAATTTTTGAAGATAGAATTGCATACAAGTTGTCAGACTATCTAATGAAAAATATTAGTAACCATCACCAATAGACATAAACAGCAACCAATCACAGAATACCTTTTGACGCCCATGATACCTCCATGGGATGCCATTCCGAAGGATAATATAATTTCACTGCCATATTCAACTCTTCTCTTTTTTAAAGTTGGGTAATAATAATATTTGCAATACACTTATACAAATGTAATTTTAGATATTGTTGGATCACTCATATCCACTCATATTACAAAAGAAATAATTAATATTCTTTTTTTATTTTTATTATCTTCGAAATTCCAAATGGGTCCACTAGTTGTGAAAAATTGCTATTGTGGTTTGTAACTTTGTAAGAAATTGATGCGAAGAAAAAAAATACATAGACGTAAAACCCCTGTTATTGACGTTTACTGCGAGGGACAAAAAAAGTAGCTGTTATAAAAAAAAAGATATTGGCAACCAACACTAGTCTAAGTGGAATATCATATGAAAGGGCTTCATTTGCATTCCTTTATTTTTTATTCCGCGTAATTTTCGACTTATAACAGAAAAATTTTAAAAAATATCATTCATATCCCCTAATCTTCGATTTATAAAATTCTATTTATGAAGGTACATGTAAATATTACAGAGAAAAAAAAAGAATAATGTTTCTAATAAAAACAATTTTTAAATAATTATTAAAAAATCTTCATAAACAAATTTAGTTTTATGGCCTAGCTTCTTACTACATTTATGTCTCAAAATAAGGAATTCGGAATTTCAAGAACATTATTATATGTATTTACTATTATTGGGTGTCTATCTTTTAATATAAGAAACAATAAATTCAAGTGAATATAAAAGTAATTTATGCATTTTGTAAAGTAATTTACATATTCTCATATTTACATATATTTTTTATCTAAAGAAAACAAAGACCTATTTATAGAAATATACGAGTATAATGCACGGAACTCTCAGCGTGTGAGTTCAACTAGTACTTGACCTTTTAAGGATTCTACCGCTAGATTCTGAAATATTCGGAACATTGTCAGTATTGTATTTAATTAAAATTTATTTCACATTAAATATTGCATAGCTAACATTATTTAATGCGAAATTTCGTAATCAGTTATAAATAGTAAACAGGAACAGACAAATCGGAGCGAAAGTTATGATTACACTACGTTAAATCTTTAAGTTTAAGAAAACCATTCCGTAAATGCTCTGCACACACACAAGCGACATCCGTTCACGAGTATGATGGATGAATCAAATCAGTACAATATATTTATTATACTTAGGTACTTTTAAATTGTGATCGGTCAAAATATGATCTTCATTCTTATTTCAGCCGTTACCTGTCCACTGCTGGACATAAGCCTTCCCCATAAGGGGAGTTTTGCCAGTAGTTGCCACGCTTGGCAGGCCGGATGGCAACGACAGTAACATTTTTAAAGAAGTTTTAAAAAGGACGTTTCTGCCTATCCCTCGCCCTCCCTTAGTCGCCTCTTACAGGAAGAGATGGCTCTTTCTATGCCGGGGTACACATGGCGATTTTCCCAAGTTCAATTATCCAGCTATTTTTACTTAAAAACTAAACTACTTGAATCAATTTAAGTAAAATTACTATGGCACCAATCTGTATATCCTTTATGACAAAAAAAGAATATTCCAAATCAGTTTATAACTGATGAAGTTATGAGGTAACCTTCTTCTTTTTGAAGTTGGTTGAAAAAAAAGGTTTTTGAACTTGACTTAAAAATATTGTACAATTTACTTTCGCGTTCACAGCATGATAATGTATACGTTTAACAAACATGAAAGACAAATACCTACGAAAGTTTACATTTATAATTAAAATATATTTATGGGAGATATTAAATTTAAAATTAGATATTTTTAATTTATCTACACATGTTATATATTTTATAATTTTCTGTTTTGATCCATTAATGCTTAAATAAATAATAATAAGTTAACAATATTGAAAAAAATAATAAAATGAAAAAAAAAATATTAAAACAAAAATGAAAATATTTAAAAATATTTAACTTACTGTGTGTTGAAGCTTATCCAAAAATGAGTACTATTTTTTTATCACTATAGTATTGTCACCTTCGATTCATACGCATTCGCGGCTATGTACCAGACTGAACCGTGTTCGCTAAATTACGACACTTTTAAAGATAACATTGTTGCTATAACTGTGTCTAACATCGACAAACGCATTGAACTTCATTTGTTAAGTTTGGCCAACTACAGCTTCGTTAAATTCGCGCATATAAATTCAAATTTAGATGAATTGGAGAGTACATCTCCTAAATTGGTTCGACCGGTAATTGAATCTGAGATATTACACAAAGCATTGTGCCTATTGCTGCGCTTCGTATTTATTATATACTCGTATTTAAAATTAATTAACTGCCTTGTTATTTCGATATATGGATAAAATAATTTAAAGTGAGAACAGAGGATAGACATAAGTATACTGTGCTCGCTACGACTCACTATAACCTAGACAATTGTCACTTTTTTTTTTTTAATTCAAATCATCTTTATTCAAATAGACATGTTTACAAACGCTTTTAAAACGTCATTATTTTTAAATCTACTGCAGAGTTCGTAAAGTTGTTATCTGCTGAGAAGAGCCCGCAAGAAATTCAACAGTTATTCTTTTAAATCTTTGTTAACGTAACGTAAGTAAAAGTGTATACATATTTATTCAAATGTACTATTTTTTTTTATATATCTTAGAATGGCAAACAAACTGACGGCCCACCTGATGGAAAGTGGTAAACGTCGCCTATACACATGAACAGTACCATGGACATAACAGAGTATACTGTTTCGCCCATGATACCCCCCATGCGTTGCCATTCCTGAGGACTCAGATGTTATTCCTCTGTACCCAGTAAATTCACGACAATATGTCTAACATGGTCATATAAAAACCTAAGCATAATCGACTAATACCATACACGTTTGTTATTCAAGTATTCGTTTAGTGTGTAATGACTTTGGTCAGTAAGTGTTTTTCAATAACAGTTTTAAATTTATTAAAAGATAAATCTAAAATATCCTTCACTATCTTATTATAACATTTAATGACAATTCCCATAAAAACCCTATAAATTTTTCCCAAACGATACTTCAGAACAGCAAGTTTGTATTTTTATTTAGTGTTAAAATCTTTGAGGTCGCTGTTTTTAAGAAATAGTTGAATATTTCTGATTTATTTACAACATATTTGGGTATATGTATTTTGAGGCTATAGTGAAAATTATTATTTATATTATATTAGTATTTGCTTTTTTAATTTTTCTTTTACTGATTTACAACTTCCCATAGGATGAATTACGCGAACTGCATGTTTTTGTAATACAAATACACTTTGGATGTTGGCTGCTTTACCCCATAATAAAATTCCATAGGACAATATACTATGAAAGTAACTAAAATAAAGTAATCCAGCAATCTCAATATTAGTATACTGTTTAACCTTGCGTACAGTATACGGTATACATACAGCATACGCATTATATCAAAGTTGCCTTTACCTGAATCAGTATCTTGGGGACGGGTGGTGGTAGTAATGAGGACTACTAGTCCCATTGCTAAAAATATACCCCCGTCAGGTCGACCTCCATGTGTTCCCCCCTTGAGACCATCATGCTTAATTCCAGATGTATTCATCACGGTGGCGGTAGGCTACTTTAGACTTCACTTTCACTTATTATTCCTCACTGGTGCCCCGCCAACGTATACCGTTACCATTCTATTATCATCCATTTAAAAACAATTTGTATCTTATCACAATATACGAATACCTAACTAGTATCTTATTATTAAGACCCCGTGAGTTGCAGAGGCTCTTATTTTTTACGATTATTTTTTAACCCCTATGGGGGTGCTATTGCATGTTTGTACACAGTTTGTTATTAATTAATGGAATGTAAGTATTCTTACATTCCAATTTCAAAAAATAAAATTATGCTATATACTGAAATAGTCAGAAAACCGTAGATCTTCGCAGGAATAAAAATGACGTCCCAAAGTGACCTAGCGACTCCAAAAATTGAAATGTGTAAAGAAAGAAAATATATCAATCAGCAAATTTACTAAAAGATACTACTTGGTAGGTACCTCTAGAATGTACTATTATTTATCCTGTGTTTTGAATAAATATGATCATATAAATGTATTTTTATCTTAACCCTGGCTGATAACGATGTCCTAACCCTAAATAGGTAAGTATAGATAATATAACACACAAGTATCTATATCAGATAACGTCACTAATATCGCTGGGTAAGTTCCTAACACTTACAATACACGCTAATTTTAGCATACACCAATAACACAAGTGTTCTTATCAATCGATTTTCATTACAATAAAAAAAAAATTGTCTAATTATATATTTAACAAGTTCACAGATTCACGTATTAGATAGAAGCTGTATATTATAAATACAGAACTTAATTATAATTCCGGATTGTTCTATTAATCGAGTTTCTTAATTTTAGTTATTAGAAAACATGTTTATAGCTTTTGCTTATTATGTTAAATTATTCACGTATTTAATTTCTAATTTATTATATAGAAAATTTAAAAATAAATATGTTGTAAATAATAGCAATATATTATAAACATTGTAAGCGCAGTGTTAAAAGCAAAAAATATAGAAATTAAAATGATGAATGGGAAATATCTACGTTGTTAAGGTCGATAGTGTATTGGTATGTAAGTACCCAATCGAAAATGGTAAACGCGTTGCGTGTTGACATGGACACAACACGGTCAATTGAATGGAATTACACCATAGAATTTACATACTACAGTGTATGCCTCATCTCCATGCATTGTTGTTTGCCACTCATATCCCTTACGTAAACAATAGCATTGTATCCTGTATCATATCCTCTTTTTTTGCTACGGTCTTATGCTGAAGTCAAAGAGAACACTGAGTATAGAAGCGGATCTTTCAATTTTTTTTCTTCTATTTCAGTTTTTTCTGTTTTCTTTCTCTACCACCAGAGATTTATTTACCTCATACGATTCAATACTATTTGTTTATATATTTTTTTTACAACATAGGGGGCAAACGAGCATGCGGCTTACCTGATGGTAAGTAACTACCGCCAACAATACCAACGGTATTGCAGGTGTGTTGCCGGCTTTTTAAAAAGGAATATGCTCTTTTCTTGAAAGTTACGTTGTCATATCGGTTCGGAAATACTGTCGCTGGAAGTTAATTCCCATGAGTGTTCATGGTTTTCTGGTCATTTTAAATTGTTTGGGTAAGTGCCAAGCTTTAAATAAACTCAAGAAAATATTAACAGAGTAAATATCCAATTTCTTAATCTCTAAAGCTACAGTTTAAATTAATATTGTATTGAGTATTTATTTTGTTAGAGTTACGAGTAATGTTCAAGTAGTTTCGATAATTGTTGTCATTTTTTTTTTGTATAGTAATCGCTATAAACTAATATGTATTGCCCTACAATTTTATTTTTATATCCTATCTATACACGCGGCAGTATCCAACTAAGTTTAAAGAAAATGGAGCTGGCAAATTTTAACACACATTTATTTCACAATAGATTTATTTCACTTGAGATGTAATTCAAGTTTAAGACTTGCTTGGCTAGTTTTTACTAACAAATCAAATATTAGAAAAGCAATGTATTATGTCAAACCAACAGTATGAATACAGTACAAACAGGACGTACACTAACTTGCACATGACTTAATGCAGATAATTTGATTAAACAAATATACTTAAGCCTTTACATAAAATCTTGAACTTTACATACATCACAAATAAATGTATCGTGTAAATAATTATTAGTTAAAATTTAAAAATTTATAATATCTATTAAGTATTAAACATGGTACTAGTACCAAAAAATAAAAAATTGTTATATAAATACATTTTATAATGTTGCATGTTCTTGTAACTTATAAATTAAGCTTTTCTACACAGAATTTGGTATCCATATAGATCTCAATTCTTTTTTCGATGGAGTCGGAATGACGCATATTCGTAATATAGAACTTGACTCACATTTTACACTTATGTTTTTGATGAGATTATATCTAACCAGTTTGCCTTAGGTATGTGATTTTCAGAGGATTGTGATATAACTTGTTATACAGTATTTTAATTAAGGAATTTCCATTCCTTAAAACTATTGTTAGTGTTCATTAATAGGATTTCAGAAAAAAATCTTAGAAAAAAAAGCCTCTTATCTTTATATTACTAAAACTTAAAAAAAAATCTTAAAAAAAAAGAATAATCTGTATCAGTATCAACAGCACTACGTAATAATATGCATGCATCCACATTGAAGTTTAAAAAAATATTTAATTAAAATTCGACAGTTACAACAACAGTTGTTAACAGTTAGTTAACAATCTTACGATGGCACTTAACAAAAAATACTATTCAAAACAAATTCACAATAACTTAGACTGTAAAATAAGTTTTTGTCATATTTATTTGAAAAGTTATATTGGATTTTATATGCATTATTTATAATAATATAATTTTATATTAATTAATTATTTCAATATTAGATAACTGATACAAAATACTTTTTTATAAATATGTACCTATGAATATAACTTAAGCATAAATTATTTGAAATATCAGTTCAAATAGACACTAATGAATTAATGAATACAAAATGTTTATATGGCACAGGAATGAATCCCATGACCATTAGAAGATAGGACTATACTACCAATGTCATGAATGAAATCAGTCTTCGCGTACCTCAAATAGTTTTCATTTAAAAACCTCTTCACATACTTCCGTGGTATAGTACACCAAATCCTAAACGGAAAATCGTTTAGGATATGCGCCTATACAATTCGCTGCCACTCTCTATACGGAGTGCTCAGTTCTTAGTTTTGTTTGTCAAATACATATTCTTTCACTATAGTTACTCTTATCCATTCTTCTGTGATTTTTTTTCCTGGATTCGTCATAGGTATTTCCTTGTGTGTGCTATGTAATTTAATAAATTATATGTATTTAATATTTTTGTGCAATATAGATGTTTGTATTATATGCACGTAAAAATTATTAATTTACTCTTGCGCCACCAATCCACTTTATCTGTTCTCCTTTAACCAAAGGTTGTCTGTAAGAGATTTTCCTAGCGATAAGACCGCCTTTTGTACCTTTTTGCATATATTTTTATGTATAA